CTTAAGGCGCCCTCCCGATTCTCAAAACCATGCCACAAGCCCGGGGCGATACTCGGCATGTTCTGGCAGTAAATGCGAAACCTTGGACCTTAACTTCCTTGATCCCTGAATGAATTCGTGTAGGTCAACATCTACCACGAAAACCCCACATGACCCTGCCATATATGCTCTCGGGTCCCGGACCGCCACCCCCCCCCCCCCAATGGTATCACCCCCACCCCTCCTCCCCTCCTGCTGCATGCCCACCCGCCATGCGCCCCGGCCCTCCCCCGGCCCTGTGCGCGGATCGGGAGTGTGGCACTATGCCCTGCCGTGTGCGGAAAGCAGCAATCGGCTCAGTAGTTTCTAGCATCTGACATGCAATTTCAATTCTGAATTATATGAGGGTTGTATGGCGATGGTGATGGTGGCAGATATTCTTTTGAAGGTATTAATGATGATGACGACGACAAGGATGATGTTGAGCATGATCTGACTGTCGACTCATGTCCCGGTCTAGAGCAGCACAACATCATGAGCAGTATCACCGGTGCCACAGCAAGAGGGAAGACAAGGAGTAACACATAAGAACGTCGCGGCAAAACAAGTACCACCACAGGCCACCACAGGCCACAGGGGGGGGGGGGGGGAAGGGGGGAGGATACCATGGGGTGGGGGTGGGGAGGGGGGGTGTGGCAGCCCTGCATCATATATGCCCTAAAACTCCAAGTCTGTGCTAATCTCTGATGTTCTCCGGCCTGTGAAGCAGCTCGGAAGCCTGACCATCTACTAGAAGCTGAGTTGAGGCTCGTCTCACGCGAGGGCCTAGACATGTGACATTAGGTTTAATGCTGCAAGATAGGTGTTAAAGATTCACCAAATAATTCGATGGCGGTTATAGGCTTCCCCAAGTTTAGCGGCCTGAGTATTTTTAGGGCAGTCTTTGGGGAGGGCGGGTAACCACATTGCCAAGCATGAACACTCAAAGTCTGGCATGGCAGAATCCCCGCAGGCTCTACCCATAGGCCGCACAGCAGCTCCTATTCTACACATGGGTGGTTGTCAAAATTATGGTCCCTATTTGGGTACCCAGATATTAGGTGCCGTATTGTTATAGGGACCCAAAAAAGGACCCCAATTCTGACAAACACCCACATTTGAACCCCAAAAAGGAACTACGATGGGGCCTACTCCCAAACTTCAACCTGGATCCGGGAGTCGATTGGTGGGGGGTTCTTGGAGGTTCATGGCTAGTTATAAGGGTTCCTTTAAGGGTCCCTTTAAAGGGATCTATAGGGATTCCAGAAGGGTATAGGGTTTAGGGTTCATGTGTAGTTATAAGGTAGGGCTATAAGCCCCCAATATGAGTTATAAGCATAGCTACCCCACTTATAACCCTAGTATACCCTACTTATAACTATCCATGAACCTCCGAGTTCCCTGATTTAGGCAAGCACCAAACCCGAAAGATGGAATTCTAGGGTCTGGGCTCTAGGTTTTTAGAGCTTCAAAACCTGCCGTACGGAAAAGTGAATCGTGTCCAAACATGACATCTGGAAAGTTCTTACTTAAGTAGTCTTCGTTTAGGCAACTGTTGGAGGTATGCAGCGGTACCCCGCGCAGAAGAGTCATTATCTGTTATACACACCCGGAAATCAAAGCATGAGCCGCCCCAAAATTACTCTACTATACGTGCACCATTGGTGCCCTAAACCCTAAACCCTGAGCCCCTAAACCCCTAAACAGCACCGGTTAAACGAGTCCCAGTCGAAACCCAAATCTTGCAGTAGCTATGTAGGCCTGCATTATAATCATCATTAGTTAGGGTTCATGGTCTGTACTGGGTTTAGGATTAAAGGTGTGCATGTTAGGGTGTCAGCATTCGGGAGTGTTGTCCGGCTCTGCGAGTATCTTGAATTCCTGAGGGGCAGTAGTTCGATCATTTTACATACGGCTGTCATACGGATTTTCATGCCGCACGATGCTTCCCAAAATCAAGGCCTAAATGGTAGGATGTTCCCTGCGAGAGACTATCTTGAGGGTCGCTGACTGGAAACAGAATCTGCCCAGTTTGTTTGCCTTCAGCGCACTGACAATCCCTAAACCGTAAACCGTGGCCAAGGTGCTCTGAACGAGCACAGGCGCACTGGTCGGGCAAACAAGTTTCGGGAGGCGCGTGGTACGTCGAAACCTGAGATTTACAGACTGCTTCTGACATCTGCTGCTGCTTGCTGCTGCTGCTGTTACTGCTGCTGCTGCTGCTACTGCTACTGCTAGTCGCACTACTACCAGCACTACTACTGGCACCACTACGACTACTACGACTACTACGACTACTACGACTACTACGACTACTACGACTACTACTACTACTACTACTACTACTACTACTACTACTACTACTACTACTACTACTACTACTACTACTACTACTACTATATTTCTTTTCATTGTTACCATTACTAGTACTCCAAAAACAACAACAACTACTACTACTAGTACTACTACTACTACTACTACTGCTACTACTGCTACTACTGCTACTACTCTACTACTCTACTACTCCTACTATTGCTATTACTACTACTACTACTACTACTACTACTACTACTACTACTACTACTACTGCTACTTCTAGTACTCTACTACTCTGCTACAGCTGCTGCTGCTGCTACTGCCACAGCTCTAGCTGCAGCTTCACCTACAGAAACTGCTGCTGCAACGACAACCGCTACTATCATCAGCACTATTACTACTAGTACTACTAGTACTACTCGTACTAGTACTGCTAGTATGCTAATACTACTAGTACTAGTCGTGCTAGTACAGTGCTACTACGATTACTATTGTTATTATTACAATTACAACTACCACTACAACTACAACTACAACAACTACTACTACTACTACTACTACTACTACTACTACTACTACTACTACTACTACTACTACTACTGTTGCTACCGCTGCTGCTACTGCGAATGCTGCTATTGCTACCGCTACCGCTACCACTGCTGCTACCGCCGCCACTACCGCTTCTGCTCTGCCACTGCGGCTGCTACGGCCGCAGCTGCAGCACGGCTACAGCCACGGCTACTGCTGCGCTACTGCTACGGCTACTACTACTATAATGAAAAGAATAATCATAACAATACTCTTGCTGCTGCTACTACGACTGCTGCTACGACGACGACTACTACTACTCCTGCTGCTGCTCCTACTCGTACTACTACGACTAAAAACAAAAGAACAAACAATAAACACATTACAACTGCTGGCACATACTAGCAGGCATACATCAACATTACAAACTTCTGCAAGCGTGATGAATTGACAAACAAATCAGCAGTATTGGTAACCACGAACTAGTGCGGGGCACGACAACATTGATGACCCGGAAGTCCAAGTGAAAAAGGGAGTGGTGCGAACACTGCTATTGGCAACGAAGATGGCATTCCTGTAGCAACAGCCGGACTAGGAGTGAGATCTTCGACAACAAGAGCATGACAAGAACGATACGTGAGTGGTAAGCCATGGTAGATCAGTAAGTGTCATGTATATGATCATGGCCCAAAGACCGGCAAATCACTCGTGAACAGAGACCGTGCATCTTGGCCGAAAAGTAGTCTAAGGAGCGGCACACATCGTTGATGCAGTGACCCTCTCTACGTCTGTGGCAGTACGAGCTGTCGTCAAGACATTGACAGCCGTGCGATAATTTCGACGCATGGAGCAAAACAACTACAGCCCCACAGTTCCTTGAATCCGGCAACTAAGAGCAGCTTGAACGACCGAAGCAGCAATACATATGCATCTCGACCGCCCCACCCGAAAGCATGGCCGCGTGGCATCATTCGTGCAGCTGCACAGCGAACCTGCGATGTATAAACTAAGTTGCAATGCCCGAAATAGAGCAAGCTTCAGCAAACTGACAGAGATCACAGCAATGCGCAAGAGTGCATGTGTATACATATATACATATATACACACACACATTAATGTGGGTGCCCATATTTGTATAGTATGTGTTTATATATCACATGTGTATACACACAACTATACATATGTGCATTCTCATATTCACAATTCCATAGATGTTACACGCATCAGGCTCGAACAAGCTACAAGTGTTACGTACTAACGTACATGTCTACAGCCTGTACGCACTTGCAGCAAGCCATGCTTGACAGAGTGTTGCAGGTCCGGTCACAGGGCTGAGCATGCAAGAGCCCAGACCTTCCAAAATCCCTTAATTAAGGAATATACCTTAAATTATAATAGGACCCCTTATATGAATTAAGGTCTATTCCTTAATTGATTTTGGAAGGTCTGGGAGGTAATGAGCAGAGACGGTGCTGGAGCGAGGGCGAGGAAGCGACGGGCCCTTGATGGACGAAGCTTCTGGATGGGAGGTCCAGGATGGGGGGGATGCCCCAGAGCGACGGAATCTCTGCACAAACAGTTGATGTCCTAAGGCAGCGGCACGACGACTCTGGTGATAGAAGTGGCCGTGGTGCGCCTGCAGTTGAGGGCGTTTGCTTGGGCCGTCAAGCTGCTGGGAACCGGAGACAACGACATCTGGCTTTGGCTTGAATCTCTCATCCTAAACTTAGGGACTTTGTAGTGTGTCTATGCCACAACTGACAACAATAGAGTAGGATGGGCTTTGGCTTCATGATTTCCGCAGCAAGCACACCTAGTACTCCAGCACTGCTCTAAACGACCTAGTTCCTTGTGCGCTGAGTAGAGCTTCTTCCCAACCCATGGCTCTCAAGCGCATGCTTCTTGCAAAGCCAAATGCTGTCAGAGGGGGAGACCCCGGTAAGTACATACGCCATGGTGGCCAAACCGGCCCCTGCCACTAAATAAGATCATGCGGTTTTTCGGTGTATGTTGAAGCGGATATGTTGATATACCCGGGCAAAAATGTAACTCTACATCAGCATCATCGTCCTCAGACTAGTGACTAGTTGCTGGTAGCAGCATTTAGCAAATTTTAGCAGGTTTCTAGACATCCTGTGCTACTCGTAAGACGGGTCAAGACATGTAGATAAAGCTCTGACGGCATGGTTATACTGAAGGCACCTTGGTCTACGGGCTCAGCTCCAATCCTTTCACCGCCACTGCACCCTGCTTATCCTGCGCCATTGAAGTCAGACACCATCCCCCCCCCCCCCCCCTCCGCTCCCACGGTTTGCTTTCGTCGTCCAAGTTGCTGATGTTGACCTGCCCGATAGCTCGGATTGCCACGATTGGGCTTGGCTTAGCACATGGAGGACGGACGCTGTGTACACTCCGAACCCTGAACATCAGATTCATTAGATCATCTCTCAGGCCATGACGCAAGAACCTGAACATGCAAGAAAGGGCAACAAGAACCTTAACCGCCGTAACCACAAGAAGCATGAACGATCGTGAAGCCTAGGCCGTGCGCCGAGCCTAACCCTGCAAATATTCCGTATCTCCATTGTTTGGTACTTGGTCGCTTGTGGAGGGGAGTGCATATTGTAGGAAAGAGTCTTCAGTCTTCAGAACGGAGGGCTTTTAGTCTTGGTAGCTATCTTGGAGTGATCGGGGCTTGGTTACTGGTCTCGAACTTCTGGGGATCCCCAAACCCCGCTGAACAACGCAAGGTACCCCTAAACCCTCCCGTGGGCTTGAGACCGAGAGGGGGGTGGGGTTTGGGCTGGGAGATATGTAGAAGGGTGTTGGTGAGTAGCAATAGTGGTGGTTATAGTAGCAGTCGTAATAGCAGTAGCAGTAGCAGTAGTAGTAGTAGCAGCAGTAGTAGTAGCAGTAGTAGTAGTAGTAGTAGTAGTAGTAGTAGTAGTAGTAGTAGTAGTAGCAGAAGCAGAAGCAGGAGTAGTAGTAGTAGCAGCAGCAGTAGTAGGTAGTCGTAGTAGAAATACAGTAGTGGTACAGTGCGAGGGTTCACGAGAACTACCCACCACCCAGCATCCGGGGAGCACTGCAGACCCTCCCAAACCCTTCTACTTACCCGCACCTTCCAAAATCCCTTAATTAAGGAATATACCTTAAATGATAATAAGACCCCTTATATGAATTAAAGTATATTCCTTAATTAAGGGATTTTGGAAGGTCTGGGCCACCTAGACCCCAAGGCCCCCCCCGAAACCTGCCGACAACTCCTGAACCCCTCTACTCAAGCCCAGTCCACCACACAAAAACAAACCGACGCCATAAAGCCCTGAACCCTACAAGCCCTAGAGCCTGAACCCCTAAACCCTAGACGATATGGGGGTTTCCGAAAATAGGGGACCCTACTATAGTACCCTATTTAGTAGGATCCTTAAAAGAAAGCCCACATAAGGTACCCCTGGCTTTCGGAAACTCCCATATGTTACATCGAAGCCTCCGGATTGACTCGGATATGGCTCGTGTGCTGCAGGTGAACATTGTCGTGGTAGATGTTGTACCTGCCACGAAGCTGTAATGGCCTTAAAACATTTAACAGGTTCGGCCGTAATAATACGGAAGCCTGTATTGGCAGTTGTTTCTGAATTTCACGCTTCGATTATGTATATTACGCTTTGGCCATACCCGCAACTCAGCCGTTTCCCGAACCGTTTCCCTATACCCCCTGTATGGGAGTTTCCGATAATTGGGGGATTATTTTGGGGATAGAAAAAGGATCCCATTATTTAGGGTACCATATTAATGTCCCCCATTTTCGGAAACTCCCAAAAAGACCCTGACACCCCAACAACCAAAACAAAACGAAAACGAATCCAGACAGAAGGCCAGCGTTCATGATACGTACTAGCGGTGATCGATGATGACCGTGATACTGAATTGTTTCAACGATTACTCAGGTGCCCGGCCCCTTCAAAGCATCATCATCGTCGTCATGGAGCCTATGCATATACATTAACGTCGCCATAGCCACATCCTGATCGCCAGGATAGCTCTCAGCAGTACCAGATTCGTCATTGTAATCGTCATCAACAACTGTCAACATGATGGCTGTCGTTGTCCTTCTCCTCATCATCACTCTATCGACCAGCTCTGTTGTCCCCAAACCAAGGCATTGCTTAAAGAATCGGCTCTCCATGGGACACCGCGCCTTTCTGCCATGGATTGGAGATGTGGTGAAGGAGATATTCTCTCGACCCAGGGACGACGAACACAGCTCAAAACCCCACGGAGCTCTTCCAAAAGCCTTCGAAAGCCCGAACTTGTCCGTTAGAAGAGAGGTCGCTTCCGATACGGCTTCAGGACTTCTACTGGTATTGCGGTGATCACAATCCTGGAAACGACTCCCGGCATGCAGGCGCACGTGATGCCGAAGATGACGGAGAAGAGGCAAAAGACGTAAAGTAGTTGAACTAAGCATGGCTTATGGCACTGGCGAGGGTTAGCGCGAGGGAATGCTAAGCAACAGACTCGATGCCCAACTAAACATGTCATGTGTTACACCATGCCTAAGCCTAAGCCAGTCTTCGGTCGATCCACCGGAGCTCTTGATAAAGTGTCAGGGTTCACCAATCTACCCATATCCGAAGAACTAGACCCTGGGTCCAAGGAAGTCCCAGCCTTAGACACACAAGTCATAGACTCTGAAGCCCCCAATTCTTTCCTTCTGAGGACAGTGCCGGAGGCCACACCGTGCACAAGGTGCACCTACAAACGCAAGCACAAGGTGTCGGATCTATGCGATGCGGTGGTTTCAAGGGAGCCGGGGGGAATCCTCAGCTTCAGGGTTCCTGTCAAAGTGTCTTGAAGATTTCTATCAGGGTGCTACTATGATGTGGCTAGATTGTGGGCTTTCGAGCTGGATGTAATCATTCTATATCATTCATATCTGTATCAACGGTACAACTAGAGATTCGATGCTCAGCCTGTCATGTCTGAACAACCGCTCGTGTCGCAGACTGCTAGGACGTTTAGGATTTCGGGTGCAGGGGATGGCTGGGATCAACGGCGTGGGCTTCCGGGGCGATGGGAACCCAACACTACGCAAAAATCCTGGAGACCGGATAGGAGTTTCCGAAAATAGGGGACCCTTCCCTAGTACCCTAAATAGTAGGATCCTTATCATAAGGACCCCAAATTAAGGTACCCCCCCCTAATTTTCGGAAACTCCCAGATACTGCAAGAAGATGGAAATCCTCTGCCCTGAAACTCTGAAGCCGAAGTCAAGGATCTACATGGGGGTTAGGGGTACCTTAGGGTTCCTTTAAAGGGTTACTATAAGGGTACTGGAAGGGTTCCTTTAAAGAGATACTATAGGGGTTTAGGGTTTCCGAAAATTGGGGGGTACCTTACTTTGTGTCCTTATAATCAGGCTCCTATTATTTAGGGTACTGTATTGAGGTCCCCTATTTTCGGAAACCCCCATATACATTGTAATTAGGGACCTGAAAACAATTGGAAAAGGATTTTGGGGTGTAGTATGCGTTGAGCATCGCGGGGAGCCCAAAGACGAGTGCTACAAAGAATTCGGGCTTCTAACATACGGCTCCGCAAAAGGCAGCTGCAGTGTCAGCATCATGCTCCATCGTAACACACATGGGAAAATGCGATGATCATCCCTCCTTATGTAGTTGTTCCTGTCTGCAGATGAGGAATTCGCAGGCCCAGCGAAGACTGATCGGTTTTCGCGAGTTCCGGACACCGAGAGAGCCTGTCTGGCACCGACTACAGAATTAATAGCAGGGCGCGTCCCGGTCGCATTCAATGAACCAGACTCCCGGCACTGGAGTAAGATGGGCATAGGGTAGTGGTGGCATACCGGAATGCAGATAAATGTGATTGCAATGAATGATGACCATAATATGCATTCGACCATGACAGTGTCGAGATGATGACCACGAATGAAGATGACCGTGAAGATGATGATTTTGATGCTACTGTCTCCGCTGATGAAGATTCTCCCAAATGCTGCAGTGAATATACTAGGGGTTGCGAGTGGGACTCTGAGCAGCGCTTGGAAGTAGAGGCAGCGAAGAACCAAGCAGTCGGCGTCGTCGTAGTCGTAGCGGTATTCGCAGTCGGAGCAGGAGTAGGAGCGGCAGTAGCAGCAGCAGCAGTGGCAGTAGCAGTAGCAGCAGCAGTAGCAGTAGCAGAACCAGTAGCAGCAGCAGTAGCGTAGACTTAGTAGTAGTAAGTAGTAGTAGTAGTAGTAGTAGTAGTAGTAGTAGTAGTAGTAGTAGTAGTAGTAGTAGTAGTAGTAGTAGTAGTAGTAGTAGTAGAGTAGTAGTAGTAGTAGTAGTAGTAGTAGTAGTAGTAGTAGTAGTAGTAGTAGTAGTAGTAGTAGTAGTAGTAGTAGTAGTAGTCTAGTAGTAGTAGTAGTAGTAGTAGTAGTAGTAGTAGTAGTAGTAGTAGTAGTAGTAGTAGTAGTAGTAGTACTAGTAGTAGTAGTAGTAGTAGTAGTAGTAGTAGTAGTAGTAGTAGTAGTAGTAGTAGTAGTAGTAGTAGTAGTAGTAGTAGTAGTAGTTGTTGTTGTATTTGTATTTGTATTTGTATTTGTATTTGTATTTGTATTTGTAGTTGTAGTTGTAGTTGTAGTAGTTGTAGAAGTAGTAGTAGTAGTAGTAGTAGTAGTAGTAGCAGTAGTAGTAGTAGTAGTAGTAGTAGTAGTAGTAGTAGTAGTAGTAGTAGTAGTAGTAGTAGTAACAGTAGTACTCGTCGTCGCCAGCAGGACGAGGACTAGCAGACCAGCAGTAGCAGCACCGATAGCACCGGCAGCACTCGCACTTGCAGCAGTCCTCGTGATGGTAGTGTGGAAGTGTATTGGCGCTACAGCACTGATATTGAGGATGGCTTTGTCTTCGCGCTCGTACTGGCACTCTCTGACAGAAATTTAAGATATTCCAAGTGACTCCGAAGAGCGCCAGCAGAAACAGCAGGGCAGCCAGTGTCAGCCATATGTAGCAGTCTCGGATTGGCAAAACTAAAGCGCAGTGCGTGGAGACACCCACTCTGCAGTTCGATGGTTGAGGGTGTTGAGTTTAGGGCTTAAGATTAGGAAAGCGCCATAGATGGCAAAGCCATACAAAGGCTCTGTACCTCAGCCCTACACGAGCACTGCCCAAATGTCTCAAGGTTGAGAAGTTGCTGTCAACGGCGCTACTGGAGGCTGATGGGGAAACTCCATGGCTTTGGGATCCAATCAGCCTTTTTGCGAGTGTTTCAAGATGCACTCCAAGCCCTGAACGCTTGACCGCCGACTCAAGCAGTGCCAGGGGCTGCTGGTGAGGACGACATGCCTGATGACCAGCAGGGACGTCCTTGCAAGCTGGGGAGGTGCTGATATGCAGGGGTGCCAAGGCATTCCGTCTTTCGAATTTTGTAACATGAGGGTTGAACAAACCGAACAGCGACATGACACTAGCCACATAATGCCGTTGATGGTAAGGTGATGACGATAAGGAGGCTGCTTCACAAACAGCAGTCGTCAAGGAAGCGAGGAACATGGCAACGGTTGACACTGATGGTTGCGAGGACAGACATGGTCGCATCAAGTATGTCTGCCCAGCTGTTCTGTTTCTGCTGCGGCTCATGCTGCCGTGCACGATCATGAACTGCGGCGACAAAGCTAAACATCTGATGCCGAGGATCGCGGAGTAAGGTAGCTTCTGTGAAGTCTACTATAAAGCTATAAAGGATAATTCAAGGCTATAAGCGTACTCTAAAGGCTACTGCAAATAGTGCAAGGTTGCTCTGAGGGTCTTTTTGAAGGTATATTCACAGGTCGAGACACACAAAGATGGCAGTGAGGATCATGGCCAGAAAGCTGTAGCAAAGACTGGTCTTGCTGGAGCTTTCCCTGGCACAGCAGGCATTGACAGATGGAGTTCCCTGGTTTCAGAAGAGTTCTCTGGACCAAGAGTCCTCGTATGGAACATAGTGCAAGGCTAAAAGGCTGAAGCCCAGCTGTAAGAGCCGCAAGGAAGAACGCCGCTTTAGCAAGTAGGTTTGGCAACTATATGATTGCCTGCGATCACCATCTTCATCATCGTCAGAAAATCAAGATGCCAATGAGCACCCGCAACGTCAACTCGCACACAACGTGAGCAGGCGACCTGGAGATAAGTACCCGCATATCCTGCGAAACCCATCTCCTTGCCTGGTTTATAGCCTCTCAATCGCAAACCGCATGCCCTGCGGCTACTCGTCGAATCTAACAAAAAAACGTGGGAGCTCCATTAAAGTGAGGCAGTGTGCATATTGAGATACATACATACATACATACATGCATGCATGCATGCATGCATGCATACACACATACAAGCATGCATGCGTACAAACATACATGCATGCATACGTACGTACCTCTTTGCATACATACGTACATGGATGCATGCGTATTACATACATAATGACGTGCATACATACATACTTGCTTACATACATGCGTAATACACACATACATCTATGCGTAAATAAATGCCGCCGTCCACCCATCCATCCATCCATCCATCCCTCCATCCGTCCATCCCTCCATCCCTCCACCCCTCTGCCTCCATCCCTCCATCCCTCATCCCTCCATCCGTCCATCCGTCTATCCGTCCGTCCGTGCATATGAACACCAAAAAGGAACTACTATGGAGCCTCTAGGTAACGCAATCATACAGACCCAGTCGCAGTTTTCTCGTTGGGGCTTCGAGAAGGTGGTAACTCAGAACTGCCAGAACCTGAGCTTTAGTGCGCTGAGTGCGTATTAGGGCTTGGGGCTCAGGGGTTTAGTTCAAAGGGGTTCGCTCTTGGGGTGTTTTACGGTGGGACTTGAAATATCGAAACTAAGGGTTTAGATCCGAACTGCTGCGGATGAAATCTTCAGGGATATGCTTGAAAGCCAGCCGGCTGTCATATAACCACACCCCTTAAAGAAAATCCTGGTCGAAACTCAGTATATCAAGATCCTGGGGCCTGAGTTCATGGAGTGGCTTGTTTTCAGTTGTTGGGCATAGGTTTCAGCTAGAGATGACGGAAGCATTCCTAGATCACCATGTGTTGACGGCTTTGCAGTCTGGAAATGGGCAATCTCCTGCCGCCAGGGGCTGGACCCACACCACATGGGAGTTTCCGAAAAACAGGGACCCAAATATAGTACCCTAAATGGTGGGCTCCTTATTATAAGGACCCCAAAATAAGGGACCACTATTTGTCGGAAACTCCCACATCAAGGAACCTAAGAGCAGCCTTCAACCAACGACACCTTGGGATCAACATGGAACGCCTTCTCGAACCACCCAGACCTTCCAAAATCCCTTAATTAAGGAATATACCTTAATTCATATAAGGGGTCCTATTATAATTTAGGGTATATTCCTTAATTAAGCGATTTTGGAAGGTCTGGGCATAAACCCTGAACCCCAACTGGTGGTTTCGTTTCTCCGCAGGATGCAAGGTCAAGACCTTCTCCAGATTGGGGGCATAGGGATGCGGCGTTTCGGCCAGTAAGTCCATCCTGGTTTTCCTGCACCTCAAGCAAACCCTAAACCCTAATTGAACCCCGAACCCTGAATTGTAAACAGAACTTGCATCCGACGGGCTGTAGTAGCAAGCACGCAGCACAGCTTGGCTTCCACTGCGAGATCGCTGCCTCGAGACGGTGTCGTTGTCAGGATTTTTGGATTTAAGGCATTCCGAGTATTCGGTAATATTCTTGCGACTGGAATAGTAAGGGCAATCATAACGGGAGCAGAGTCATCATGTGTGGATTTGGGTCTCAGAATTGAGGGCTGAGATTTCTTATATGGCTCGGGGTCATCATCACCCCTGACAGCTCTGCACAAATTGCAAAAAATTCGCGAGGAAAACGTAAGTAAAGGTTGTCACCCCTTCTTGGATCAGGCCCGCTAACTCACAGCACCCAAACCCCCAGCAGGAGATAGAGACAGGGGCCCACATGTAGGGTTTAGGTTTAGGGTTTAGGGTTTAGGGCTCCGATTATTTACTTACTTGTCTACGTTGTGGGGCTGCTTGTCGGCAACAGCGGTGTGGACACGAGAAATTGTAGCTCGCAAAACGAAGGGCATTTACCACTCAGCGACCGGAAATGGCCCGATGACCCAACAAACCCCGCAATCCTTACCCACAAGCCATGCATGGAGCCCCAACAGACCCTAAATTAACCCTAAACCCTAAACCTTAAGCCCTAAACCAAAGCAACTTCGAGATCGACACATGAAGCCCCTCAGTGCCAGGCCAAGGGTAAGCCAACGGCAAATAGCTGCGACGGGTACATGCCACCTCCGTCTGACAGCTGCGAGAGCGCTTGGAAGTACAGGTTAGAGGTGCTTCGACAGAGGAGCTAAATCTGAGAGCTGTGTCTGCGAAGTAACGCTGTCTCCCAGGCTTCTCTTGAACGTTGAAGCTTTGAGTTCAGGGTCCATTCAGGTTAGGGCTTTAGTCCATGAGTGCACCAGGATTTAGAGTTTTGGGGTTCAGGGCTGGTTGTGGATCGAGTTTGTGGATAGGCAGGGCTCGTGGTACAGATGATGTCAAGGTCTGGCGGCACCACTCCAGGAGACCCATCTCAGCCAAGGCAAGTGGCAGATAGATGGAGTAAGAGATCTTTCCTGAGGTTGAGTGTGACGGTCCCGGGATCTACTAGAATGCAGGGGGGTGACAATTTGCGGCTCGTGATGAAGCTTTGAGGCAACATCGACAAGCATTGCGGCTTACTTAGACTCTTGCCTGGAGAAGTGTCAGAGCCCTGGTGGGTTTGAAGCTTATTCCAGAGCAGGCGATGTCGGTGGTGGCATCTTTCAGAATGTCACCCTTGCTCTAAACACCTGTAGGCTGATGCTTCATTTCCCGCCTTACAGTTTAAATCATTTAAATCCTTATTGGTTGGCTAGGATCTGCGCACCAGGAAGTGTGTTCTCATGAGCTCCTCCCTAACAACAAGCGCTCCTGCAGAAAGTCGTCTGTGCAAAATGGGTCGGGCTTAAACCAGCTTCCGCTTCAGGTACCTCCTGCGCTCACGAAGAAAGAAATTCGGCTAGAACCCTACGTATTTGCAAACTTGGTTATTGTACAAAGTCTTTGGCTATGTAAGGCCAGCAAGCTACACTGGGTGTCCAAGGTACTTCGCTAAAAGTCCCCAATGCAGGCCTTAGTTTACACTTAGAAAAAAAGCCCCGCCCCCACGTCCTGCTCACTCTTCCGAATTGAAGCACAGTTTCCAAGCTCTTATGTACCCTCATCGGACTCCGAGGTTTGAGAGAAAGCATGATTTTTTTTACCAAACATGCCAAACTCGAACTGCAAACCCAAACTACAAGCCTTCAGTGCTGCATCCACCTCCGAGGTCACAACTACTTGGCTCCCATGACGCACCCTGCACCGAATCGTAACAGCTGTGTACACTTTGAGCTGAACTTAAAAACGCATCGAACCTTAGCACAGTTCTCGACAGATTGGCCATACAACAGCATGAAACCCTGAAGCCAACAAAGTCTAAACAATAATCCCAGAAAATTAAACCCGACACCTTCAGTGATAAACTGATCATAAAAATTCCTTCACCTTGCATCCGGCATCCCCAGCCCCGAACGCGAAATGATCCTACACCTTAATTTCGAAAGCCTTCTGAGCCTCTATATATATATATATATATATATATATATATCAAATGCTAAACCAGAATGTCCCACAAGTAACCGAAAAAATGAACCTCATACTATCGCAACCCCAAGATTGCCAAGCACGAAACCCTGTTTCAAACCCTAAACTCCAAGCCTTGTGTGCATATACATATATATATATATGTATATATATATATATATATATGTGTGTGTGTGTGTGCGTTTGTATTAAGTGTCTGGAAACCCCCCATTGAGCATATTGTATATACATATATAATCTGCACATGTACCCATAGATATAGATGTGTATGTCTATCTTTGTATGTTGTTAATGTTCTCTCTGTCTCTCTTGTTCTCTCACTCTCACTCTCACTCACTCGCTTAACGACTCACTCACTCACACACACACACACACACACACACACACACTCTCTCTCTCTCTCTCTGTCTCTCTCTCCAGCTGTCCCTCTATATACAGCCCCAGAGCACGTCCCAGTGGCCAACATACACAAGCGGTGGCAGCTTGAGCACGCCATTCAGGATCGCAGATGGAGCCCAGCCGGAGAGAATGTAGCCCACGGTCCCAGCGACCTAAGGTTCTGGGTTTAGGGTCTTAGGTTTTTACCTCTTTTGTTGTGAGCACCTCTTTCCGCCTAGCAGTTAAGGTAGAATCCACATTTCGTGGAAGGCTCTAACCAGGGGTTTAGGTTTGGAGTTTAGGGTTCTGCGATTAGGGTTTCAGGCGTTGGCTATGGGGTTTTGGGTCCAGAGTTTGCTTTTGGGTTTAGGTTATGGGGCTTTGGATGTGAGTTTAGGGTTTAGGTCGTAGGGGTTTGGGTTGGGGTTTAGGTTTTCGGGCATCAGGGTTTAGGTTCAGGGCTCAGGCTGTGGGCTTTAGGGAGTCATGGCTTCAAATTCGGGGCTGTCACAAACAGTGGCAACAAACGTAGCTGTGCTTACTCGAGGCTTTGAGAAGACTAGGCACCTGATTTGGAAGGCGGAAGTAGCAAGAAGCAGTGGAACGGCAGTAAGCAAGTCTGCTGCAGATATGCTTGATGGCTTCGGGTTCTGTTCACAAGGTGAAGACCACACAAGACCTTGTAGAAAACCCCCTGGAAATATCTGAAATTCAGGAAGCGAACCCTTGAAAAGGACCTTAATTCGAGTTTGATCTGCTAGGTACAAGGAGCCCTATTCTCAAGATCCCCAAATCATTCAACCCTTCGCTGCAAGGGCCAGGAAATGAAACACCCTTCGTTTCAGAACTCCAAAACCCCCTGAAGTGGGTCGGACTATGCTCTCAGCTCGGGGCGGGCATGATGGCACCAGGCAAGGGAAAAGAATCCTCGTCGAACTTCACGCAAAATGCCACCCTGACCAAAGCCGGGTCCAGATAGGCTCCAGGGCTTTGGGGCTTTGTAGGGCTGTAGGGCTTCGTCGGTTTGTCGGGGGCTGCGCGGCCGAGTGCAACGGGTTTCGGATCTTCGCTGGTAGCTTTTGGGCCCTAACCCTGGACCCTGATACCCAGCCGGCAATGTTGACCTGGCAGCAACGGCCTGCAAAAAGTTATTCGTACTTTTATAGAACAATCCCCACATCCTGACCGGCGTGCCAGAAATTGGAAGCTGAGGTGCCCCAGAAGGAGGAGCGTCCACCCTTGCAGTAGGAGGACCACAAATGGCTGATGTTGCAGCAAGTCCTCTGCGACAGAAGCGAAGCAGATTCAGTCGACAATTTAACCACACCCTAAACACTTCCGACTCATTACGCGATCCGGCGGGCCTCCTACTGTATACTGAATCGGCGCCGATATATATATATATATATATATATATATATATATAAATAAATATATAAATAAATATATAAATATATATATATATATATATATATACATATAAGACCTAGTATATATCCAAAGCCTCTTTGTCGGGCAGTTAGACTCAGTTAGACCCTTAGCTTCAAGACACCGTGACATCTGGAAATCAAACAAGACAGTTAACAATAGAGAACTACGGAAACACAAAACGAGAAAGAGAGCAGCTGGGCATAGGAGCTTGCACTATTGTGTTTGTTTGTGTATGCTTTATTTGTTTGTTTTGCTTGTGTTGTATTGGTGTTTCATTTGTTTTTGGAAGACTTAAAAAGTATACAACCAAGAAACGAGCCTCAAGGGCGGGCGCTGTTCTTTGTTGGTTCTTTTCATGCTGTGTTTCCGGCTGCTGGCCTGTTTGATGCGTGTTGTTGTTGGTTTTGGATTTTTGTCTGTTTAACATACCCCACAAGTTAAAGGACTCCATTGCATAACCTTAGCTTTCATTCATGTGCTTGTACATCCTGATAACTTATAACAAATTCGAATACATATTCATGTAGTATAATGGAACCCGACGATCAATCTGGGTACTCATGCAGGCCCCTCTCGGCCATGTATGATGGTATCCTGAGAATCTTTGTATATGGATAGCGACCCTGGCTCTAATTTGGTGCCGGCTAGCACAAGAGCTGGAGTAGAGTGCAACGTCCCGCATTTCGAGCTTCGCGTTAAGGTTTAGGGTAAGACAACCTGCTCAAAATCCTACAGCTGAACACCTGAAGCAAAATTCCCACTCTGAAATCCTACATACCCACCAGACGCAGAAACCGCAACCTGAACATCCTCTAAACAAACTGAGGCAGGAGCGAATTGTTGCAGGACTCAATCTTCATGTTCACAGAAGGCGACACAGAGAGCGAGAGAGAGAGAGAGAGAGAGAAAACACAAAAAGAGAAAGAGAAGGAACAAACAACAACGAGACAGACCGGAACTGACAGCGCATGAGAGAGGGGGAGAGACAGAGGGAGAGAGGGACAACAAACAACTCGCCCACCTACTGGCAAAGTCTCCAGAGTGCATTGACAGCGGGTCCTAACCCCCTGGAGCAACCAGAGCCCCAATCCCACCAAACCTCAACCTAACATACTCCAGCGAAGAACAACATCCCAGGTAGTTCACTCTTTACACTTCTTCTTAACCGTCTTAGCTCATACACACTACCCTAAACCTGAAACAGCCAATGCCCTACAGTAGTACGGCTTCAAGCTGAAAGGCAGCAATCACTGTCTCCCGACCGGAGCCTGAGATGATAAGATTGCAGGGAGATCGCATCTTCGTGAGATTTCAAGGTTCAGGGTGTGGGATTAGGGTTTTGGGAGTTTCCGAAAATAGGGGACCCTAACAGAGTATACCCTAAAAGTAGGATCCCTTTTATACGGACCCCAGAATAATAAGGTACCCCTAAGTTTCGGGAACTCCCAAAGCCCAAAAGCCAAACCTTCGTACTTGCTTGCTGGGGGCTGCTAGGTTCCCATGCAAGGCCTGGTGGGAAGCTTGAAGCTTGATGCTAGGTTGGGGGTTTAGGGTTTAAGGTTTAGGGTTCTTAAGGTTTAGGGTTTAGGGTTTAAGGTTTAGTGCCTAGTAGGGTTTAGAGCCTAATAGGGTTGGGCTCCGAGGCTCTGCATGGCACATGCTGGGCTCAGCCTGCGGGTGCCTTGCGGTGGTCTGTAGAGCATCCGAAAGGTCCCCAGGCTTGCAAAGGGATGGGTTGGGCGCTGCAAGGCTGAAAGATGCAACCCGAAACCCACATGAAGCCCTAGACACAAAACCGAAGAAGCCCACCAGCCGAAGAAGCCCCAGACCCGGGAATTCTAGGAAAGACCAGACTGGCGGGCTCCCATGGGGGCTGGAAGACTTTTAGGATGCTGTTTTGGGGGTTCCTTATTGTAAGTATAGTATCATGGGCCCCAAAGCCCTATTCCAATTATTAAGGCCCCTATATTAAACCCTAAACCGCTGAGGATGTTAGGGGTTCGGGGTGCAAGGGTCCGGGTCTCGGTGCGGAGGGTTAAAAAGGCAGCGGGTCTTAGTCTTGCATTACGGGCTTCAAATCCAAAACAGTGGTGTTAGGGTTCACATCTCTACAGGTGCTGCCAAGCCACAGAACAAACAGAGCAGAACGCCCACAGAAAGCTCCCAGAAGCGGGAGAACAGAAGGTAGAAGGCATAGGAGGGAATCCTCTGAACCTCCGCAGCTTTCATTTGAGCTTGCCCTCAAGGATCTGTTGGGGGGACTTCTGTCGTTGATGGCTGTTGTAAGGGTTTAGGGTTGCTTGGGGCTTCGGATTCAGGATGGCTTGGCTTATTTTTGGCTTGGTTTAGGGTTTAGCGTGGATTTGGAGACTAGATTGTCCGCTTCGAGAGACGGAACTGCACCGCGCGGGATGGGATAATATGGATACGGGGCACCCTGCAAGAAGTGCTGTTTACGTTTTGACACACGAATCTCCTAAAGAGCCCAGAAGCATCCATCGATGCAACTCTTTTTCTTTAAGCATCTTTCAACCCTGCAGTTCTGAAGAAGGGTGCCAGATTTAGGTAGGCTAATTGGCTAGAGGGCCGAAGTTCTTATTTGGGGCCTACGGACTACGTTGTCAGGGTCATGCAAGGTTTTGGGTATAGGATTTATCAGAGTTGGGGTTAGAAGTCAAATCACAACCGGCATACCGGCACTAAACCGGAGCGCTGGTGCGCCTTGTTAGCAGATCCCACGGTAAAAGGGTTTCTCACGCCAGGCAGAGCCATCCGTACTTAACTCAGAAACCCAGATCTCTGAAGCCCGAAGCCCTCAACCACAAATCGAAGTCCTGAACCCTATGGACACTTCCGATTCCTCAAACCCTAAGCCCTATACCTCAAATCCAGAGTCCCGAGACGCTTAAGTCCAACCCTCCTAGCCTTGCATGAAAAGCTTTGGTTGTGATTATACTGGACCGGATATCTATGGGCATCAACGAAAGCACAGCAAATAAGAATAGTACGTAGTTATGTTTGAGGGGTATTTCAAGGTCACTTGCATGGGAGTTGGGGCATTGCACAACCTTTACACACACAGATTTCTGTGAGTGATTTTATCTCGTCTGCTTGGGAGGATCAGAGTTAACGAATTCAGCCTTCGGGCGTAAGGGTTTAATCATTTCGGGCTGTGGGTGCGGAGCTTTCAGGGTGCACGTGGCCTCAGGCCGATTACAGACCCCGAAACAGGGGGTCCCGGCAGCTTTTTCGTCTTGTGTCTCAAATCGATCGAAGCAAAGCTGGGCTGTTCCAAGCTGTGGGCCCGTCGAAAGAACTTCGGAACCAGCGCTAACCGGACCCCAGCGCGAAATCGCACACATAGATCCCGGAACCCAAAATGCATCCCGACACCCCAATCATCTCCGAAGAAAGGGACTAAATCCACAGTATCCCCTGGAACAGCCCCCCAAACCCTGAAAGTTCAAAGTACCTGTCCCCAAACAACCGCGAACTAGCTGAGACGAGGTGGGCGTTATGCGTTGTAATGATCTCCTCCCTGTTGTAAAGATGATTTCAAGGACTTTCGACTAAAACCCTAAATGTTCTGAAACCTTGATTCTCAAGACCCCCAGCATGTAAACCTTGAAAGGGATCTTCTGGCGAAGCGTTTAACGGTTTAGGGTTTAGGTTTGAGGGTTTAGGGTTCCTAAACCCTAAACCCTTCAGGGCTTTGGAACAACCCCCCGTGAGGGGGATGCCATCGGATCAGGTCGCGACAGATGGCAAAGCTCAACGGTGCAGACGGCTCCCAAGTCCGATCTCCAGTGGCTGCGCAGCAGTTACTTAGTTGCTGAGTTCATAAGCCCCACGAAGTGTACACTTTCAGCTTTACAGCGGGTATTATTATCCCAAAAAGTGTAAAGTATATCCACTCAGCTACTAAGGTTACCATCATCAATAGACGAGGGTTTGGGGTTTGGGTACGGGTATATATAACTATGTGGGGGGGGGGGGGGGGAATGATACAAAGAATCAAATACGGCAGTGTTGATACCAAGTTCTTCGATCCCCCAAACTATGGGGTGCGGATCGTCGGACTGAGGTGATGTCGATGACTGTCAGACTATGATGGTTGTCAGACTGTACTGCTACCGCAATAGTTGTTCGCTATCGGCTCAGGGCTCAGGATCCAGGGGTCCCCAGGTAAACCCTAAACCCTAAAACCCTTTCAAGGAATCTCTTCCCTTAAGACGGTAGGTTGTTGGTTCCATTTTTGACTGATACTGCAGTGCATATTTCTTTGCATCAGCTGCTAGCTCTGCACGCAGGAAGCAGATCCTGAATACTGGGATGTTTTTATTCTAGAGGTTTTTCGGCGTTGTTGACTTGCACGGCTCTTGAGATTTAGGTGTGGCGAATAGGTCTCGTGTTTCGGTTCGAAATTGAATTCGACTCTTCAGGGTCAGTGGCTTTATTTCGCGAGGTCTTTGTGCTGCATGTGCAATGCAATGCTTCTGGGACTGGGTGAGAAGTTGACGTACATACTGAAGTCTTGAAGCTTCAAAAAATGAAACTTTGAGAGGCGACGTATCATCCGCCATGAGTCTACGGTAAGACGTTGGGAAATATGAGTTGGAATCAGCAACCGGCGAATTAAGCAGAATCAATGCAACACCAACGCCAAATCAAGACCACAAAGTGTTGGCGGGACGAAGAGAAGATAAGAGCAAAGGGGAAGCAAACGTTGTAACCCTAAGCCCTAATAAGCTGAAGATCCCACTTGCTCAAGCAACCCTACTTGGAGGTTCATGGGTAGTTATAAGTAGGGTTTCAACTAGGGTAACTATACTTATAACTCACATTAGGGGACATATAACTACCCATGAACCTCCAAGTAACTTAGCAGCTCCCAGCTCTACATAATCCTGACCATAAACCCTCTGCTAGACCATGTATTGTACTACTGCTGGAGCACTCTAGACTCCAGACACCAGGCCGGCCTGCGTCAACAACTCACGCCGAACCCAAAATTTAGACCCAAAAGACAAAAACAGAAGAGCATGCCCATAATTCAGATTGTAGTGTTGGACATGTTCGCTTGAAACATCTCCAATGCTATGTTAACCCGATCCATGTGTAGATATTTCACATACGCATTTACATATAAATACACAAGGCATATACATAAGCATATACGTCTACACATACATTAACATGAGCATATATATATATATATACATACATGTATGACACGTAAAAAAATACATGCACCATCCTCATGTGCATATGTATGCGTGTCTTTGTGTATGTATGTATCTATATATATATATATATATAGACATATAGATACCAGTATAAACATATACCTTTCTTGTATACAAATATGTGTGTATCATGCAACTCTCTCTCTCTCTCCCTCTTTATCTGTTTGTTTCTGTCGCTCTCGCTCTCTCTCTCTCTCTCTCTCTCCTGCTGCCTCTCTCTCTCTCTCTGTCTCTCTGTCTGCCGCCGTTGTCGCTATTGCCGCTAGTGTTTACCAAGCACCTACAGCACCAAAGCACCCTCAACGCGTGCCACCGGAGTCGGTGGAGGCGCTGGAAACCACGAAGTCGCTGTACGAGGCCCCTTCCCGTGCTTGCAGAGGCCTGCTGGTCAGGATTCCTTAATCCCTCAACCTAAACCCTAAACCCTCTACCGGTTCTGTAAGGGTCGGGAATCTCTTACCTCAGCCACTGCCAGCCGCAAAGTGGAGCTCAAAAGGAAGAGACAACTCAGCCTGGCTTCCAGGCGTTGGGTAGGACTCAAAACTGTATACGATAGGGGGTTCACGGATTAAGGGCTTAGGGCCAAAAATGATTAGAATAGGGCTTCCGCGTGAATTCTAGTATACTTATGATAAGAAGCCCTAAAGAGGGCGATTCACTTAAAGCTGCAAGTCCTAAGAGGACCTGAAGCTTAGGTCGACCTCGGCACCCCATGCCCAAATCCCAAACACCTAAACTCTCGAAAAGCTCAAACTCCACAAGTTGGTGAATCCGAAACCCGGAACTATCAATCCTCAACCCTGCTGTGAGAACCACATGGGTAGCCGTCAAAATCATGGTCCCTTGGGTGAACACTTGAATTCTACTCTTCATGCAACTAGAGGTTGGGAACCAAAGCGATGAACATTTGGAGAACCACCCACATCCTCCCACGTCTCGGGCTTTTTCAAACTGCTACAGAGCACTCCACGATCTTTGGGTCGGCATGGACGTTCTGGAAACCTCGGTAGGGTCTACTCTAACCCTAGAAACCCTCCCGTTTCAAGGACTTACGGAAGAAAATCACGAGAAGGAGCCCGAAACAGGAAGGTTGTCTGGGGTTCTGGTATTCAGTCCCCCAATAAAGCTACCAGGATTGGGGTCCATTACTTACCTGGTCAGGGGCCGGGGTTCCCCCAAAGTCTTGGTGTTCAGCCGTGACCCGGTCGGCGTCGGGTCGTGTCAAAATTCGTATCTCGGTGTGTGTGCCCGTGCCTGTGCATGTCTGGCTCGTTTTGCGGTGGTGTCCCAGCTGTGCCCTTATCACTGCTCCTTGCAAAATAGCGCACATGCATACATGAGCATTGCCCCACGTCTTGTCCCAGCCGGGTCGTGACCCGGTCGGTGCCCTGAACATGTCCCTGTCGGACGGAAGGAAGATCCGGCTTTTCTGACAACGCTTGAAACAATGCAGGGCATTTTGTGTTTGCTATTGGGGTCTGCAGCTGTGGTAACCTGTTTTTGAGCCACTTAGGCAGACGCTTGCAGGACTCATATCCTAAAGCAGTGAGCCCTAGAACCCACACCGAAAGCCGAGGCAGAGGCCCATGTCCGGATCGTGTAGGCGTTTGTCGTTGCGCAGGCCAATCTCGTCCGAGACCTCGAGGCTACGCTTCACTTTGTCCCAGTAGGTGGGGTTTGGTAAGGGGTTCGGGGTTTGATGAAGAGGGGTTTGCAATTGTTAATTATCGCGTTTGGAGCGTTTAAGGTTTCCGCGGGGTTTGAGATGTTTAGGGTGTATAGGGCTTATGGTCTACTTGGTATCCCGTGCAAACTCTACAGAATCGCTCCAGGTTGGGGCTGTGCAAGTCTGGTTCAAAAGCTTGAAAAAACTTTAGACTTCTGGGGAAGGGTAAGACTGAAGACTCTTTTAAACCAGAATTCCACCTCCGGCACTTGCCCATACGGGGACTCTGAGACTCTAAGCGGGGCACATTTTGGAACAACATCGCGACTGAGTTGGATTCCCCAACTCTGCTGCTGCTGATGATGACGGCGATGGCGATGACGATGACGTTCATGTCCAGCATGATGCTGGTGGTGTTGGCGATGTCCAGGATGACGCTTTTGGTGTTGGTGGTGATGGTTTGGACGCCGATCATAGAATGGTCGCTGTTGCTACTGGCAGTGGTGGTGGCTGCTTGCGGTGGTCATGATGATGATGGTGATGGTGATGATGTTGTTGTTGATGACTGTGGCGATGATGCTCATGTCCAGGGTGATGCTGCAAGTGTTGACGGTAATGGCTGGGACACCGAACGTAGAGCGGTCGTTGCTGCCGCTGGCAATGGTGATGGAGCTGCTTGCACTGGTCAAGACGATGATGGCAATGATGATGCTGATGATGATGACGGTGATGGTGGTAGTGATGTTCGCGACTTTATTGATGACGATGATGATGATTGTGATGACGATGATAATGGTGATGATGATGATGATGGTGATGACTGTGTTGACTCGATCGTTGCACCTTTCATCTTCTCTCGCAATCAGCCGTCTACATGCAGAACATTGAGAATCGAAAACAATAATGAGTTCAACAACTTGTCAAGGCTCGAAATACAAATCTTACTCAAATTATATACCCCCAATGCCTGGATTCAAGCTAGCATGGAAAAATGTGAGCAGTACACGCCGCGCACCTGCTCCAACTCCGACCGAAAGTTGTCCATCAGTTTCACCATCTCCTCGTGTTAAAAGGGAGCCCAAAAGCACACACGAAACGAGGCAACCTCTGGCGACGAGTGTGTGCCATCTCGTCAAAAGCATCACGTGCATGTGCCATAAACCTTCTGCTTCTTCGCCTGCGCCCAGCACTCAACACAACAGTGGTTCGAGATAACAGCACTGAGAGCCGCAGCTATCATGACAGCAGCGGGAAACCAGTCCGTATAAGCTTCAGGCTTGGCTTGGCGTGATGGGGGCGAAATGCAGCCGCTGCGTCTTCTGGCTCTGACTCTTAAACAGAAACAAACCCAGAACACCAGACAAAAGCGACAGCTCAACCGGAGACATCCACGAAGCCCCAAGACTCCAGACTTCCATCTGCAAACCTATCCATCCGACACCTGGATAAAAAATGCAATTGAAGCCATCCTCAAACCTCTATCCTCAAGCTTGGATAACGCCGAAACAAGCACGAACCAGCTTATGTCAGCATCCGTCTCCTGCTCCTTGTAGGTGCCTTGAAAGACATGACCTTGCTTGCTGGTTTGGGAACAAAGGGTCGCGAGTCCAGGGTTGGATTCCACAGTTCCCCAAAGAGTCCTATGTACTGCTATGCCGGGGGTACTTCCCCACATCATATTTATGATTCCTAATGTAGAAACCCTACATTCTCGAGAAACGCAGGGGGGGACATGGTCTGAGTCCCTTTGTCCGGGACCCTCGTCGGCACATGCTCGGCGATAGTGGCAGGTCGAAGTTTCAGCGTTTGGGGCGGGGCATGTAGCACACGTGCCAAACCTTCCAGAGGCCAAAACTTCAAAGAAACGGTACCGGGCCGAAACGTGAGACCCACATTCCAGCGGTCAAACACCTATGAATGTAGCATGTACGTTCGTAGTGAACCCTAGGGCCGGAGTGCAGACGATCTATGTAGCTAGGTCTCATAGGGACCCTTTGGGGCGTAGGGGGAGGGGGCGGGTAGGGGGCCCTTGATGCCCATAATCAGGACTTCATAAGGCCTATTTAAGGAAGTATAGTCCCCTACCCCCCTCCCCCTTATATCCCCCATGAATGTATGTAATTCTTCTAGCTATCCAAATTTCCAGTTTTATATGGCTCTTCCATTCGGAACAGTGCAGACAATCTGAACTCTGTGAGTGTGGCACCTTGTTCGGGCATGGGCCAGAAAGAAAGCCAGAAGCCTGGGAGCAAGAAGACCAAGCCAAAGCAACGCCAATGCTCGTTTAGGAGATGTTTGCTACTTTATGACTGGTGGTTTGAGGATTTGAGTTCCGTAATGGAGGCCCTTCTGCAACGGCATAGCACCTTGATAAGATCCTATGAAGGAGTAGCTCACACATAAGAGTCCACAGACAAAGCCCCTAAACCAAACACATGGAAACGATCGATACCCTCAGCAGTTAACCGTTGTACCGTAAACCCTCAACCTTAAATCCCTCCTAAGATGAGGCCGGGCTGCTGTAGTCCTCGATGATCTTGGGCTGCAAGGCAGATGTAAAGACCGCCACAGTTGTCATCTGCATGTGCTGCAAAGGCCTTTCGGCTGGGGAGTAGTGCTTTTTGGATGAAGCTTTTGGGCGTAGGCATGCGTAGGCTATTGGGTTTAGGATGTAATTAAGCTTAAGCTTAAATGCTACATGCAACATAGCCCCTTTGAAAGCACCTTCTTCTAGAAAAATGAAACAAGGGTTCAGGCAATGCTCTGCTAGCATGCCGCATGCAGGGCTGCTGAACCCTCATCCCTCAACCAGGTCCTGCATTCGCTGTCCTGCCTTGGACGTACACAGCTGACTCAGGATGGAACCGGCCGCTATCACTCGAAATAGCATAAGCGGTTCGGCCAAGCCATAAACCATAATTTGTTGTTATACCGCTACCAGTATATGCCCTAGGCCCGAAACCATAACCTATTACTGTGAAATCTTGGTTCGCGGTCTGTCAAGACCTGCAGGCCGGTCCCATGATTTCAAGTCCGGCTTTGTCATTTGTGCGCCTTTGGGGGGTATATACTGATAACTTTAGTGAAGGAACCTAAAGAATAAAGAGGGGTGAACATTTCTTGGCCTGCATGTTCCCCCTGCCATGTACACTTGGTTCTCATGCGGCTTCGCCCGCCGGTTCCCTCCTCAGACTCAGCCTGCTCCTTCCCCGAGGCATCTAAGGATTCGTAAATTAAGGCTCTTGGGCCCAAAGACCATTCTATATAAGGCTTCTGGGCTCTTTTGATGCCCAGGGTTCCACGAAGTCAATGATCGCTTCGGGGACCACGCTCAGAGCCGTCTGGAGGCGACCGCGCTCACTGCCCCAGACCCAGGCCCAGGTTGCGCCCACACTGTCGCACGACTTCACCTCGCCAGCAGTGGCCTCAAGCCGGGCTGTGCCGAGGCCCGGAAAAGCAGACATCTACGGAGGTGCCAAGCCTCGCTTCATGCCTCCGCCTGGATCGATCAAGCATCCTCCTCCCCCTTGCCTCCTGCCGCTCTCCAGTCTGAGCTTTGCTGAGTGTAGCTGCATGCACCCTGATGTCGAAGTCTCCGGTGGCCTTCTTACTTTGCGGGTTCAGTCCCTTCGGCAGGCGTTCCTCTGTGCTGCTCGCGACCTGAGCCTTCCATTTTGCATAGTCTGCCTCCTTGCTTCGATGAAGCAGACCGAGTGCACCCCTCATGAATGACGTTGGGCTTTCCTTTCTATTAAGCATCCATGTTGATGGTGCAGGATGTGTTCAACGATTGACGGGAGTTATGCTCTCGCTGTGGGGGTTGTCTGCCGAGAGTGTCATACCCTACCCGTTTTTTGTAGGGTACCTATATAATGTTATGTCGGCCGGGATCTGTTACGTAGAAGAGTAGGTACCCTAGGCATGACCTTATAGATAGGGCGAGAGCAAGAGAAGCTTTAGCTACACCCGTTTGTCATCACGTCTGAATTTGCCAAGGCTCAGCATCTCTGCGCGCTTGTTAAGGAACTTAAGTTCAGTTGCTATGGTTATGATCGCAGCCCCAATGGTATGGAAGACGATCACTCGTTATACCGACAAACTATTACTAAAGTTCTTGACACTACTGTTATTTACGTATAGGTGCTTGTCAAAATTATGGCTCCTTTTTGGGTACCCTAAATAATAGGTGCCGTGCTATATTAGGGACCCCAAAAAGGGACCCTAATTTTGACAACCACCCAAAAATACCCGACATCTGCCTGGCAGATCTTTCGTTCTCCCTCCATGAGAAGCTCGCCAGCTCGGGGTCACGATAGTAGTCGCCTCAGGACGATTCAATGCTTCGGCTTCGTAGAGTTTAGGGCGTGGGGGGGGTTCAGGCTTCGGGTTTCGGTCTTTGAGGGTGCGTTTTTTGGACTCAGAGCCCTAAGCGAGGGTTCAGAGGGTTTACGGTTTAGGGGTTGGGTTTAGGCTTCAGAAATTTGAACGCTTCGCCTAGGAAAACGTTAAATCTCGCATGAGGGTGCAGGAGTCTGGATGATAGTCTGGTCGAGTCTCCCACTGTCCCGACATGTCGATGCCAGCCCGTGACAGTCCACACGATGGACCTGATCTGCAGGTCACGGTTCAGGGTTTAGGGTTTAGGTTTAAAGAAATGAGGCAGAAAATAGAATTGGACGGGCTCAGCCCGGCAATTCACGGAGGGTCAATATGTTGATATGGAGCCAAGCAGCAAAATCTGTGTTGTCGAGGCCGGAAAGGGGTTAGCTCATGGCCAAATAAGTCATACGGTGGCAGACTGAAGGAATAGTGCCCCCAAAGTCTTGAGACTGCGATGTCTGTTCCATCCACAGCTCGGGCCTCAAGAACATCTATAACAAAGAGCCTCAACAATCAAATAGGGCTTGGGGAGATATTGTAGTACGTCTTTATTACCAGAAATGTAGGGAATAAACAAACAAAAGGCACCACAAAGAACAATCATCGACAAATGCATCCCGCCCACCCACCCCCCCCCCACCCTCTTCACAAATGAAGGCGCCGCTCACCACCCAGAGCTTGCGCATGTCGGCTTGTATATGATATCAAGCTGGAGAATGAACCAGCAATGTCCAATAATGTAGGCCCCTGCTTACAACAATCCGTTACTTTCCGCCGCTCAGATGGCGCCAAATATTAGGATCTCTACATATCATCCCTAGGGACGGTAGGGGGTTTAGTAATCAGGGCCTACATTAATAAACCCTTAACCCCACGATCACAATATGCTGTAGGTGCTGAACAGCCCTGGGTCCTATGGTGTATCTGAGCGATATGACCTGAACTTGTTCAGTCTTTTGTTCATCTACTTAGTTATTTGTCTATGTGGTCAGAACGACCTCCCTCAGTGTTGCCACAATGAGGGCGAGAGAAAGAGACAGAGACAGAGGGCGAGAGAGAGAGAGAGAGAGAGCGCGCGAGAGAGAGAGAGAGAGAGATAGCGATAGAGATAGAGATAAGAGATAAGAGATAGAGATGAGAAATAGAGATAGAGATAGACAGAGAGAGAGAGAGACAGAGAGAGAGAGAGAGAGAGACAGACAGAGACAGAGGGTGAGAGAGAGAGAGCGCGAGAGAGAGAGAGAGAGAGAAAGATAGAGATAGAGATAAGAGATAAGAGATAAGAGATAGAGATGAGAAATAGAGATAGAGATAGACAGAGAGAGAGAGAGAGAGATACAGAGAGAGAGAGAGAGAGCGAGAGGCAGAGACAGAGGGCGAGAGAGAGAGAGAGATAAGAGATAAGAGATAAGAGATAGAGATGAGAAATAGAGATAGAGATAGACAGAGAGAGAGAGAGAGAGAGAGAGAGAGAGAGAGAGATACAGAGAGAGAGAGAGAGCGCGAGAGAGGCAGAGACAGAGGGCGAGAGAGAGAGAGAGAGAGAGAGAGAGAGGGGGAGAGGAAGGGAGGCGACAGCACATCCAACCTTCTAGAAAACCCAGGTCCAGGGACATAAGGTGCTCCTCAAAGAGTTCGGTGCAGCTGGCCTTATCTCTAGTGTCGAAGAAGCTTTCTTGGAACCGGGTGTTGAGAAGCAGGCTTCCCGGTACAGGGGTCGGTTGGCCTACAACAGGGCTTAGGGGTCAGGATCTGAATCTGACGTTGAGGCTTCGGAGGGTCATGGTGCCGAAATCAGCGTGAGAGCGCAAGACACACACACACACACACACCGAAATGACACATACAGAGCATGCGGGAACCCTGGAACAGAAACTCCGTCTACAAGGTTGATCGACCTCGCCTAGTTTTGCCAGACATCGCTGAACCGACAGAATGTGCTTCAAAAGCTTGGCGAAAAAAAAGTGCTAGAGTTTTAGTTTCAAAGCCGCTTAAGGATACCGACAAGTATGTACCATCCGGCACCTCTACAGTCCCCCATGGCAAACGCAGAAATATCAGGAAGCGACATCTAGTTACCGGAAGTTAATGATTTTTGCGTTGAGCTGTTGGGCTGTACAGGTTTCAGAATACAAGAGGCTCAAATGGATCCTCAAAGGAAGCATCCTGGCTATAAGTTATATGGGAGTTTCCGGAAATAGGGACTCTAATATAGTACCCTAAATAGTAGGATCCTTATTATAAGGACCCCAAAATAAGGTGCCCCTAACTTTCGGAAACTCCCATATAAGTACATCGAAAGCTGCCGTGTCCAATCCCAAAAACACACGGATCGATCCCGGGGCCATGAATCGGGTAGAACGGGCTGTGAGTGGTGGTTGGGGCGGGATGCCAAGATGTTTAGGGTTTAGGGTTTAGGGTTTAGAGTTTAGGGTTTAGGGTTATTAGGGACTATGAGGAATACATGAGTAGATACTCCGACCCAGTTTAGTTCGAGTGGAAGCTGCGAGGCTCAGGAAGAGGGCCACCCCAGAAGGGGTCATTGATGCTGGGGATAGTCTGTCTGCGATACTATGATTATACTGATACTATATTCATTCATATCACTCTTAGTTTTACTAGTATGATCATACCGATCCGGTTCGTCATAAACAAGTTATAGGAGTTATAGATGTGGGCAGCAGTGGCCCGACAAGCACTCCCCTTCGATGCGACAGTAGTTTAGCGCCTGCTGCTTAGGCTTACCACCACTACCACTTGGCACGACATTTAAACAAGATCTTCCCATTGCCAATTGCTGTTTGCTGTTAGTGTGTGGGTGTTCTGACTTGTTGACGGACATCCGAAGCCACGAAATTGAAACGCAAAGGAACGCCCATGTTCCTGAAGCCACGTGCCCAGGGTCAAGCGTTTAGGGTGAACTCACTGCGAGCTCGAAGCCTTCTGCATCAAGCCTCTTGAAGCACCGTCCCTTCCGCCAAACACTTGGTCGTAGTTGCATTTGAGTAGTCGGAGGTATTGTAGTGCGCCGAGTGGTGTTCTGCCACCAGTTCAGCCAAGAACTGCTTTACCTGGTGGCGAGTCTCAGGCCTTTGAACTTCCAAAGCTAGACACAGGATACGAAAAGCAGTTACGAAACATAAACGCCCACACCATCATCAGAATTAAAGATAGGGACAGTACCAACTAATCCGGGGATTACCTGCTCTGCCTCAGGAACGAGGACAGCAGCTACATCAGCCGAACCAGCCAGACATGAGCTAACAAACCCCCAGCCCTAAACCCGAACCCTAATCCGAAGGGCGCCAAACCCTTGGGCCTTAAACCCCGGGCTGCAGCCCTGTCTCACACGTAGACGCAGGCAGCCCCCAGCAGAACAAAGCAGTGAAAGTCCGAGTCCTAGCCTTCTCCGCCTTCCGGAAGCTACGATTCAGAGCAGAGCACCCACGAGCATGAAAAATTGAAACCAACCCGAAAGGCCCTTGCGCCTGAACCGATTCCCCGGAATCAAACCTAACTAGCTCTCGATCCGACCATTTCATTCCCTCCAGCCGGCATCAACGGCTTGCAATCGGTACAACACGATGTAGATCATGGCACAGACCATAACATACCACATCAAATCATTTCGTAACAGAGCATCTTACATTTCATAGGTTTGGTACAGTGTAGCATAATGCAGTGAGACAGGACGGAATAGAGTGCAATGAAATGCTATGCAACGACTAGAACAGCATAGAACAAAGCGGCCTAAGCTCATATTGGGGCAAGGACGGCACATGGGTAGCTCTCTAAATTAGGGTGGCTTTTATGGTCCTTTTTTTTATGAGGGTGCCGTACTGGGGGTACCTAAAGAGGGGTTCTAATTTAGAGAGCTGCTCCCATCGAGGCCAGTCATCGAGGCCAGTGGATTAAGCATACAGTCATACAGGTCAACCCTGAACTTTGCCAGACCCTGAACTTTACGAAACCCCAAACCCCTAAATCCCAAACCCCTCAAGGTATTACTAAACCCTAAACCCCAAATCCTTAAATCCCTAAACCGCGAGACCTTAAATCACGAAATCCCTAAACCCTAATGCCCTAAAATCCCTAAACCCCTAAACCCTAAATCCCTCAACCCCTAAATCCCCAAAATAAATCCTAAACCCTCAAATATCGGATCAGGCCCCCTGAAGACCTGGGCTTCGACCGGCCTCGGGGCCGGTCACCTCGTCCTTGGAGTTGCAGAAGCCCACGGGCCCATACCTAGGGTTTATGGGGGGGGTTTAGGAGTTTTGGGGGGGTTTTGGGACTTTAGGGGTTTAGGAGCTAGGGGTTTAGGAGTTTGAGGAGTTTATGGGTGTAGGAGTTTAAGGGTTTAGGGTTTGGGATCTCGAGGTGTAGGGGTTTAGGATTGAGCAAAGCCCACGGGCCCATACCTCCGCGGCGACAAATCATTGGAGGGATTCACGGCTCGGGGATTGGGGTTCAGGGCTTAGGGACAAGGATTTAAGATTTAGGGTTCGGGTTCAGGGTCGAGGGATCACTTACGTTTTCGGGCGTAGGGCTTTGGGATTGGGTTCAAGGATTTAGGGTATGGGGCTTGGGGATTAGGGTTCGTGGCTTCGTTGACCGGATTGGATCGAAGCCCGAGACGAATTCTTCAACATTCCGGGAGTCCTTACGGTAAGGATCTTCCGATGTCGAATTTGTACTGGAAAGCACGTATTTCTGAAACTCGCATGGAAGAGTAGTGTATCGGCTGCGACCACGTACTTACCGAATCAGAAACCCTAAACCCCAAACCGCGGTTCGTGAAGATAAGTGCTGGAGACGAAGTCTCAGTTTCAACCCTAGGCTCCCCAAACAGGATGGAGCCCGTATAGGGTTGAGAATTTAGGGTTTAGGACTTAGGGTTTATAGGGTTTAGTTTGCTACAGCTCGTCTTCCAGAAACACACTTCTCGAGAAGAAAACGCTTCGGATGAACCCTAAACTCCCTAGACTCCATGAGCCCTGCTTGGAGGTTCATGGGTAGTTATAAGTGGGGTTATATAAGTAGGGTAACTATACTTACAACGCACATTAGGGGACTTATCACGCTACTTAGCACTACCCATGAACCTCCAAGTAACCTCTGAAATCCAGGGTCAGACACTTCGCGATGCACGCTTTGGAGTACTTTGCCCCAGGGTTCAGAAACCATGCTTCATGAATTCCTAAACACTTCGCATGGCTTATATTTTATGCCTCGGGCAAAGAGTTTTGTTGAGCTGGCCCGTCGACTTGTGGCATATGTGCTTTGCAGACTATATAATCGGCGTCATATGGGGCACACTTAGCGAGCCTACCAGATCAACAATTGCTTCACGTGAACCTAGACTCTACATCTATGCATACATGAGCTGTCACATTGGATCGTAATCTTGATGTAAGGCTGAAACGGCTCAGTTGTTGGGCTTGTCGTTCCAAGAAAATTACAGTGCTTGCAGGGTTGAGGGTTTGGGAGACAATCACCACTATGAGTAGTAGATACTAGAATTCAATAGAACTAAGACTGTTCTTAGTGTTGGTACTGTCATCGTTACATGTCTTGACCATTGCTATCAAATCATGACTGTTACCAATTATGAGTCTTGGTATTGCCTGTTGAACAACGCAACCTGCCGGGTCTCCACCAGGAAGTATATGTAGGTTGAGGTATGCCTTGGGGTCTTTAAACAGCCCGTCCGAGTCACGCATAGAGCTTTCTGAACTCCCGCAGGAGATTCCTCCAAAAGCTGGATTTCTTCATTCTGTTGGGCTCTGAAGGACAGCAGTTCGAGAGAGTGTTACACTTTTCAATCAAGGTCCAACACTAAGAAACAGCCAAGACTAACCTGTGCTGCTGGTGTTCCCTGCACCAAACACAAACTGAGATGCTAACACGGCGGGCTCAAACCAGAACATCCATCGGCCTTTCTTGGAGGAATACCAGCAGAACTCAAGGACCAATCAAGATCTCAAGCTCCCCTGCATCGCAAAAGCTCTGAGAACAGACCATGTCTTCAAACAAACTACCTCGTTTGTAGTCAGCCGCTGCCTTGCCAGTCATTGGGGTGTTATTCCCGCATACCTTTTCCAGGACTGCAGTTTGAAGCCTCGAAGCCCTAACTCCGGTAAACCCACTTCCAAATCCCGAAACCCTGAACGCCGACGTGCCGGCCTCTCAGCGTTGAACAGCAACTTCCCATCCGAGTAGTAAGGTGCCTCAAGATACGACGGAAATGCCGGTAATTATCATTGATATTGATACTTAGAACCGATGAGCGTGATGGTGATGATGACGATGGCCTCTGCCGCCACCAGCACCAGCACGAGCACCAGCACCCGCATGCATCCACAACCACCGGGCCGCCACCACGACCACCACCAACAACAACAAACAACAGCAGCATTATGAACAATAACACCATCATCATCATCATCATGATCATCATCATCATCATCACAATCAACATCATCATCATCATGAGCAGCAGCAGCATCATCGTCACCATCATCGTCATCACCCTTGTCGCCACCACCATCACGACCACATTCATCATCATTACCGTCATCACCATTACAGCCATCGCCATCACGACGACATTCATCATCGCTGAATTTACGTTCATGCCGAGGGATCTGACCTAAACGCAGCAACTGTCAGCAGGCTGCACTTCGGTTAATTGCCCAGAGACTCCAATATCCCTTAACTACGGAATATACCCTAAATTATAATAAGATCCCTAATAAACTTTAAGGTATATTCCTTAATTAAGGGATATTGGCGTCTCTGGGTCACGCACGACCACAGAGACAGAGTCGCTCGTCCTGTCCGAGCCTGCGCTTGCCGTGCGCTTCATCTGAAGCGTCTGAACACCACTCCGCGCCCAGCACAATCCCGACTCCCAAGCCAAAACCCTAAACCATAAAACCCTAAAGCCCTAAAACCCCTAAACCCTACATCCCTAAACCCTAAAACCCCTAAACCCTAAATTGATGCAGATCCCTCCGCCTGCTTCAGCTTCTCGGGAAGCTTATTGAACTCTTCATCCTTGAGGAGAGCCTGCTTCGGATCAAAAGTTGCATGTCAGGGCCTATCGGCTTTAGGATTTAAGGCTCGCTTTTCTTGTTTTTTGTTTTGTTCAAGCCCTTTTCCGTGTGCTGAGGCGTCTGAAACCCAGAAATGCCAAAGAGCCTCGTAGTCCGAGCCTCAAGCTTAGGGATTCGCGGTTAAGGGTTTAGGGGTTTAGGTGTTTAGGTGTTTAGGGTTTAGGAGTTTAGAGGTTGAGGGGTTTAGGGGTTGAGGGCTTTAGGGTCAGGGTTTAGGGTTTAGCCAAGTTCCCCACCTCGAACCGAAACTCCGAATCAAAGCCGCGGCCCCTCCCTGAGTTCGGTCTCCGAAAAAGCTGTGTACAGCGACACAGTCATGCCGCTTTCACACAGGATTTATGGCTGAGAAATTAAGCTAATAAAGACTCAGAACTTAAGTTTTTCGGATGTATAGGGCATATAGGGTCAGGGTTTAGGATTGAAGCAGACTGTCACCTGCTCTTTTCCTTTGGCCGTATCAGAAACAAGCAGGGGGACAGAGAGATGAGCATGACTGAGTGCCTCAGACCCTACGGAGATCGGAGCCCTCCACAGAGAGGGGGGGAACATTGCGGCCCTATGCCCGGCTTTAGCTAGGGGCTCAGTGGTCTACGGCTTACGGCATAATTGGGAATTAGGGTTTGAGGTTAGGGCTCCATCTCGATGGTGGCATGAGTTTCTTAACTCAATGGAGGCTCTCAGTGGACCTGTCTGTGGTAGGAATTTCATGATCTGCCGCAGCAACGTCGCCCCTCTGCGACCATGGACCGTGAAGCTTGCAATTTCGAAACAATGTTCGCACCCCCAAAGCCTCTTATTTCAAGAGTCAGCACAGAAAGATCTGAGCCAGCAAAAGGCATCTACTTCCAAGGCCCAAGGCTTCAGATCTGAGAACCTTATACCGCCCCAAAGGCCACTAAAATTCGAGAGTAGGAATTCAAACCTCAAGCAAAGGACGGGTTTAGGGTCTAGCAGGGTTTAAGGTTTCAAAGCCGGACACCCCGAAACTCTCCACTCCTATGGCCTTGTGCTTTTCGGGCAGTGGCTGCAAGCTCTTTGGAACGACCTCACTGAGCCCCTCGAACCTGCTGGGCATCAAGGGATTCGGGTTCCGGATCCCGAGGTTCAGGGATAAGCGTTGAGGATTGTGGGTTTTCGGGTGTTGGGGTCAACTGGCTTACCTAGCTCCGCAGAATCTGGATCGGCAGGTTAGTTTTTTGTTTGTTTTTACATGTCTGCCTATGCACACGCAAAGAAGAGTGTATGTAGCTGTGTGTAGGTGCTGATTAGAGACATGCGACATACCAATAATATGCATGTACGAAGATTCAGACGCACATAGCCGTCTATATCATTTTTAAATCATGTTTATATGCAGCGTATATACGCGCAGTATGTGCATGAGCATATATCTATGTGTAGATATTGTTGGATGCAGAGCTGGATTTACACAAGTCTGTATGTATGTATTCATGCATGTATGTACGATGCTATGTATACTGTTGAAAACATGCAAGAAAGGATGTAGCAATGAACAACAAAAACAGTGTAGGTGCACAGTAAAAGGCAACCGAGTAAGTAAACAAGTACGCGAGTAAGCAAGTGTATGTATGAATACCTTACACATGTAAACATGCAGACTGATATTGCGGCTCACTGATATTGCGGCTCTCTCTCTCTCTCTCTCCCTCTCTCAGTCTGCCTCTCTCTCTCTCTCTCTGTCGCTCCCTCTGTGTCGCTCTCCTTCTCTGTCGTTCTCCCTGTCGCTGGTTGCTCTCTTGGTCTCGCTCTTTGGCTAGCTCTCTCTCTCTCTCTCTCTCCCTCTCTTCGCCTCTCCCCCTCTCCCCCCCTCCCCCCTCCCTCTCTCTCCCTCTCTCTCCCTCTCTCCCCCTCTCTCCCTCTATCTCTCTCTTCCTCTCTCCTCTCTCTGTGTCGTACTTTGTGACACACGCACACACTGGACCTGAAATTCGAAGCTTCTGCCGCTTAATGAATATCGAAACCACATGGCCACCTGAAGCCTCAACATCAACCAACAGGGCATCGGAAAGCCCAAAGCCCGAACCTGGATGTCGAGTTAGTCCAGAACGAGGTGATTCTTTCAAGAACGGCAGGATAAGATGTACCCTAAAAGCTCATTTCAAAAGTTTACATACTCACATAACCCCTCAAACCCTAAACCCATTCTTAAAGAGCACCATAAAGGCGGCTCAAGGGCTCCACAAATGGAGTCGACCGATGCAAAACATGCCTTTCTCCGATGAGAGTGTGCCTTAACTCAATGGGATTCACTGGTTGAGGGTTTGGGGGTTCAGAGTTTGGGGGTTTATGGCTTCGGTTCTGGGTCTTAGGGTTTCGGCATTTGTGGCTGTAGGAGGTGCGGATGCAGTTTTCAAAAGTCCTTGAAGAGAGAATCTGAGAACACCTTCGGGTGTCAGGATTGACGGCTCTTGGGGTGGCTAAGGGGTCTCACTGTATTGCGTAGAATGTGTCGGGAGCTTGGGCTTTCGGGGTCAGACGGCTGTCATGATCAACCAAGAGACCATACCCGAAGAGGTGTTGGAAGTATGGAAGGCCCGATTTCAAATTTCTGGGTTCATGCTTTAAGGTGTAGGGTGAGAGTCTCTCGCTGACTATGGCCTTGGGGGAGAAAGACATCGGAAGTCAGCCTGTACACAAATCTCCACAGAGATGGGTTTAGGGTTTAGGGAAGCTAAGGGTTGGTGCCAATTGCCCCGACTGTTGACCCGATCCGCATCTGAGAAGCCAGGGAGGAATAGGATCATTTACTACAACTTAGGGTTGACAATGATTGTTGACATGAAAATTACTGCCAACTCAGAGAAGGGACAACACCCTAAAGACTTTGGATGGCAGAAAACTATGGACGCGTTGTTGCCACTTAGGACTTAGGAGGCTTAGATCATGCATGACAAACGAAGATGGCTTTGTCGCAGATATGGAAGCTCTCCTGCGGAGCCTTTCGTTTAAGTACCCCAACAAGACACCACTCCGTCAACGATCACGACTTGGTGATGCTTTCTTCGGTCGATAGCCAGTTAGTCGTTTGCCTACTCGCCATCATATACCCCTTTGTGCATGTTGGTTCCCGGCACGCTCTCATCCGAATGACCATCGCAAGAAAACAAGATCCATCCCATACAGCCTGTGCGCTCCCTGTATTCTGAACTCATCCAAAACGCAAAGTAGGCCAGGACAGCCCAAGAAACGCTTAGAACATCGACGACCCTTAAACAAAACCCCGGACCTGGGGCAACAACCCCCCAAACCCTAAGCTGCACATCGGCAGTTCTTCTCCCGAGGATACCGAGCAGCATAGCTTGCAAGTTGATGAAGATGGATCCGAAGGTGAAGACGGACAAGAGCCGGCGAAGCGGATGGTTGGGAGACCTCAGGAAGCCTAATATACTTAAGCTAGTACCCGCAAAAGGCCGCTTGTACTAGCGCTGACAGGGCTGCTGCAGCACCTTTAAAAGGGCCCTTGTATGTTATGTTGTATATGGTATCTTGCAAGTAAACTGAAGCAGCTTTGCAAGTCTCAGTGGAACTGTCGAGGACCGCTCCGCCCTAGGCCAAGGCCTATAGCCACCAAGTGTTACAGGTAGAACATTTGTGTAGGGAGCCGGCTCAAATGGCCCAAAGAGCGGTTTAGGGTCTAATAGGTTTTTTTTAGTTTAGGGTCTAGCATTTAGACTTTGTTGTTGGCTTCAATTGCTTCCTACTCTAATGGAGGAGGATCCTAACACGCATCTGGCTAGCTAACCCGAGACAGCTACATTGGAGGGTATACCCAGATTGAAGTTTCAACAGCAACATCCTAAACCCAAGCCCAAAAAGCTAAGCGACAGAACCCTCAAAAGAACGCCTGTCCAGGAATCCTCAGAGAGAATTCTGTGAAGGATCTTGGGTCAAGCACTGCGGAGGGTTGGCAGTGATATCCCTGTAGAATCCCCATGCAGTCCCTTTATAGGCTTTGCTTGCAAATATCAGTGTAAACCCAAAACGCTACTCAAATCTACTGAGGGCCCTTTATGACATCCTCCAACCTTTGGCCGAAATGCAGCGCTCTCCGGGTGGCTGTGGCAAGGACATTGGCTGCGCGAAAGTGCGTCATGTGCAAATGGTCCGAGAGAGTGATCACCTTCACTTAGACGCCCTAAGAGCCAGAATACGAATACCTACTATTTCCAAAACCCTTGGAGATTTAATCTACTAATCTCAGCATTCCCAAGAACACTGAAGTTTAAGTTTAGGAGTTGTGGTTTAGGGCGTGAGGCCGCCGGAGTTTTGGTGTGGCTTCAGAATGGATTTTGACCTTTAACTTAAGGCTTTAGTGTTTAGGGTTAAGGATGTTGGGTTTAGGATTTGGGGTTTAGGGGAAGGAGCTTGGTAGGGCTTGTCTAGGGTTCATGGGTCTTCGTGAAGTTCATGATGCTCAGGGGTTTTGGGCTTCGGGCTCCACGGATTCCGGACACCTGATGGTGGTTTCTTTTTGGGGTGCATGTGGCCGTACGCCATAGAGAGGTCCCCAAAAAGGCCCTGAAGGAACCCCTAGACGAAACCGCTTGTAGCAAGCCCTCTAGCATGCCTTATGGTATCCAGGGACCCCCAGATCCTGAGGAGTGTGCAGAATGTACCTGAACCAGAAACCAGCAACCAGAAGCTTCGAATTCTGTAGGCCCTATACCGGAGTCTTTGGGTTCTTCTGACCCTTGATAAGGACCCCGAGGTATATACCCTTAATATAGCTAGTATATACCCATTATATCGCCCATTCTGGGGTAGGGGTCGGGGTATATACCCTTAATATAGCAATTATATACGCATTCTATCGCCCACTATAGGGTAGGGGTGCCCAAGCCCGAAACCAACAAGCCTTAAGTCCCAAGGTTGCTTTGGGGGAAGCCCGTGCCTTCGAGTCATCAGGGATGTAAAACGTTTCTGTAAAGTATCAACAAGGAATCAATTAGGGATACCTTATATTTTTTGGGGGAGGGGGTCCTTTATAATAACGATCATACTATTTAGGGTCCTACATTAGGGTCCCTATTTTCGGAAGCTCTCCAATCGCCGACAAGGGTTGGACAAGGGCTCTCAGAGCTTCAATCACCGTCTTAGGTGTAGGCATAGGCTCAAAGAGGAGGATGACCTGCAGGACTCCTAACCGATAGTACGAGGAGACGGAAATATGTTCGACAAGTCGTAAATCTGAGGTAGGTTGTAAATAGTGAGATTTTTACACTACCAAGATAGGTTGTAAACAGTTTAAAGTAATTGCAATGTAGCATACCCCCCCTTGGCCCCAAATAAGATCCTAGCCAGAATGTGCTGAGGCCATGTCAGGGCTTTGAGAGGATGCCAAAACCTAGAACCATGCATTTAATTATCTTAGTTGCTGAGTTCATAAGCCCCAAAAAATGTACACTTGTAGTTGTAAAGCAGGTAATATTATCCCACAAAGTGTAAAGTGTATCCATTCAGCTACTAAGTTATGAACATGTCGAGCACAGCAGGAGCCATTGCACTAACCTCGACTGCACTCAACTGCGGCCCGTGTCACCGTAATCAGAGAGCAACGCCAGACGAACTTCCAGTACTGCCTTGTCTAGGCCGATCACGAGCATCGGGCATAGTGTTAAGGTTTGTGGTTACGGGCCATGTTGGGGCCCGGGGGTAGTAGGGTTTTTGGGTTGCGGCTTACTCCGGTCATCAAGGGTTTACGGGCATGTGGTCAGTACCAATCGCCTTTTTTCAGATCCCGAGAACGGCTTCCAAAATCCATGCAAGGCTGAGGCTTCCTAGGAATCTACTTTGTTCATAAATCGTGAAACATAGTATGCTATATTATGTTACATTGTACTATACTGTATTAAACTGTTGTGTAGAAACTATGGAGTGTGAGGTCTGAATGCTCTTACAGCTTCTGATGGAGACCGGCGGCTGATGCACAGGGCTTATGTACATCAACACTGTCTCTTAGGGCCTTCGGGGTTAGGGCTCCTTGTCACGACTTTCCTGCACAAAAACCTTCGCAGGGCTTATAGGCTTTAGGATAAGCAGATTGGCTCCTAGGCTCTACGGCTTCGGTTTAGGGTTGAGGGTTCGGGGTTTCAGTACTTCTGGCTTTGAGTCGGCCACGACTGCAAAGGAGAAGGAGGCTCGCAACTACTCGAGGACTCCCGGGGTCAGATTTTGGACATGCTCCCAGCAAAGAAGCGCCATGAAGCAACTAACCGAATCTTCATGAGGCTGGGTGGAGGAGCTCCTGAGACTGGTACTCTAAAGATGATCCTGACGATGATGCTGATGTTGCTGTTGCTGTGGTTTAAGGTTCGAAGTTGGGGTAAATACATAGCCTTACGAGGGCAGGAAGATCTTCCCTCATTTAATGGAGGGCAGTGGTCCGCTCCGATACTCGTATCTGAGTTCTATTCTAGGGCATTGCCGTGCAAATCGCGCAGGTTGAGTGGGAGACTTGCAACAGACTCGTGGGAACCCGACTCTGTCACTCGGTGAGGCAGTCTCAGCGAAAACTGTCACAAAGATTTCAACGCGTGGCCATCATGGCAGCCCTTCTTTCCTAAAGCAGAAACCTAGAAGCGATGGAACACAACATGCCGAATACAGTCGTAGCTTCTCATGCCTAGCGGAGCAGCATAAGTGAGCCAGCGGCAAAACCTATGAGACCGCCTTCCCAACCTTTACGTGGGGTTATCGCTTTTGGGCGGGCACCTTATCGTTCTGCAGGATTTCCAGCTATCTATCTGAAAGCGAGCTGATAGACATATTGGGCCTGAAGCAACAGAGTCGAGGCTGAAAGGTTATGTAAGGTGGTTTTTGACTTGTGTCTCACCGGTTGCAGAAAGGCTCGGGTCGAGGGCTTGGGGCTTCAAGTCGCTGGCTTGTGTAGGAGTTGGAAGATCCCCACATAAAACCAGCCATGTGGGCATGTGGTGGATATGACTACCAAACCGACCTGGCGGGTTATCGCTTCGTTATCGATTTAGACACAATCTGAACAAACTGCAAAATTTGCAGAACTTGACCTTTCGTGATGACACGCTCCTCTTGATGTTATCCCAGGGTTATCGCTTCTGGGCAGGCGCCTTATCGTTCTGCAATGTAAACGTAAACAAACTGATGCCCGGGTAGGCCCGCAGACTAATCCTATGTACGGAGAGAAACGCCTGTAGCTCAAGTCAAGACCGGCAATTCCTTGAATAACAGCTAGAATCTGCAAGCCCAGCAACAGACCTACCTTTTCAAGGGAACTATATACAGAAACTATAAAACATGAACCCTGAAAACCTAGGTCTCTTCAGCTACAGGTAAAGCCTTTGTAAGGTTCGACTCCTTGGACCCTCAACACGCAACAGATTAGATACTGCATGATAGTGGACCCTGCATCTGCAAACAAGGAGCCAGTCCTTGTGTCCTCGCCCAATCTGCCGTCCGTCCGCCAACTCCATCATGGCCGGGTAGCCGTCTTTTGTGAAATAGAGGTCGCCCTCGTACTTGCCTGGGGGGAAGGAGGAAGGGTGTAATATAAGGGCCTTCAATGATTAGAACAAGGCTCGAGGTACATTGTGGCATAGCTGAAATACTAAGTCTTTACTATCATACCGAGCCCGTAGAAAGAGTATTAATTACTACATTAATAGCACTGAAGCGTCTATATGGCTTCCCTCTGTGCATGAAGCCCGACACTCCCGTCGTCTCAACCTTACTAGAGCTACACCTCTCATGGCGGGGTTTAGGAGAACAGCTTCAACGGGAAATTCAGGGATGAAACTTTCAACTGGGGCTTAGGGAGCTGGGGTTTGGGATTTTGGCACTACTGTTGATGGACAAAAACCTGCATTACCCATTATAAGGAATATATACCATAGCTCCCGTAGTTTAGAGTCCTTAGGGTCATGCAGGATTTTGTCCATCAGCAGTATGGGTGTTGAGGCACAGATTTGGGTCTCGGGTATGGAATGTGAAGCCTCCAGTCGTGAACTGCGGGATCCCACTGCTTATCTGTTTAGGGACCCTTGTCCGCCTGCAGACCCCGGCGTTTCGGTTTAGGACTCCAAAGAACGATGATGCAGACCGAAAGCCACCTGAGTGTGCGGGTTTAGCGCTTGATTCTACTAGACTTGTGTATGTCAGGACTATAAGGGGATAGGGGATATCATCACCATACTGCAGACTCGAGAGTGATCTGCCGCGGTGCCGAAGTTCTTGCGCACTGCGAGCGCGCTGAATATGTTGAGACGAATCACCTAGGCTTCTGCGGCAGAGTTTCCGCAGGTAAGCTCAAATCCCCAACGATGTGACAGCGAAAGCATGGTGTCCCGGGCCTTGTAACTAGGGGCCCTGTAGTCTGCAAGCCCAAAATCCTAGGACACAAAATTTACCCACAAGCCTAAACCCGAAATCCTGTGACCCTGAACCCTGAATTCTCACAGCCCCATCCGGGCAATCATCCACTGCTCTCCTAATTGTAATAATGATAGTGATAAGATCATAGCGCTCTGACTAGTGATCATTTTCGGTCATAACCATCGCAAGGATGATCCTATGAATTTATGACGAAACTCGGGTTCATATTTCTGAGAAACACGATGGCGAGGGAACTATTCCCTAAACCCGAACTCCCAACCCCCAATATCGTCTGGCTTTCTGAACCCTAAACCCAGAGGCGTAAAACCCAAAACACCACGCCCCTGAACTCACCATGAATTACACGCCCAGCTTCAAAGGGCAGGCTCTCTCCGCCGTACTCCAACGGTTTGGCGAGATACTCCACCTGAGTTAGGGTTCAAGGGGCTTGGGATTTCGGGTTTAGGGATCTTCTTCCGTGACTGCAGCATTAGCCACGCATTGAAGTAGGACTCTTACAGTAGGACGCATCTAAATCCTCCAAGACCATTGAAAATGAACAGTCGGCTGATCGTAGTGCCAGTTTCGTCAATCCTACCGAAGAACGAAAGCACCGACGTGCGCTCTTGCCGTTTCAGATGGAGAGGGGTTCACCGAGCACGATGGCGGGGCTCAAATATCTAGCACCAAATCAATCGATCAGCAAATGCCCAGACATAAACTGTAAGATCGTTTCATCGCATCATCCATCGATTGTGCTAGCCATTGCTGCTGTGTTCTGAAACGCTGCCTGCCCAGATGAAGAAAGTATGCTGCTTCTGATGTTCTGCACAGGTTACACTCAATCCTGCTGGTCTATGTGCGGTTATCAGTATCGGGAAGGAAACCACTGATATCGCTTGTCCAACTACTGCGATGCGTGTTGCCATTGCTGTAGAAACCATGATCACGGATCAGTTTTCGTGATGGTTCTGCTCAAAGTCTCGGACAGACACTGATCGGCTGTACGAGCGGAAAACCGCGGGTAACTCAGATGTCGAAGTATAGTATAGGCTAGACTACACTTTACCATACTAAACTAGTATAGGGGCCTAAATAATATCATTCCTTAGGGTTCCTTACCAGACCCGATTGAATGCAAATGAACGCCCTCCCCCCTTTCCAAAAAACATCCGCTTATTCCAGCCAGCATTTTATCAATATACTTTGTTATACTATTTCTTCAAAAGATGAGAAGCTTATAATATACTGTACTATGTAGAGCTCTTTGCGCTTCCTTGCGAAACCGAGGGAACGACATGTTCGAAGCCTGGCCTGGCTTCGTCATGCCTTCATCCGACATTTTGATTTTAAGGTTTAGGTGTTACCTGTAGCAGAAAAGACTTGCCTCTGTACGATTCCTTATTGCAGTTTGTATATATATATATATGTATATATATATATATGTATATATATATATATAGAGAGAGAGAGAGAGAAAAAAAAAAGAGTAGGTCTTTGGGACCACAGGTAGGGTCTTAGGGTTTACGTGTTTGAGGTCTTGGTGTTGGGGTTTAGGGCTTAGGCGTTTAGCGGTTAAGAGGTTTGGGGTTTACGGTCGAAGGGGTTTAGGACATAAATTTAGGAGGCCATAGGGAACCAAAGAAGGGATGTACAATGTAGACTGTAGGGAAATCCAACCTCGGCCAGGACCTTTGTACCCACATAGTATAGGCACTTGGGGTCTGGTGGAGGGTAGATGAAGGGTCTAGACATATGCTGAACCTACACAGTGCGGTGAATAAGAATTCGCACCACATCGACGGCTGTGAAGAAAAAGAAGTTGGGACTCTGTCCACAGAAAGCCTAATCCCACTGATGTACGAACAAAACCTGCCATACCAGCAATAAGCAGCAATGAAATCAGTACGATTGTCAGATGCCTGTCTGTTCTCAAGTGTGATCGTTTACCCATGATCGCAGCAACAACGGTAAACCCGACACGCTAAACTTAAGCCCTGAAAGTACGTAATTATCAATTCAACAAGGCACGCGGTGACTGGCAATCAACCCGAAGGCAATCGATTTCTCGAGTGCATCATCCCACCTTTGACATTTAGGGGTGCTGAGACACTTTAATCAAACGCAAAGCAATGTTGAGTTGGGAGGGCGGGGTATGCTATCATGAGTAGTTTCCGTGTGTGAGTATGGCCCATCTGTGGATTGCTCGACTGTAGGCGTCTGCCGGCAGCCGCCGACAGAAGGCACGATTATGTATCTAGTACTAGCACAGGCTTCTTCTGCGCTGTTTAACCTGTAACTGCGCAGGTTGAAGTCCAAAGTTGGAATGAATGAGCTGCATTGATGATAGTTGGCGGCTCAGTCGCAGGAAACGAACCCTAAATCGCACAATGCTGATATGAACGGCTGTTGCTGTTGCGCAGTATGATCACTGCCATACTTTGGCTTTCCGTTCGGTTCATTACTCTAGAGTCTACAGGGTTTGCGGCCTGAATAGATTTAACAACAAATTCCTGAGGTTTTCCAGGATAACATTGACTCACCGAGGCCATGCACACTGTATGGACAGAGGGGTCAGAATATTCCACTCGGCAGTTCCCAAAAGCATGAACCCAAAAGACTCGGAGCTGCGCAGCTGGCAGTCGGTAGCCAAAGCAGTAAGATTGCAGCATTTAGTAGCTACTAAGTACAAGTGGTGATGGTGGTGGTCGTATGGGGTGGAAGGATTGGTGCTGGTGCGGCGCTAGTGCTGCTCAGGTGGCGGATCATGGCAATAAGACGTGTAGTCGTCGCTGCAGTGCGGATTGCTGGTGGATGCAGAGGCAGTGTAGTAATTACTAGTCGTCATCGCACAACCTAGTACGTCACTGGTCCGCCCTATTCTCGTACTGGCAATTCCTCACGAGAATGGATGAATGGTTGAATGGATGATTGGACGGATGGAGGAATGGATGAATAGATGCATGCAGGTACGTAAGTAAGTATGTCGTACGGAAGGAACTTGTTATATAAGTAAACAAGTAAGCATGTGAGCGTGTAAGCAAGTAAACAAGCACTGCGTGCGTGCCTGCTGCCTGCCTGTGCAGGTGCATATGCATGTGTCATGTAGGAAACCCACAGAGATATGTATGTATACATCTATATATTTATATATATGTATACAATCTATGTGACTATGCATTGTTTGACCTATGCATGTGTATCTGCGTACAGTATAACCACAGCACCTGAATCGAGCAATCTTTCGGCCAAGCTGCTCGTCATTCTTCCAGTACCTTGCTTGTTTACGGTTTATAGTTTACGGCTTAGGCTTAAGGGTTTAGGCTTTAGGGTTTGGGGTTTAGGGTTCAGGGACTTTACTCAATCTGTCTTGACAGTGACCAGCTGCTGGGGAGCCCCCAACACTCTCAACCCTTAGCCTAAATGCAGACCCCTGGGCCCCTCCTCTTAGTTGAATCCCTTACCCCTAAACCCCCTGATAAACTTTGAAACCCTATAACCCCTAAATCAACAACAACCCCAGCCGGCTGCGCCAAGATACATCTGCGCGAAGTTCACCTCGATCTCGGGCCAGTTTGCCTTCCACGAACAGAAGCGGGAAATTCTGTTAAACTATCAGGGTGCAGGGTTAAGGGTTTAGGGTTCTGAGCTTTGGCTTCAAGGTTCAGGGTTTGGGGTTTAGGCTTCAAGGCTCAGGGTTTAGGGCTGAAGATTGAGAGTTTATATTTAGGGCTCAAGTCCAGGGTTCAGGGGCAGGTTCAACCTCCTCCGGGCCCTTCCTGGCCTTCCCGTCGAAGGTCTTGTAGCCCTCGTAGAAGCTCATAACCCAATCTGCTTTCCGTGCGTGCTTGAACTTGCTGAGCTTCATGACCTGGGTGAAAAGGGCATGACGAGGATACGCGTGCCAGGAATACGAATTCCAGCTTCAGGTAGAGATTGGTTGTGAGCATGGGGAGATCGTGCCTCACGGGTCACTTTCAAGTCACTGGCACTCAAGGATCATACGGCCACACGGGATAAAGATGTCTTGCAGTATGTGCAATGTGTCGAAGAGCCAAAACATGCACACCCCTCAAGCGACATTAAGCTGAACAGTATCCGATGAGAATACTGTGTTGGTGTATATTTGTTATGCTACACGCAAAACGTCGGGACTTTGAGGGAATCTTGTTCCGGTTCCATCCCGAGAACTCGCGAACTCCGACCTGTTTCCAAGCCCGTGCAGCTTCAGACTTAAGTGAACCCGTTCAGCCGAGCCAATTCCACACGAACCGAATGCCACCAGTAGTTTCAAAGGCTGCAGTGCCCAGTCCGGCAAAACGAGCACAAGCAAAGCTTAACCTCCCTGCTCCAACCCATACACCACCGCAGCCTCATGCAGCCTGCATAGCTTCAGATTGCCCTGCAGCAGCTTCTTCCAGGGCAACAGGGGAGTTGCCCCTGCAGGGTCTGTGTTGGATATTACTATCAACTACTGTTATTTCTATCCCTAGTCCTGTTGCTACTACTAGTAATTTGCAATCATATAAGGCCTGGCACCTTCAATTACCTCAAGGACTCTCCTTGAAAAAACATGTATATCGAACGTGTAGACACCTGGTAAAGCCAGGCACCTGAAATCACGGAAAGGCGCCCTGATAAAGCCCGTCTGAGCACAGGGAATGCTGGTCCAGAACAACCCATTGAACTCTGACGACCCCTTTGCAAACATAGGCGCCTTCACAGTTAGAATAAGGACTAGGATAGGGTTCCTTCGAGGGTTCCTTTAAAGGGTTCTATGAGGGTTTAATCATTTAGCGGCCTCACTAATTAGAGAAGGGTGTTGGGGATATTGTAGTACAGTCTCGAACTTATAACGAACTTATAGCATAGTCATATCTATGAGCCCTAATTGATGCACAATAGTAGTATTGGCCCTTCAGGCTTATGCTACAATTATATGCACCGATAGCATAGGTTTCGGGTCGGAAACCGTTCGTATCCTGCATTCGTTTAATGTACCCCTCACCCTTTCCCTAATCATTTAGACCCCCAAACCCTTAAACCATCTGTTTAACCAACATGAAGGAATCCGAATCTGATCTTTAAGGCTCAGCTCAGTTCCTATCCGGACGGGAGGCGACATCCCATGTATTGCGATCACTCGTCTCGTTACCGTCGAGCCTTTCTCTGGCTTGGGTGGTGCTGACCTATTTGGAGGATCATGGGTAGTGATAAGGGTTCCTTTAAGGGTCCCTTTAAAGGGATCTATAGGGATTCCATAAGGGTATTCATGGGTAGTAAAAGTAGGGTTGTAAGTCCCCGATTATGAGTTATAAGTATAGCTACCCTACTTGTAACCCGACTTATAACTACCAGTGAACCTCCGAGTAGGGTTCACCTGTGGCCCAGAAAACCTTCCTTTGGACCCTCTCAAAAGGAAGTGGTTCAGAGTTGAGGGGTTAAAGGCGTTGCAGAACTACATTCGAATAATATGACTGCCTGCACGGCTACATATGCTGCTCCTGTGGGTTCCTAATTTCATTACTGTAACCAGAAAATATATTACACTCCAAAATTTCCGACTGCAATCATTAAGACGCCTATGGTAGATGGCGAAGTCTTTTACTCCCAACAGTAAACCTCAGAAAGGACGGTTTACAGTCTGGGCAGGGTTTCATCTTCTACAGCTTCAAGCCGGCATCTAGCTGCGCACTTAGAACATTATTGCAAACGAAGGTGCGCGCGCGTGTGTGCGTGTGTGCATGTGTGGGTGTATGGGTGTGTGTGTGTGTGTGTGTGCGTGTGTGTGCGTGTGTGGGTGTGTGGGGGTGTGTGTGTGTAATAAACCGAATGCAAGGTTGAAGTAGCCACGAAGCCGGAGCTGAAGGACAAGTGCCACGCATGATTCCGTTACGAGTTATTGGCTTAGGGTTTAGGGTTTAGGGGATATATTTTTCTCGCAGCCGGGGCAGATGTGGCGGCAAGAAAGCCTTTCTACTCTCGCTGGCAGGGGCTTCGGGCAGACCGAAACCCCAAAGCACCCAAAGTACAAATAACGTCAGAAGGGGGGCTGCAGTATAAGATGGATCATGCATTCGGGTACGTTAGGGTCTAGAGTCTAGAGCTCCTATGGCCTCATCCTATACATAGACATGCCATCATCCGAAGTCAAGCCTGGTGACTAGAAACTGAAATCTAATAAGGCTTCGACATAATGGGATGGATCCTTTGTGAAAGATATTCCAATTGATTGTCCTGCTCTTGCAGACATTTGCGACCATAGTAGCCTTTCAAGACGTTGCTGCATATTCTGCCGGGAGTACATCTGTAAGGAACAGACAGTACTACAAATTATTAGGGACCCTTACGTTACTTCTGTGCAATGATGCCCTTGTCCTGGTGACCTTGTCATGAGGGTGCCCCTTTGGCCCCCTGACTACTAACTACTAGTTACTGTGAGCGCTCAGGCCCGGACACGACGTAAGCCTAGGTCTAATTTCCGAATCTGTAAGACCTGACTATTTTTTGAATTCCAAACCTTCGAAGCCCCAACATTGCACCCAAAACTGTAAGTCCGAAATCCGAAGTACACCCAAGTACCTGTTTGCAACATATTGCAACGAAAGCCGTAAATCACACAGTGACATCCCTGTTACAGCCGAGATCCCAACTTTCCGGTGAAACCCGGCCGTAATTGGGATGCCAAGTAGCATGTCATCCCAGGGAAGCTGGCGCAAGAAGCCTTGGATGATGAGTCCCCGGATCAGAAGCAACAGCAATACAGAACCGCAACGAAGACTATGGTTTACAGGCCTCCGGATCATATGGCCCCTAGACTCCCAGACCCAACGATCATACAAAGTGCAGTAAGCTCTGCTTCTGCGCGCAGAACAGAGCCGAGGAGCCATGGAAGCATGTCATTCCAGGAAGCATCCCGAAGTCAAGCAAAGGCTGAGGAATGTACCTTACTTACAAGTGTTCTTCGAGGGAGGTTCCGTCAGGCTTCTTTTCAGGTGCGAGATGGGAGGATTTGGGCAATGTCGAGGCGCTGTCCTGCCGGTGGCGCTTACTCACATGTTCAATGGCCTACATGTACCATCATGGTGGAACCACAACGATATGGCTTCAGGGTGCTCTCTGTAGTAACGAAGCTGTGTATGCCTATGCCTATGCCACGTCTTGCCATGTCATGTCATCTGCTGTGCTATCATGGAATGGAACCCAAACAGTGCATCTACGCGTGTGGTATTCGTGTAGGAAAGTATGCAGGCAGGCAGGTAGGCAGGCAGGCAGGCTGCAGGTACGTATTTGTATGGAGGTGTGCGCTTGTATGTGTCTGCGTGCGTCGGTTGTGAAATAATGAGAATCTACCAATCTACAGATATAGTCATGTGAACATGAACATCGGTACAAATGCAGCTGCTGATATCTGTGTTCTAGAGCTATGTGGAACCTGGTGTTCTGTTGTACGCACCGCTAAGGAACTGCCAAATACTTGTGAACGAGTAAAGACGCAAATTTTATTTCGCAGCACCTCAGAGAAGTGGATTGGGGCAGTTAGGGCAAAAGACATCCGAAACCTGGCATCCGAGGGTCTGCAGGCAATAAGCTCGTGACATTGCCTGAGGTGGGTACAATAAAGCATCGAACACCTAAACTCGAAATTCGAACACCCAGAAGCCATAACCCCAGACCTTCACGTATCAAAGTCCCCGACCGAAACCCTGAGCATGCTCAAGGGATGAGCCCGATCCCGAAAGCCATAACTTAAAGCCTTATTCTACTGGTAACTGGTAACTAGAATGAGGTGTTTTTTTGAGGATGTAGAATAGTGTAGTATCACGATGCTGGGAGTCAGTAAACTAAACGAATACTCTTACGAAACAGTCCGACCCCTAGAGCAAGTTGCACAATCTGCGTTTACAGCCGAGCTCGTGGATGAGGGATATTATAAGATAACTATAGTTATGATGACTTATAACACCAATTAAGGTACTTAGAAACTTACCTACTAAGTCCCATTTGCATATCGCCTTGAGCTACAATCCCAAAGACACCAGCAAAGCTTTAGACTTTGGAATGCAGCGATAGCCTCATTACAATATATTACGATAATGAACGTTGACACTCTGGCTGCAACGTTGGACTACAATAAAGATTAACGCCCTTCTCTGGAGTCCCGTTTTCTCCTCAATCAGTGCCCTTCACCAGACACTCGTGTTCTGTGCATCACCAAGCACCATTCGACAGGTGCGAAGTGCGGGTTGTCGATGTCCACGTCCGGCGAGATAACATTGCCAACCCGAAAGACCTCCGAGTAGCCCTGGCCTTAGGACTCGGCGGTTTCGTTTGGGGTTTAGGGTTGCCTGTGTTATTCAGACAGGGCTTCAGGGTGTAGGGTTTGAAGCTAGGTCTACAGAAGAAGCTTCACTGCAACGCCCCGGGGCTGTATAGTCTGGCTAATATGTCGGGCTCTGAGCATAGCCTAGAGCGCAGCTGATATGCGTGCGCCGAAACAACACAGAAACGACAGGATGCCCCCCATGCAAGAGCCTCAAAAAGTAGGAACGTAGGGTTTCGGTAAGTTTTCCGGTATACTATGCAAGAACCACAACAGAACATACATGCATGGCACTATAAACTATCAATCACTATTGAGCCCCGGATGTTAAGCCTGCTGAACCTTTTATAAGGCCTATCGGGTCACAGACACCCCCAAACACAGGTGCCAGGGGTGTTCTCTTCATTCGCTGTTTTGGGATCCTGCACTGCAAGCCTGCATCGCGATGAGCCAGTCAGTGTAAGCCTGCCCCTAGCTGTTTGCTCAGGAGCAGGAAACCTTGAACCGTCAAACTGCAATAACCTGTGGTCAAAACCCTCAAACCTAAACGCCCATGAACACAATCGGAGCACACCACCTGGAGTTGTAAGAGCTTCTCCCGATCATATTCACAATCGTTTCGATTATTGTGTCTAGTGTCCAAGGTTCAGGGTTTAGCTTAAGTCCTTACGATGCCGAAGAGCGTCACGACTCAGGATTTACAGTCTTGGGTTTGGGTTTGGAGCTTAATAAGGCTTGGTTTAGAGTTGAGGGTTTTTGCCTTCGAGCTTGCTGGATCAAGGCCGCAATGATTGGCTCACCATAGTGCTTGTGTTTGAGCATTCAGCAACAGTCTCTCCAGGCTTGACCATAAGACTAGTCCAAGATGAGCAGTATGGATTCTCACCTTAATGGCCATGAAGTAGACACAGCGGTACAGAACCATGACAACAATACACCGGTCAGTGCTATGGCTGTAATAATATGAGGGCCACAATAACTCGAACAGGGGCTTGGGGTACATTATACGACAAATGCAGTGCGGAATCTAAGTAACCGTAGCTATTACTAATCATCCTGGCTTCTGTATTGTATGTTTATATATATATATATATATGTGTGTGTGTGTGTCTGTGTATATGAATGTACATACTGTAAATTCAGTTATTCATTATGTAACTGTATATGTATGTGTATATGAATAGACATGTGCATGTACATACTCATGTGTTCATATATTCTGCAAATATTCACATATTCATTTGTTCATATAGCCAAACAATCATATATTCATTTAAAGACTCATGATGCCATCAAAACGAAAGCGACTCGACGCTCGAAATCTTGCCGGCGAACGCTTTGGAACGAAGACGGAGTCGGCGTGGCGCGAGGAGTACATGGGCATTGCTATCAAGTTGATGCCAGCGTAGAGACCTCAGGAGCTAGCCTAAACCTTAACGCGGACAACATCTAGAGCTGAGTCTAGTGTAGGGGATGGGATAGTAATTGTACGAACTCTATACATGTTGTCGAATGAATACATGGTTCCATTTCAATGATTCCATACAAAAATGTGTTTGGCTACTATTTATGTCGGGGTGAAGAAGGGACAGAGCTGATCCATGGGCCTTGCGAGACTTGTAAATGCTCGTTTGGCGGTTTCCTTGCCCAAAAACTTCCTAGCACCTTGCTTTTCCTAGAAAGCCCTGCAGACGGAAAATCCATAAAAAGTAAGATGTGCGAAGAAGGCAGATGAACTACAGGTATAGACCATCGTAACAGAACGGAGAAGCTCCTGTGTCGGATAATGCTTCGGGTTCCGTGGTTCGGGGCTTTTGGAGGGATCTTGAGCCCTCAAGCCTGAAGTCTTCATCAGAGCAGCTTCCCTTCGTCTCGAGCTCCGGAGGCTAAAGAGTTTACAGCTTTTTGAGTTCAATCGAAGCTTATTTACGACTCAGTGGTTCTGGGTTAGAACTTAGCATTGACCTTTTCGGGTCTAGCATCACGGGGAGCCGGATTCCGAATTTAAAACTCCAAATCACAAACACTCTAGACTTCCATAAGTTCTGAGCGTCCTTAGGGCCAGGGTGTTCAGGTTGGTAGGGCTATTGGGGCCTTAGAGGTCAGGGTGCTCGGGTTGACGGCTTTAGAGCACGATGCATCCACTTTAGACTAAAGTAAAAGCCAGAAAGTTGGAATATGATTATCCTAAGCCCTTTATGGTAAATTATAAGGTATCCTACCCTGAAAACCATATTCCAACTTTCTGGAGTTCCCTGTAAAAGGCCTGGGTATCACACGGAGATGAAGCTTTTGGTACCTCCCTCTCTTGCATGCACTTACTAGAGGCGAAGCAGTACAGGGGACTTCAAAACAAGAATGAGGTCTCAAGGTACACTTATTGCCATAGTATACTCTAACTTTCACAGGAGAACATGGGGAACTATACAGGAATCTCCGTCCTGTATTTCTGGCTGCCAAAAGTTGGAAATCCAATAGTCTCAATCCTGAAGAGTAGAGTAGTGTATAGGGAATCCCAGCACTGATTGTCCTTAAGTAATCCAGTTTCCAACCCTTTTGGGTGTACTATGCACACAATGCAAAAGCTGAGCTACCCATGGTGAAGTCATCGGCCCACTCTGGATTGAAATCTTCCGCGCTTGACACCTTGCCTGTGGGCCGAAGGAGACACAAAGATTCGGATATCCTAGTGTAGGGACCTTTGAAATTACCTATGCAAATGTTCCTTGTTGTAACAGTTGTATAATGGGCCCCCAAACCTACTCTAACTATTAAGGCCCCTATATTATGTTGCAGCAACGAATTCTGAATTCAGGGTTTGGAATGCCCCGCCTAGGAGACGACCGATCATCCAACCCACTGTGGATTGCGTCTCGACTTGGCTGGCGACCACTCGAAGCCTGCATGTGAATGTGACTCACTTGAAAAAGCAGCAATGACGCACAAACGATAGCGACGACGACGACGACGGCGACAACAACAACACCACCACCACCACCCGCGCCACCACCACTGCTGCCACCACCACCACGACGACGACCACCACCACCACCACCACCAGCAGCAGCAACAACAGCACAACAGCAACAACAGCAGCAGCAGCAACAACAACAGCACCAGCACCAACACCAACACCACCACGACGACTACTACCGCCAGTTGGGGACTTTGCAAGATACGCCTCATTTCTGGCTTCCAGCTCCGAGTCCAGCATTTTGCAATTTGTTGTTTTCGAAAAGCCTGTGGAAGTGACGATGAGCAACAGCCGCTAGTGGTAAGCACGGCTGCTTCCAAAACCTGGGACATAAGTTTCTCCGTGCGTCAGAGAAGCATCATCTGCATGGCAGCTGGGACGATCTTTGGGCACATGTTGTACCTTGGTTTCTTGAGCACATCCAGGAGTCAAGGACACATGTTTAACCACAAGCGGTGTGTGTCGGGCTCTGTGTGTGCGTGTGTACGCTGTTGGTGATGGTTGTCAGGTTCATTGTGCGGCTCAGGGGGAGGGGACGAGGAGGGGGAGGGGGAGGAGGAGGCATATCGCCAAGCAGTTCCTAACTCCTTCAACTTGTTGATGCGGCCTGCATAGTGTCATTTACAGGGCTTCTGTGGGATGTGCAGAGGTGCCCAGGGTACTGGCAGGTAGGTTTCCGAACAATCGGAAAACCTGAAAACCCCAGAGCCGCAAAAACCGAGAGTGTACTTCCGCAATCCCGACATTATCCCAAACCTTCCCTGACGCCTGCAATGCACAGCATACCTTAACTCTACGAGCCCTGATCTGCCCGAAAAAGAAGACTAGTCTGCTTCTCTGAGGGAGGGGCTCTTCCTCCAACGTCTTCGGTCTCGCTCCCTCGCTGTCTGTTTGGACTTCGAGCTCCTTAAATAGGAGTGGCGCGCATCCACGAGCGGGCTTGTATACTTTAGAAGGGGCCCCCCACCCTGTAATAGTGACTATGAGGACTATATTAGGGCCCTATCATATTCCTATTAGACCACTATTACAGGGTGGGGGCAGCTTCTAATGCATACTAGTCAGTAGTCGCTAGTCTCAGTACGAAGCTTCAAAGAAGCAGAGAGTGGAGTTTCGCTGCTTGTCAGAGTCGCCAGATTTGTTCTTGGAGCTTATAGCATCCCCGACAACGAGGTAGCCTGCAAGCTGTCGACCGTACAGGGCACGAGGGCAAGTTATGCTGCTTGCGGCGGTATGCTACTTGCGAACTGCAAGCAAACACTCCCCTGGAACCAAAACACCATGTATAATCCCAAAACAGATGATATACTTCGTGGGGGCTGAGGATGTGTCAAGCGACCCTGCCATCCAACCTAGAGGGAAGTAGGGCGGCTCGGGGGTGTAACTCTCAAGTTCAACCTCCAAGGCTCCCAGTTTGGCCAGTATTCAAAACTCATCGATCGATACTTTTCAGGTATCTTGGCCTCGACATACCTATGCTACCATATACCACACGAATCAGAAATCCCCAGAACAAATTCATTTGTACTATGTTTTATGTTGCTTCAAGGCATTGTCGAAAGACTCAACGCCTTGAGTAGTGGCACTAGCATGTGGCAGTCTAGCTTCACATTGCATCCACGGCAGCTGGCAAGAGCCCAATTGGCGGAGGCTTAGGGTTGATATGGATTTCAATGGCTTTAGGAGGATGTCTTGCTTGGGAGACTGGCGCGAACTGTGTTTTAGTGCACCGGCTGGCTTCAAATGACTTATCAGAGACTGTCTCTCATAACTGCATTTGACTACGCCCCAAAACCGTCTAAGCTGCCTGTAATGTCTTCTTGCGTTCTTTCCCACTGAATGCGCAGACAGCCAAACCCAGACCCATGTTTCCTGAACCGTTGACTCCCTCGGCTCTCAATCATAACCCTTCATCAAGCATTCATGGCGGCTTGAGAGTACCGGACCTTGACTTGTAGGGGCCCTACCACACGGAGGAGGCCTGACTTCCCCAAACCATAAACCCTAAACTCTCACTCCTGGGCTCTCATTCCTAGAACCTGAACCCTGAACCCTAAACCCCTAAACCCTAAACCCCTAGAATCCCTAACACCCTAGATGCTAAACCCCTGTGGCCAAGGCGCATCTTCCCGGAAGCAGCCGATGTACCGGTCGTGATGGTACCTCTCTGTGAGGCAGTGCTTCTCCTGAGAACAGCGGCCAATCCGAAAACACGATTCCTGGACCCCGGCACATTTCGCAACAAAAACGAGGGAGTGATCCGTACAACTATGTAAGTAAGTAATAAGTATGTCTGCGTGTGGACATACGGATGGACGGCTGGCTGGCTGGCTAGACGGACGGACGGATGGATGGATGGATGCATGCCTGTCCGTCTATCTGTGTATCTGTCTATCGGTCTATGCGTTTATCGGTCTGTCTGTCCAGCTATCTATCTGTGTAGCTATCTAACTATCTGACTAGTTAGTTATCTATCTACCAATATACCTACCTACCTACCCATCTACCTGTCTGCCAATCGATCTATCTATCTATCTCCCTGTAAAACTTCATATTTATCTGTCTCTCTATCTACCTCCCTACCCGGCCTACCCACCTATCAATGGTGCGGAGTATCTCAGTGTGGATGCAAAGGCATGCATACGTTCACATGCAATAATCGAAACCTATACACAATAAAGACAGACAGCCAGCCAGCCAGACAGACACTCAGACCGACAGACAGACCGAGAGTCAGTAAAAGAGAGACAGACAGACAGACAGACAGACAGACAGACAGACCGACCCACCGACCGACCGACCGACTGTTCGACCGACGGACGGACGGACGGCTAAACTTGTCCATCTGTGTTCCTCTGTGTCCTCTCATCTTTTCGTTGCAGCCGCGAGATCGGTCTTGATGTCTGCACTATTTTAATCCTGAAGCCTTAGCACCCAAGCCCTAAACCCTGTCCAGTGATTTGCGGTCTGATGCTGAAGTATTGGGCATTATATCCTTACTGTCGGAAACAACCCAGGCCCACAGCCGTGAATGTGCGCAGTCCTAAACCCTAAACCCTGGCTCGTGCTTCCAGCAAGAACCATGATCCAAAAGCTTCTGAAGCCCCTAGACCCCAAATACCCATTATTGAGGGCCATGCAGGATCCATTGAAGGGCGCTTGGGGGGTCCGGGCCGCTGCATAATCCTGACCTTGAGAAACGAGATGTATATATATATATACATATCTATATATACATACATACATACACACATTTTTCTTAGATACATATACATGTATGTATGAATCTATGTTTACATAGACAGCTGTTCTGACAGTGCGTGCTGGTTGTACAAGCTTTGACCTTTTCGGCTGTAGGATTTTGTAAGCCATCCTGAAGCGGTAAACGCTCAAACAATCCCAACATAGGACACATGTGCAACAAAGGCTCCTTCTTGACGTCGTAGTAGGCCACAGCACCAATCTTACCATGCCAGCCCCTTGTCTTGATCTTCACAAGCCCTCGGATGTGTCCCTTCTCTTGCTGCTGGGAGCCCCAGGGATTCAGGTCCTGCGGCAGAGGACGGACGCTGCAAGTTCGCGCGATGCCGCAGTGACTGCAGTGGTAACAATGAGGAGGAGGTGGTGAGCCAGGGAGAACATTCCTTGACATGGTGATGAGGATGCTGCAGGTCACGACGATGTTGCTGCTGCTGGTGATGATGACGGTGATGACGACGGGCATGGCGACGACGACGCTGACGACGATGACGGCGAGGATGATGAAGGTCATGTTAATCTGTTAATGTTGAGCGAGCTTCCCAAACTCTAGCGATTCTAATGTAACCAGTCTCAGAGAACTCGGATTTCGGATAAGGTCTCAAGTCGATATCGCCCGGCTTCCATACCTCTGGAGGACATCCCTAGCCTTGCCAAAGTGTAGGATTACGATTGTACTTAAAGGCACAAGGTTTGGGGCTTTCAGGGCCCAGGGCTTCAGGCCGCCAGGTTTAGGAGTTGTCCAGCAGAAAAGCCGCTTTAAACACACACCCATCATCCTGCAAGCGTACCACGCACAACTTACACCTCTACGGTTTAGGGTTTAGGTTTTAAATTTAGGGTTTAGGGTTTAGGGCCCCAACCCTTACGCAGCCAATCACTCACGATCCTGAGTCATAGCCGTGCAAACATCCGTGGCAACCTTCATGGAGAGATGGTAGCCCGGACCTGGATCACAACTTTGTACCCGCACTCTGCAATCCGATCCTATGGTTAGCATAGGTTGTGGGATGTATGAAAATATACACTTATGCAGGGACTTTCAAGGGATGTTTCCTCCAGTGTGGACCATGACAGGAACCGTAGATGTCTTGCTCCCGGCTGGTTTGCCATTGAGGATTCAGGATTTAGGTCTTAGGCTTTGGCATGTCCAGCTGCGCGCACATTTGATAGCCAGAGCACGTGCCACAGCCCAAGTCACTCGTAGCTGCAAGGCTTAAGGAAAGAAAGTCGCTCATGTATACATATGTACGTACATATAAAGAAGTGTACATATCATATAAATATAAATAAATATATATATATATATATATATATATATATACACACATTTATACCGATGTTTGGACTCAGATGAAGTGTGGCATATGTATGCGTATACGTCGATTATCGAGCATCTACCTAACTATCTATGTATCCATCTAGCTAGCCATCTACAAGAACTATAAACTATCATACACACGCAGTAGCTAGCTTTTGGTATTGGGTAACTTTGTAAGGAACCTAGGACTACAAAAAGGGAATAAGGGTACTACTGGCATCCTAGGTAGTTATCTAGCACTGCCAGGCGTCGACTTCAACATGCAGGGGCTCCGGATTTTGTGGCCGTGGAAAAATATCAACAGTAAATTCCTAACCTACAGCAGCTGCGGAATCCGGCTTACATCTCGCTATTCTTGGGGGGTACCGCTTAGATTAGGGTTCAGGGGGAGGGAAGCTTTTAACTACATTGGCACACATCTTCTTTTTGGAAGGAGAGCTGAAATGCTTGTGTTCTGCTAACTGGCGTGGAGCGCGCGAGTTTGGAGCTTATGCCGAAGCCGCATACCCAACTGGTGGGTTGAAACCCCAAGGGCACTGCGAGACATGGCATGATAGCTCGTGGCACTTCAGGCTTCCCAGTGTTGAACACATGATGAGTCAGGCAGGGTAATATAACATGCTATCCACAGAGACCCAAGGAGGCAACATGCCAAACATCCAAATAGCCTACCTCGGAACAAAAGCCAAACCTGTGACGGTGGCAACACATGCACGCTATAAGCCCAAGAACTCGTAAATCCGAAAGCATAAACCCAAAACCTGAACCAGGGCAAGCCCAGGGCAGCCCAAGGGACAGAAGCGAGGAGCACCGCTGTAGTTTCCTTAGCTGACTATCAGGATTCAAGACGGGTTTAGGGTTTTAGGGACTATAAGTTCTTTACCAAGCGGAAAGCGGTGTGGTTGCACATTTAAAGCATGGCTATACCAGTTATACACGAACCAGACGGAAATACAGGTATAGCAAGCTTAGTTTACAGTAGGTGTGTTCAGAGAACCTGCCAGGCTCGATACATACCTTTTGAAGGAACTTACACCTTCTGCGCAACCCGAATGTATTTCCGACTATTGAGTGTGTGTGCGCGCCGGTGGGGGGGGGGGGCATGTGTGAAGATGTAGTGTTAAGAGGACTCTGTCGGAGCTGATGAGCTTGCAGTGGCGGCAGACTGATTGTAGGAAAATAAAAGGATTCGGGACAGCAAGCTCGCTTACAACTGTGGCTCCTCTGGCCTTCGTGTTCTCATCCCGCTCTGTAAGCATCGTGGCACGAACCGTCTCAAGGCTTCTCAGACACGCCAGGCATACAAATGCGGAGGACGAAGGAAGCACGCACATGCTGCATAAGCAAGTCTCGGAATGTGTGACTGCACGGGCATACTTATAATACATACCCGCACAAACACAAACGTCATTTTACATGACCGGTGTCTGTTTGTCTGCTTGCATGTCTACGTCCGTGCGCATGTATGCTTGCAGTCTTAACACACCTGCAAGTGTGTACGTGTGGGCGTGTATTGACGCACACATGTGCATGTACGTACGCGCACGTGCATGCCCATGTACGTATCCAGGTGGCGCACATGCACGCCAATGTGATCGACCGGATGTGTGTATGCGTATGTCAGCATGTCAAGAGCTCCCCGAAGCCCGAAACTACTGAAAAGACTAAGTTATGACTAGCTGGGAAAATCAGCCAAGCTTCTGGCCATGACATGCTCAAGCTTGCCATTCCAGGTCCTCAGTTCAAGAGTTCGGGGTATGGGTTCCGCTTGCGGTGGCTCATTGTATGCTTCAGGTTGCAAGTAGCCACGCGCCGGGGGTGGGGGGGCTGCTGTTCATACCCATCTCTGAAACCTGCAGATCATGTGCCGGGAACTTCAATCCCAAAGCCCTGCACAGACGATCCTAGGAATGAAAAGACATAAGTCTATCTTCCCACATCAACCCGAATATATACCTGAATTCTGGAAAAAGCTGATACGGGTTTGACGTGTGTTACGCTTCATGTGCTTTGGGTGCACGGCGCTGTGTATGGTTTGGGGTTTAACAATGATGACTGCGCGGGTGGACTGCAGATTGCTTTGATAATCGAGGCGTGGATAATTTGAATGCACATCCCCTTACAGTCCCGTTCTTGAGTCCCCGAAATCGTACTGTAGTCGTGAGAGTCTTCATATTCGACTTTTGTGCTTTACGACACTACATCGGGCTACAAGTCAGCATCATCGCGAGTGAATCAGACCCAGTGTTACCAAGGGACAGCATCTCTCCGATGTTATCACGCTCGGGATCGAAGGCGTCTGGGTCAGGGAAGACCTGGCAAAAGGAGGAGTATTCATGAGCTGAAGCTACAAACGGTTTAAGTTTTAAGGTCAACGATTAATACTTGTAAAGTTTCCCCAATAGCATTACAACATCATTGTAAGCCAAATCTGTGAGATCGTTTTATCGGCCCTGAAGGAGTGTCACCGGGTAAGAGACGGGCCATCAGGAGTTCAAGAGCTTTGGTACGGTTTTCAGGAATCCACAATCCTGTGACGTAGTAGGAATTTGGGATACTATCCGCCACAACCCCCCGCTCTCAATGCACAGGTTTCCCCGAAGACCCGACTCCAGACATGTTCCGCAGGTACAGGTGTCAAGTTTCATTTTGATATGAACCTGTTAAACAAACCTTCAACCTTTCCAAACACAAGCTGTAAACCGCAGGCCTCCTGCCTTCAACCACGAACCTTTGAACCGATTTCAAAGAGGAGCCAACACCCCGAATGGGCACAAATCGCTGATGGGCTCCGTTTCTGCTCTGGGGAACTTGTGCCTCTGTTCAACTTCCCTTGCTTCAGCCCATGTGCGAAAGAATCTCTGAAAATACCCTCAACCCTAAAACCCTATAAACCCCCAAACCTAAACCCTAAAACCCCTAAAACCCCTAAATCCCCTACAGTAAACTCCGTTCTGTGTCAAAGCAGGCTGACCTTAGGATCCCGATTGGCAGTGGATAGTACCATGGTGACCGGCTGATCTGCGGGGAAAGGTACCTCCAGGCTGTCTTATGGCTGTTGGGGTAGTTTAATTGGAGGTTCATGGGTAGTTATAAGTGGGGTTCCTTTAAAGGGATCTATAGGGATTCTAGAAGGGTATAGGGTTCAGGGTTCATGGGTAGTTACAAGTAGGGTTATAAGTGCCCTAATATGAGTTATAAGTAGAGTTACCCTACTTATAGCCCCACTTATAACTACCCATGAACCTCCAAGTATGGGTTCTCAATGTTCGGGTTTGGTGAGAAGAGCCGACGAGGCTTCCGTGAATGGCTTCAGTCGGGGCTCAGGGGTCTCGGGCTTAGTTTCGGAGTTTCGGGTTTATAGCAGCTTCAAGTTCAGGGCTTGGGCGTTGAAAGGTCAGGGGGATGTAATCACCAAACGGGCTACAGGCAGGGATAGGACATACAGTAAGCCAGCCACCTCCGGCCGACTAGCATGACGGGGTCAGGGTCCCCGCAGTTGACATTCGTGTTGAGCTTGGGGTGGCTTAAGGTCCAAGATGCTCTGCTGAGAGCTAGCGACTTTAACTTGCATCGAATAAGTTGAAATCGAACTGTGCCTGCTGGTGAACTCGGAACCCTCCCAAACACTAGTATTCACTTTCCAGTCCAGACAGGGCCTTGTGCCCCTCCAACATCCATGTGTCCGCCTTCCCGACCGTCGTCGTGAACCTTATCCGCAGAAGTGCATCAGCTTATGGTTTGAGGATTTTTAGGGCTCAAGAGGCATAGGATATCGGGTGATTCAATGCTGAATGGGGGCTTGCGACGATCCTCCATTCTGCGAGGAATCCCCAGCACCCCGAATTGCCACAAGTAGATCCTTCTTGCAGGCTTTAAACCCCAGAGTGGGTACAGGCGGTATGCTTCAGCAGTGGGCTCCGGAAGCTTTCTAGTTGCCGACATCAGGGTATGCTAGGGGCTACAGCGGCTGAGGATTTGGAGTCATGGCTTTAGGGTTTAGGGTCTAGAGGTTTGCGGCTCACGGCATCGTGACAACTGGTAGTCATATGACAGCCATGACTTCTACAACGCCTGCGGTAAGAAGGAAGGGAGCATGTATAGGTAGTAGCAGAAGTTGAAGCAGCAACAAACTCGAAATCTCGTCTCGGATGGCAAACCCTGAACCCTAAACGTACCAGCTGCTTCGCTCAAGCAGCTGCTGCACTGCCCCATCCGTCCGCATGAGCTCATGCAAATATGCGCCCGCATTCTTGCGGAACATCATCACGTGCTGATAGTCCTTGACTGTCTCAGCTCGGAAAGATTGTTTGTGTCTGCCATAGTAACGACAGGATTCAGGATGGTAGGACTGAGACAATGCTTCACTCGATGCCAGCAATCAGACTCGCGAGGGTGGTACTGATGATGACAATCGCGTCGTAGACATGAAGATTCCGAAGTGATTGCTCAGTGGAGGAAGAGCGCCGCTCACTTCCCTCGAAAGCCGCACATGCCGAATAATCCGAAACCTGCATCTCTGAACGGCCACGGTCCTTGAACTGAGACTGCACACACTTGGTTGCCATATCAGTCGTCCCCAGGAGGCCAGCGAAAAGCCTCATCTGAATGGGGTAAGGATTGTGTTCAGGGTTGTTCATGAGGGACTCAAGCTATAGTAGAGCTGATGTTAGCGCAAACAAACATCTTCAGAGGCCGCTGCCAAAAAAACACCACGCGAAATTGCTTGGATTTTTCTCGCAGGAGCCAAAGGCGTGAACAAACGTGTTGAGGAGGCCACAAGAAAAGTCCGAGGTTGGCTGGGTTTACCCAAGTCAACCAGCGTCAGCCTCAAGTGCTGCAAGCCTTCAACATGCCTTAACTGAGGTTCCTGCACTCAGGATCGCGACACTTTGTAGGACTATCTTCAAGGAAAGGATTTCGCAGTCTCTGAAGCACTCACAAGTCGTAGCAACCTTGATGCCAGTTGTCTACGAGCCCGGAAACGAACTCTGCATGAAGCCAAAATGCGACGCATCAATCACCGATCGGAGCATCACGTCTTCCAAAGAGCCGGGTTGAGATGCCAGAATCTTCCTTGCGTTGCGTGAGGGAACAACTCTCATATGTTTTAGAATTGTTAAGTGCTTAGGGCCTACGCCGGGTAAGCAGGTTTACGATTTATGATCTGATATGAGATGAGGTGCTGGAAAACGGTAGGATTTTTTTTTTGGGGTGGGTCGCACTTGCCGCTATCGCTTTCTAGGGCTGACGAGAACTGTGGTGCAAACACTCGAAGTCCGATGATCCCAACCCCTACCTGCGTTTTGATAGAACTGTATACAAAGACATCATACGAACACACCATACAAAAAGCAGGTTCTTTGTAGGGTCGATCCGAAGTACCTATATAGTGGGAGGTAGGGCTTCCATAGCACAGTAGTTATTACAGTGATGGCTAGGGTAAGTATCCCCCCATGTTATACATATATATATATATATATATATATATATCTGTAAACACTCACACACACATATGTATATATATATATATATATATATATATATAAGTACTCAGGACCCTTTGGGGTATAGCCCAAAAGCGCTATCTGAAGTAGTTGCCGCAAAGCCGGGGCGCTTGAGAGCCGAGAACTGAGGCTTCTCGATCAGCTTCCTTGGGTTGAAGGTTTTACCCAAAAGCTCCAAAGTAGTTCCTTTTTGGGATTACCTTATAGGATTCTAAATATGAACCCCAAAAAGGAACTACTATGGAGCCTCTAGGTAGGGGATTTGGGGTTTAAGGGTTTTAGGAGTTTAGGGGTTTCGGGTTTAGGGGTTTAGGAGTTTTAGGAGTTTAGGCGTTTAGGGGTTTAGGGGTTTAGGGGTAGGGTTTAGCGGGCTTGGGGCTTAGGGGGTTGGGGTTTAGGGTTTGGGGGTTCAGGGGATACGGCTCATTACTGTTTAGGGGTTTAAGGGTTATAGGGTTTAGGGGCTTGGGGTTTAGGGGGTTTGGGATTTAGGGGGCTTGGGCTTTAGGGGTCAGGGCTTAGGGTTTTGGGGTGGTTGGTTTTAAGGGTTATAGTGTCTAGGGTTATAGTGTCTGGGGTTTCGGGGTTTAGGGATTTAGTGGTTTAGGGGGTTGGGGGTTTAGGTGGTTTGGGGTTAGGGCGTTAGTCTTTAGGATTTACGGCTTGGGGGTTCAGGCTGGGTTGAGGGGTTTAGAAACGAAGGGTTTCGGTATAATGATTGGGACTCCTGTTCCGCAACTAAAGGGCGTGAGCAGATAGAACAGGGTTTTGGGGTAAGCTGTGGTGCAACTGCAAGAGGAACCCAAATGACCGGTACTACTAACTGCGTGGCCACGGTTTAGGGTCTAGGCTGCTTGGTAGTACGGCCTCTAGACTCCTTGCGTGTTAAGGGCTGACATGGGATGCAAGGATCGATCCGATTTTAGGAAGGTTGCCCGCAAGCGGGCAAGAGGCAGGTTGCTCTGAATTTGGATAACATGGGCCCCTGAATCATTGGACAATTGTCTTGGGGCAGAGTAATTCTATGACATAGCGACACAAAGATGTTTACTCTAACTGCTATTATAATACTGTTTTACCCGAAGAAGAACGATGGCCAAACAGTGGAAGCCTGGTCCATTACTAACCATGTTACTCGTAAACCAAGTAGCACTCAGAAGCGAGATTTTGAAGGGACTGCTCACTGTGGTGCCGATGTTGTTATATAGCTGCTGTAAGGCCCATTTGCTCCAGATTGCGCTTAGTCAGCCTCCATTCTGAGGTTGGTCTGCGACGCTGCACAAAGGAGCCAGAAACCGAAATCGAAAGGACCTAGCCGACCGGTGAACCCTAAACCCCAAACCCAAATACCCAAACTTACAAACATGTTCAAAGAAACCTAAACCCTAAGCCCCCAAACCCAAACTTACAAACATGCACCACTGCAACTCCCATGAATCCTGAACCTGACTGAGTCAGTGAATCGAACGCCACATCTCCGAACCCATATCCTGAGACGGTACTCCCGCTAAGTCCTTAACCCAAACCCGGAATGAATGATACCAAAAATTCTGCACCCTAGTCATACAAACCTATCAAACCCAAACTCGAAACACCAAATCCCGGTAAACAATCGTACCCATACTGCATGCCCTAAACATCCTACACCCTGCACCCTAAATCCTGGTTATCCTCGAGCCGGTGTCATCAGCTCCAGCGCCGTGGGCGAACCCCGCGCAAAGGCAATCGCCGCCTGTGGTCGGACCGTGAGTAGAGGCTTTGCTACCAGTACTGCATGGGGCTTATGAGGCTCTCGGGTGTTAGTTAATGCTTTGTAAGAGTTGTTTGTAAGTGCTTCTGCAGATTTTTCAAGTTAGAAACAGATTGCATGATGGTACGAAAGGTTGGAGCAAGATTTTAGGGGTGGTATTTAGCGGCCGGTTGTGCGTTTTCTATGGCGCAATTATGTAGGCATCGGGTGCCTTAAATTAGAGACCAAGGTTTGGGGTCTGGTCTTTCGGATATTCACGCAGGCAAGGGGAAAAGGAGGGACCCTTAATGGGGACCCCTACCCTATAATGGGCTATATAATGGGTATATAATGGCTATATTAAGGGTATATTACCTAGGGGTCCTTATTAAGGGTCCCTCCGGTTCCCCTTGGATATTTCCAACAATTCAAGCTTCCAAGGGTTCCACCGCACGACGGGGACCAATGGGGCGTCGTGAAGGACGGTAGCTTGGACGAGAGGTCAAGGATCTTGTGCAGAAAGGAGGGATCGTAAAGCTCACAACTGAAACAAACGGTCAGAAGAGCTCAGCAGCAACTTGCGGCAATAAATTCCTAAACGCTAAAGCCCAGACTTGGCCCTAAACCCTGAACCCCTAACCCTAACCCCATGAAGCACCGATGTTAGGCATCCGAGAAGCATACCTTGAATGCCTTGCTGGATCTCCGGCAGTGTGAAATACATCTTAATTGTTTGTTTCGATTATGATTATTCTGGGTGTGGGTTTTTGCATCATGACAGCATTTACTACAGTATTACTAGATACTTGCGGCTGATTCGTGTATGATGGTCGTACTGTTCATTTATTGATTCCGACTTCCCACTCATCAGCTGCTTTCGGCAAGAGGCTCCAACGCCCTCGAGCCGGAAGAGCCCTAAACCCAAACCTAAGAGGCCTGAGCCGGAATCCAAAAAAAAACACCCTATAACCTAAAGTCCCTAAATCCCGAATCCCAAAGCCCCTAAACCAACACCCTATAACCTATAAAGTCCTTAAATCCCCAAACGCTAAGCCCCTAAACCAACACCCTATATAACCTAAAGTCCCTAAATGCCCAAATGCTAATCCCCTAAACCAACACCCTATAACCTATACAGTCCTTAAATCCCCAAACGCCAAACCCCTAAAACCCAGACCCTAAAACCTACAGTCCCTAAATCCCCAACCGCACGCCCCGAACCTAGGCCATGGTTGCATCCCGGGTGCCAAACCGGGTTTCGGGGTTTAGGGTTCCAAACCAGGTCTGGGGTTTAAAGGGAACGCCAGAAAGTTGGAATATGGATTAATGGTAGGATCCCCTATAATTTACCTTAAAGGAGTTACGATAATGATATTCCAACTTTCTGGCTTATACTGTAAGGTTCCACACCCGGGTTTAGGAGCAGCAAAGCCAAGCCTGCTGCGAAGACTTCACCACCCAAGTCTGCACGATGCCAGATTTCTGTCCTGCATGCAGAGGCTGCGATGTCTAATTCCAAGCCCCTTTGCGTGACTCTGAGGACTCAGAACTTGGGTTTAGGAGTTTAGGGTTTCAGGTCTAAGGGTATAGGGTTTAAGGTTTAAGGGTTTAGGGTTCAGGGTTTAAGGGTTTAGGGCTGAGGGTTTAGGGTTTGGGGCATTTTGGCCCGAAGAACTCACCACCAAAGGGTTTCCAGGCTGGGCTATGCTTCGGAAACCACCCCAGGTGATGCCAAACCGATAGACTCTGTCAGCAAGGAACTGGACCACCAAATCACCACGAGGATGGTCGAAACAATTTCCTTCCGCAGTGGCACCCAAAACAGCAGGTAGGAATCTTCTTGAACTTCGATCACGAACTGTAGCTTACCCTTACCCCGAAAAGCACACAATGCTTCCCCTGCAAAACTCCCCTATGCCCCAAATCGCAAACCAGTGATGCTTCAAGGGCTTAGCTTCGAAGCTACAACCCCCTGAACGCCCCAAACCAGGATCAGGGTCGTAGACCATGACTGCGAAGCCTTTCGGAAGCTTAAGGCTTCTCTGGGCTCTGGAGTCATTAGCAGGCTTCAAACTCGAAGACTTAAGCTTACGCCGGAACAATATCAGGTGTGATTATCCCCTTGGAGGCTTATGAAGGTATCAAAACTCCTTCCCAAGATGAGTTTGAGAGCAATTAGCTTCATTAGGATTTAATATCCGGATAGAACTAGTTGAAGTTCTGACTTCAGGGTGGGGGGGTTTGAGACCTGCTTGACCTCAGGCCCTGGACAAATTAAAGGCTCTTGGGCCAGGGCTCTTGGGCTCATTACGGCGGTAAAATGCGCCAAGACTCCCCGCTTGCCCATGATGCACATTTTTCCGAACTCCAGGTAGGGTAGAACCTGGAGTACCTCTGAAGAAGACATCCTGAGGTGCAGAGGAGCTGCTCAGACACAGCTTCGGAAAGCAAGAGAAGCCCTCATTCCTACATAAACCCAACGCCCCCAGAACCCCAAGCCTAACCCCTGGATCCGTCTAGTTCTATGGCTCGAAATAGGGCGAACACAATAACCTTGTGGTTGAGGGATGAGGGGAGAATTCTGAAACACTTTATTAACCCCAAGAGTCTTTATAGTTTCGGGCGCAGTGCATTTTTGCGGTGTTCAGGGTTTTGAATGCGGGGAGAGTCTCAGCAGAGAATGGTGGGTCGAGGTTCTGGGCTTGATCCATCCCATTGCGTTCAAAGTGATCACCTACTCCTTCAAGATGCCCACCCGAAGCAGTCTGCATCCAGGAAGTTTCGTGTGCTGCATGCGCTGTCCAAAAACCGCTTGAAGCTCTGTGCTTGTGCAGCATGCACCCTCCTCACCAACCCGGCTCCGTCGGCCCTCCATCAAGCCCGTCTCTTTCGCAAGCGTTACAAATGGCGAGTTGACTAGCTATCGAAGAAAACTGTATTGTTCGCTTTAGCATTCTGGGGTTCGGCTTGTATTCGACTAGAAGAAGAAACAAAAGCAGATAATATATACATATATATAATATACACATATGTATACATCTACAGATATGTGTTTGTATATACATATATACACACATAAATACATAGATACATAAGTACATATATATATATATATATATATACACACATGTATATGCATGTGTGTGTGCGTATATATATATATATATATACATATGTATATACATGTGGCTGTGTGCTAAGCGTTCTTGGCCCCTAGCTGCTTCGAGCCTCAAGCCGGCCTGAACCCTGAACCCCTAAACTCCAAAAACTCCTAAACCGCCAAACCCTAAACCCCTAAACTCCTAAAACTCCTAAACCCCTAAACCCTACACCCCTAAACTCCTTGTAAACCCTACACCCTAAACTCCTAAACCCCTAAACTCCTAAAACTCCTAAACCCCTAAACCCTACACCCCTAAACTCCTTATAAACCCTACACCCTAAACTCCTAAACCCCTAAACTCCTAAAACTCCTAAACCCCTAAACCCTACACCCCTAAACTCCTTATAAACCCTACACCCTAAACTCCTAAACCCCTAAACCCTAAACCCCTAAAACCCAAAGGGAACTAAACTCCGAAGAGCAAGGCCCGAGCCGGGAGCGGGATGTCCATACGCAGGGACCATCGGTTTAGGGTTTAGGGTTGAGGGTTTAGGGTTTGGGGTTGAGGGTTGAGGGTTTAAGGGTTTAGGGTTTAGGGTTGAAGGTTTAGGGCTTAGGGTTGAGGGTTTAGGGTTTAGGGTTCAGGGTTCAGGGTTTAGGGTTTAGGGCTTAGGGTTGAGGGTTTAGGGTTGAGGGGGTGGGAGGGTGACACCCGCCGGGGTGCAACCATATGTAGGTGTAGGTAGGTAGTTAGGTAGGTAGGTAAGTAGGTAGGTAGGTAGCTGTGCGTGTTGGGGTGTGTCTACGTATGTCAATATACACGCATATAACCTTTTATGCAAATGTATATTTATGTAAACGTTTATGCTCATATTTATGTTGGATTTCTGTGTGTCTATATGTGCATGTATATATATATATATATGTACATGTCTGTATGTATTATGTATGTACGTGTCTGTATCCACGTTTAAAGTTATCGACTAACGAGAGCTGGCGGAAGAATCATGCTGCCGATTCTGCCGGCTCGTGCATTCATTCGCAGTGGCTTCATCAATCTTTGCGCTTGCGGACACCAAACCCGATACGTATAGAGCCACCGAGACTCGTCTTTCTCCAGATGCCCTCGAACACAAGCGGCAGCACAATCCTTGCAAATCAGCCACCATCAGTGTACATAGCGACTGCACTTGTACAGGACTGCTTGCTCTTCATGGCAGATTTCAGGATTGAGTCCATGATGCAAGTTCATTGAGTACCGTGGAAGATGCCCCTTCAACAGAAACCGAAACTTTGCATGCGCTGTTATTCCAGCAAAATCTGCAGGATGTCGGCGAATATTCGCCGGTAGAGGGTGCGTTTGAATTGTGAAGTCCGCTTGTCAAGTGGTAGCAGGGTTAACTATCATCCCTTTCAACCTGGGCCCACCGGTCATGTGACTTTAGCTGTCTCCACCCGACCCCGGAAGCCAAACGGACCTGCGAGGCTTCTACACGAAGAGTCTCCGATGAAGCGAGTCATCTCTCTGCAACACTGTACCCTCTGACAAAACTTGCATGGCTTGCAGAATTGCCTGGCCTCCGCAACCCTCTCTTATTCGTTTCGTTTCTAATCCTCTCCCTTAGCCTCCCTTCCTATCGCTCTCAGTCTGGGGTTCCCCTCTCCGATGCTATATGCATCTAAAACCTTCGCCAACTGAAGAGCCAAACATGCTCGCCTTATGAAATGTAATACTTGGATGTTCGTTTCGTTTGACATGTCTCGCATGCACTCATCTTATGTATGACGCACGCAGTAGACCCTAAACTCAATGAGCCCGACCACCTGAACCCAGTAAGCCAAGCGAACTCTCCCCAACACTTATCGCACAACGACCGTGGTGATGATAAACAATCGGCAAGTCCAAAACCTCGGACAGAACAGTGCTGGTCTCATTCCTTCCGCAACATTGCTGGTACCTTTGCTTGCCCAAACTGTGATTACCACATCTGCCCCATATTACCATCCAGCCCTGAACCCTCAATCCTTAAATCTATACTGAACTTAGAACCCTCAGCAAAAAATGTAATTCTAGCTGTTTCTTAGGGATTATAATAACCAAGCATTAAAAATTGTTTCTAAGTACCCCTAAGAAATTCTTTGTGCCCTTAACCCTAGGCTCCACACCCCACGCCCCCTAAACCCAAGCTATCTCAGATCCGGCGCTTTCCGACTTCCAGCTCTGTCGGTGGTGGTAGAAAGCTGCGTGCGCCGATGAGCTTCCGAATCCTCATGACCAGGTTTGGGTTTAGGGTTTAGGGTTGAGGCTTGAGGGTTTAGGGTTGAGGGTTGAAGGTTTAGGGTTGAGGGTTTTGGGGGGGTTGAGGGTTTAGGGTTGAGGGGGCTCTAGGGTGCTAAGATATCACAACTACGGGGGTTTAGGGTCTAGGGTGGTTGAGAGTTAAGGGGGGCTGGTTTCAGGATTTAGGATTTAAGAGGATTTGGGCTTAATGATTTATTTGGGGGATTGGGGCATCTAGAGAGCCTTCCGATCAAAGTATCTCCTTGTGAAGGGCTTGGGCCGGCTTGGGGCTAAGGGCTACGATTTGGCTGAAAACCACATAGCTGACCAAGGGTTCTGCTTTGAATGCAGAATCTTCAAGCCTGAGTTCTATAACCCAGCCTCCCTAGCCCTGCACATGCAGCCTAAAGTGCAGAACCCCAAACCCAACCCCAGTTGTTTCTTCGACTACCATCGTCTGCCACGCCTTAAAACCCACCGGACAGAAACCTCGTGGAACCCAAGGAGAGACTGTATAGGATCCTTATATAGAACCTTTTTGATTCCCTATGCAATCCCTACGGAGACCATAGAGCACTTATTAGTACCCTCAACACAGCCTTTTGGAGCGAGTCTCTTCTCTGTCCATGCTGTCTCCAAGAGGGAGGCAGCGGAAGGGAGATCTTGCTTATGCATGTCCTCAAGCAAGACGGCTTTGGGCTCAAATTCCAGTAGACCTTTCTGGGACTGGTGCAGAAAGCCGCGCGAGCTCGCAAACTAATCCAAGATCACAGCCACTGCTACTGCTTCTTCTAGACCCAAAGCCCTCAACCCAAAACCGAAACACCCGCAACACAAAATGCCGAGGCGACCACGGCAACGGCGGCACCCTAAACCCTAAACCCCATCCTCAGCTCACAAAGTCGCTACTCTAAAGACAGACCGTAAAACTGATTAGTAGGTACCCGTACACCCCAAACTCTCAACTCCCTGAACCGGCACGACTCGACGGTGTCCTGGAAACCAGCCTCGTCGAGAAGTGTTCGCCACTGCGTGTGCTCAGGCCTGTAACTTCAGTTGGCAAGCTTTGGGTTCAGGGTCTCGAGGTAGGGTTTGCAAACTCGGCTTCTCTTTTAAGGGCCTCGTTTCCACCTGCCGGTATGTTAGCTGCAGAAAGCCCACTCAGGGTTCAGGGCTTAGAGGACTATAGCCTCTGACTGAGTACTGCAGTGCAAGGTGCTGTGACTGAAGGTAAGGCTTCTGCCCACTTGGCTGAGGATGTCTGGTACAGGGTTGTCGACTTGGCTTAGACGGCTTAGTTGGGGTTGGGGCTTAAGGCCCAAAGGCGGAATAAATTGAAACTGGAAACCCGAACCCTCGAAGACCTGAACCCTGTTGATAAACCTTCAAACCCTAATCTCGAAGACCTTGCTCTTGGACCCTGGCGAGCCAGACGAGTAGAACAACGGAAGTGTCGGAAGATGGCAGTCCTGGAACGATTGGGCTTTGCATGTCTGCTGTACAGCAGATGACTCTGCAGTGGACCAACCAAACGCTGACATCTGCTGTACTTCCTGTTGTTTGCTTCCCTATCCACCTCCTCAATATGGAGTCCTGAATCTCCTAACAGCACATGCCCAAACCACCACTAGCTGGGAAACATGGTTTCCCCTGCTCGAGTTCTTGGATGCTCTTTGGTTGCGCTCTTTGATGGGTAAGAGAATTTTGGCCCTACTGAATAATCCCCTATCTTGAAAAACCATAATGGATCTTATGTCAAGGCCCTGACAGAACATAATCAGGACGGCATTTAGGGGGCCCTAACACTTAGAACGGTGTTTTTTGGAGGGCATTATATTCTGTGTAGATCCGGAAACCCCAAGGAATAATGTTGGTGATGGTTCAAGCATTTTGACGGTGGAAGGCCTAGGCATACCTAGCAGCCGGGGTGGTGAATGGTGCTTACTTGCGGGCACATTAGAATGTAATATGACCTATATCAATATAGTCATGGAAGCAATAAGCAGTGATAACAACAAGTACATACATCAACAGTCAGAATGAGTCGAATAATTATGAACAACATGCACAACAGATAAGCCTGATAAATCATGTCAACCATGCAGCACCAGCAGTGGTAGTAAGTAGTACGTAACCGGTATAAAGTAGCAAATGGTATGTAGTGAATAGTAAGTGGTGCGGTGAGTGGTAAGTGGTAGAAGTAGTGGTAGTAGCAGTAGCAGCAGCAACAGCAACAACCACAACCCCCACCCATTCTACTGATAAGGTCAAGGAGGGTCCCAGCATCTGATCGCTAACCTCGTTGGCACCATCCCAAATGGAGTAGTAGTAGTAGTAGAAGAAGAAGTCGCAGTACTAGCAGTAATGGTAGTAGTAGTAGTAGTAGTAGTAGCAGTAGTAGTAGTAGTAGTAGTAGTAGTAGTAGTAGTAGTAGTAGTAGTAGTAGTAGTAGTGGTAGTGGTAGTGGTAGTGGTAGTGGTAGTGGTAGTGGTAATAGTAGTAGTAGTAGTAGTAGTAGTAGTAGTAGTAGTAGTAGTTGTTGTTGTTGTGGTGGTAGTAGTAGTAGTAGTAGCAGTGGCAGTGGCAGTGGCAGTAGCAGTAGCAGTAGCAGTAGCAGTAGTAGTACTAGCAGCAGTAGTAGTAGTAGTAGTCGTCGTCGTCTAACAATTACCACAACGATAACAACAACCACAACCACAACAATCACAACCCCCCCTGTTCTACTAAGTGTTCTGGCTAAGGTCAAGGATAGTCCTAGCATGTGATCGCTGATCTCGTTGGTACCATCGCAAAAGTCTCGAACCTAAATCCTCAAACGACTTGCTGAGGCTTTGAGAATTTAAGCCTTTAGGAGGATTTATGGCCCCGGCAGGATTCCAAGCTTCCCCAGCATCAAATTCTACAGCAGGACCTCGTATATCGATATGGGCTCGTAGAACTTCCCGTATGCATGCATCCTGCTCGTACCTATCGGTCTTTCAACCCGTTAGCAGCAGTACCTGACGACAAGGTCAAGCTGGAGTACCTGCGTTTGCGACTTAGGGATGGAAATCTGATGGCATCAACAGATGCGATGCTTCTGTAGACCTTGTGCCGTTTCCGTGCATTTCAAGTTACGAGGTCCTCCGCCGCTGGCGTTCCCAACATAGCATAGATCCGCGGCCTAAGAGTTTGGTGTCGATGCATTGCGGTTCGCGTCCCATATGTATATGTCTGCTTTTTTGACTGTGCACTATATAGACGGCATAGTTCATACGAGCAAGTGTATACTGTGCATCAGATACTTTCCGCTATAACCCATTGCAGACTATACAGTGGATACTTTAAATACTTTATACTAGAAAATATCCTTTTGCGTCTGAGTGCTCATTGCTTCAAGGCTTCGGGTCCAGAGAAAGCCAGGACTTGCGGGAGGTTTCGGGTTTATCGAGTTTATCAAGCTTTCACGCATAGGCCTGGGATCGGGGGGACCAGGGAGTGGGCTCAGGAACTCGGGTTCAGGGTCCATCATGGATATGATCATTCGCCAGGCTACCGCATGCACGCAGATACCCCCGACATACCTACAGTTACTGCTACCCAAATACCTGGTGATCGAGTTCTTGGACACTTCTACTTAGCTATAAGCTGCACTGCTTATTCTTCCTCCGGGCGGCTGGTTTGGGTCAGCTTGCGCTTTGGCGACATCCTCCCGGTCTACAGCTTCGTTCCGGAGTCGAGGATTCGGGGTTTAGGGGGTAGCTGGACCGTTTGGGCTTGAGACACAAACGTTCGAGATGGGAGGGCTTTGGCGCTCAGATTGCGCTTCCCTGGGGCTATATAATTGCAAGAGCTCCGATCCGGACAGAAGTCAGCAATTCTTTCCCCCTCCCTAAACCCTAAACCCTAACTAAGGCCCTAACCCCTAAACCCTAAAACCCCCCCAACTCTCCTCTGACTGCATAGGCCCTTAAGTTCAGCTTGGGGGTCGCTATCAGCAGCAGCTCAACCTCTCGATACTAGATATGGGAGTTTCCGAACATTAGGGGTACCTTATTTGGGGGTCCTTGTAATGAGAATCCTACCATTTTAGGGTTACTATATTCGAGTCCCCTATTCTCGGAAACTCCCATATAGATTCTACCTAGAGTCTCCATTGTAGTTCCTTTTTGAGGTTACCCCATAGGATCCTAATTATATATTCGGTTAAACCAACAAAAAGGAGTCCCAAGGGAGAGTGTAGCAAGGGACAGTCTTGTCTCGTCCAGGTCATTGATTCAGATTGGAACTCTTGTGTCGTCTTTGCCCTGTGCGGCACTCTGAATTCCGCTGGCGCCCCATTGTGGACGACGTCGAGCCCCCTTGTTTCAACGGCTCTGATCTTTGGATTCATGCTGCAATGCTTTTTTGAGAGAAAGGTTGGTGAATCAAAGTTATACATTAGAGTTTTGACGGTCGAAGCTTTGATAAACAACTGACCCGCAAATAACTTTTGAAACGCGCGACCAGCAGAATGTAAGAATGCCTAACTATCCCAAAGCCTCTAATTGTCGGAAAGCCTTAGCTTTGTTACGATCTGGAAATCATGCCTGGGGTATGTTGCTAGCTCTGTGACCTCAGCATAAAATCAACTAGTTCAGAAGTGTCAACGTATTTGTACGCCTACCGCAGTGGGCGGTAACAGTAACCTGATCTCTTACATGACGGCCGCAAAGCTCTCTGCCCTCGCAGTCCTCGTAATGGAACACCATCGGGGCATCAATGAACGGCACCGGCTCAGCACAGTTCAGTGTGGCACACATGGAGAAGGCGGTGGTTCGGTTTGCAAAAGTCGGCATGAACGTCGCCTCAGCTGACAGAGCTTATTCTGGGGTGTAGGGTAAAGTAGCCGTGTAGGAGACAGGGCTTGCGTTTTGCTGTCCACCCTAATAGAAGCAATCCGTATTTCTAGAGACCAGGAACATCCGCCAGAACGGCACCAACAGGGAACTTACCTTATATGATACTTACTATGTAGGAACAAGAGGACGGACTGGACCAATTCCCTTTCCCCTACGCAGCAAGTCCTTCTTGATTCTTGATACGTCTTCTTCGATAGATGAACGCGTAAGCCCGTCTCAATGACTCAACAAACCAGCTGAGGATGATAGAATCAAGAAGGCAAGCTTAAATCTTTAACCTATCTCAGCCAAAGATTGCCTTTAAATCGGTTAACTTATCTAAACTTCAAAACCCTCCATCATCTCCGAAACGGAGAAGTTGATCTTCCGGAATCCGAAGCTTGCACCGAAGCAATGGCCGACCACCTTCACTACTCCTTTTAAAGGTGATGGTGGTGATTTCGGATTTAGGGTTTAGGTCTATGACGGTCCATGTAAGGATCTCTGTTAAGAGTTCTGAGTTAGGGTTTAAGCTTAATTAAGGATCTTTCGACGAAGAGGGCATTTATCCATGCGGGTGCACCATGTTCTTTCACCTTGTAGCCCTTTGTGCTTTCCAACGGGCACAAGGTTCCGTGTCAGGGATTTCACATGTGCGCCTGTTCAACCTCGAATCGTTCAACCTCGAATCGCGGTTCGATGCTTCTCCTCCGCCCAACTCTCTTCCGCACAGCCAAAGGAGCCAAAGGAGAGGGTCACCCCCCTCCTCCACCCACCTCTCTCTCTCTCTCTCTCTCCCTCTCCCTCCCTCCCTCTCTCTCTCTCTCTCTCTCTCTCTCTCTCTCTCTCCTCTCCTCTCCCTCCCTCCCTCCCTCCCTCTCTCTCTCTCTCTCTCTCTCTCTCTCTCTCTCTCTCTCTCTCTCTCTCTCTCTCTCTCTCTCTCTCACTCCCTCACTCTCGTTTTTTCCCTCTGTCAAAAACTTAGGATAAGGGATCTGTAAGGGTACAATAATATAGGGGCCTTAATATTTAGAATAGGCCCTACGGAACACCCAAAACTCTGGAGCCAATCTCTGGAAGAGCTGCGATCGAAGCTGCATGGACCGTCGAATCATAGAGCCTCAGCTGCCCGCGGGTTGAGGGCTTAGGGTTCAGGGTATTACCATAGGGGCCTTTATCATTTGAATTGGGGTTTGGGGACCACTCTACTATAACTAAAATAAGGAGCCCCCCCAAAGTACGTGCTTCCTAGCAGCGACATGTTGCTGCTCCAAGGTGGAGTTTTGGACCAAAGACTGGAGCGATACGACAACTCCTGACAGTACTTCGTGCAGGCTGTTGCACTGCCACAGCAACTGGACATCGACATCTTGGAAGCCTCATGGCCAGCGTACAGGAACAGAACATCGCTCTATGCCAGAATAAAGTTGCAGCAGCAGCAGCAGCAGCGGCAGTCTTCCAGCAGGAGTATTCGTGGTCGTCGTCGTGGTCGTGGTGGTGGTGGTGTCAGAGTGACAGTGGCGTAGTCACAGCATCGGGTGGGTTTCCGCCTTTCCGGTTCGGGAAGCCAGAGAAGCAAACCGACGAGGTGCCAACAACTCGAAGCTCGCGACACTCGAAGGCTCGACCCCGAGTTGCATCCTTCTGAATGAAGCGCAGGAACTGCCTGTCTTGAGAGACGGCTCGAGGTGAAGATGAGTTCTTGTGGTTAATCTCTCGGGGACTTAGGCTCTGAGGATGGCAGGTCCTTTATGTCAAGCTTGCAGTTTCAAACTCAAGCATGTTGGGCTTGGCTCTACATCCTACCCGGCTTGGCAGGAGCTTGACAAATATGTGTAATCAGGATGCGCAGATGTAGATGAAGCTGACAGTCGCTTCTGTAGCAGCGTTTCGGGTCTAGCCCGCAACTGCAAACAGGACCCCGGTTATCCCAGCAAGCACGAACGACACCAGAGGATGCTACAGATGAGCTGAAGGCAAGCCAGGCAGGGACCGTCGCCTGAGATTGGAAAACATGGGTTTCGGTTTGGGGTGCACCCACAGACTGTCAAAAGCACTGCATCGGACACTTGAGATCCTGGAAACAAGCACAGCAGCCTCGTGACACCAAATGCAATGATGCAAACGGATCAATTCATGCGTAATTACGCCCCCTTACTTTCACCTGCTCACAATACTGCCCCCCACAACCACGTGCGCAGACAAAAGGAGACGCAGACGGACGTGCCAAATTGTCTCTGATACTGCGCCTGGACGGGATCTGATGACATCTTTTGTTGTAAAGAGTCGCTGGCAGCCGGCAAACCCCAAATACTATGCAGCCTCTGGAACAATGCTCCAAGCAATTCAGTCGAGACGCCTACCCTGACCAAGCCCAGTTTAGTTTGTGCAAGACTGCAATCAATTGTGGCACCATGCGGCCGAATTGCACAACGAACCTACTGAGATTCCTGGAAAAGCACAGTGTCAGAATGATTCATCATCGCGTGTACAGTCTCATTTGCTCTAGTATACACCGACGCCCTATTTACAATAAACATCTAACAAGGTATGATAACCTAAAGAACCCCTTCAAGAACCCTCAGAGGACCCCAACAGTGCATGCCTCGAAGCTGCTCCCACCAGACCGCTTCCTTCGAAGTCGTTCGCCTTCTTGCCGATTCGGGCATGACGGCATGAGGAGAGTTTACTGATATAAGGGTTACTGGAAACCATAAAGCTTACTGTATAAGGGTCACGAAGGGTTCAGGGTGCAGAGCTCGGGGGGCTCCTGGTGTGAACGGCTTAAAACAAACACTCAACATCTAGTCGGGTCCAGTCTAGCGACGCGACATGGGCAGGCATCATGGAAGATCAGACCTGCCACCCGAAGCTTTGTCTCCGAAGCTCCAAACCCCAAGCTCCAACACCGACCATAAACTCCAAACTCTGAGAGAGCGTTCCTCGTCAGCTGTAAGGTGTGCTGCAAGCCGGAGTATGACTACAGAGCAGTAGCTACCCCGTCCAGTCTGCAGGCCACTACTCCTGAAAGGCAGAGGAAACTCTGTGCTTTGAAACTCTACAGCCAGTAAGACGCTAACGGTTTAGGCATGGAAAGCTATTGCTCAGCCATAAACAGTTGATACAACAAATTCATGCAAGTATAGAGCTCTGACACGTAGACTATAACATTGTGGGGTACCTTCATTGAGCATAGCCATATCAAGGACGAGCCGTAAACTCTAAACTGCCCTAAACCGTATAAAGATACGGGACATCACTAGTACGTACTACGACCTCGAAACGTACTCTCAGCACCCGTGGTCGAAGCTGAGAACCTCTTGCTCAAAGCCTTTGACTTGACAAAAGCAATGAACCCTGAAACAGAAACCCTGAACCTTCAACCCCAAACATACCTAATTAAACATCGAACCCTAAACCCGAAACACAAAGCCCTAAACATCCGCGAACCCTAAACTCCTAAAGCCTCAACCCAGAAATCCGGATCCATCCCCCCACACAGTAACATAGACGAATCGTCCGCGGAACTCGTGCCAGACGGTCACTGGTACCACGGAAGGTAGGGCAACCACCAACCTGAAAGGTTCACTGCTTATGATCCAGGAGAGTTTGGGGCGTCAGTGGCTTGAGGCATCAAAGTTTCGATTTCGGTTTCAGGCCTGAGTGAGGGGGGGGAAACTTTATTTCCTGTAGACTTCTGGTGGAAGAGATGAAGTCTCCAACTGTGGATTTTGGCCTGAACTACTGGCATAAGTTTCAGTCTACCGTCGATTCACACATTCTGTCTGCGTCTCGCAGCTCCTCTGTTCAGGCTTAATTCAGGAGGCTCATTGGCTCAGTGTGCCCCTTTGAGATTTCAACATCTGGCCTTTTGGCTTACATGTCAGGCCGGGGGTCATATTTTCTGGAACACTGAACAATCCCTGGTGGCCGGATGTGACTGGTTCTGCGTGCCTGGTGAATCGCAGGGCTTCCAGGCCCCAGGCATCCTCTGAACTCCAAGCTCCAAACCCTGGCCCGAAACTCTGACTAATCCCTTAGCCTCTTAACCCTGCAGATTCCGAACTTCCCTGCAGCCCTAAAGCCTTACTTCAACCTCTACACCCTCAAACCCTTGCCATAACCCTCAAAATGACAAACACCTATGCCTATGCCCTGAAACCATCAGCCCTGAAACCTATGATCACCATGGCCGCACCACCAGCAAAGACTATGCATTCGGCCGCTATGCGCTGAAGACAGCTTGCTATCAAAGAGCTTTGAAGGAAGACATCCGGGGTGCGTGATTAACTACTCCGAATCCGAGAAGCCGAAATCAAACCATTCCGTAACACTGGGGTGCGATACTTTGTGACATGACTTGACACTCCACGTACCCTATAGCCTGTAATCAGTAACTATGATAAGATTAGTTCATCCCCGCTGACTAGACCCTCAGCTCCTGCTGCCGATGCTTTGAACTGATTGGGGCAAGGTGCGGCTCGCTTCTTGGCGATGATGGCCTGAAGCTTCCGGACACGACATGCCAGGGGTTCATGTTGGCTTGATTCGGATCTTCTGGCTGAGATTGTACCACGAGACTTGCTCAAATAGCACAACAACTTCATGTCTTAAGCCTTCTGAAGCTGGACATGCTGAAACTGACGAAACAACTGCAAGCAAGTGCTTCTCCCATGACAGTGACAAGACCATCACGCGCTCGACTCAACAGCCTGCTCCAGCTTGCCAGCCGTCTTCAGGTAACTATAGGACTCAACAGATTCATTTTCTTCATCGATTTCTTGGGCATGCAAGGCCACAGCCTCCTTCATGATGTCACTCAAGGCACGCTTCGCCGCAAAGCAGACCGGAGAAGCAAGACGGGTTTAGTTATGCGGCCCTTCTCACCACAGACCATACTACGAAGGGGGCGGAGTTTCAACTGCGCCGAGTTTGATCGTCAGATGAATCAAGCGCAGAACTGCTCCGTGCAATTGGCGAGGCTTCCCCTCAACTAGAAGCAATACCAATAGTGATCTCTTTTTTAGGGTTTGGGTGTAAGGCTGCGCGTTTACAGTCTCGCGTTGCAAACCCGTTGCCGCCCACGACCCGCCTAGACGAAACGGACACCCATAAACACCTTACTGTGGGAAGGTCTGTGAGGGTCTAACTTTTGGCTTTCAAACCTCAAAGCTCCGTCCAAATTGTAAACTGATGAGACGGTCCGTGATTGTACCAGAATATGGCTTTCGGTTCTTCCGCCTTCATCTGCTCCTCTTCTGTGCCGCGAACAGTCACCAACTCGGGGTGCTCCTGCTGCAATTCAGACTTCAGACTGGTTTGGGTGTCAAAGCCCTAGCATGAATGGCCAAGAACTGTGGTGCTGTGAGAAGCTGACTAAGGTTCGCAGAAACTTCCATGGCAGAGTTCGCGTCGTGAATTTGTGGGTGAGGGCATGGTAAACTTCAAATCTACAAGCAGACATCCAGCGGAGGTCACGGGATTGCCGAACCCTGCCAAGGAGTAGATAAGGCCTGAATGGTTCCCAGCATTGTTCCCTAGGGTCCCTTTCCAGAACCATGCTAACTATATACCTCCCAAACCCTCTTCCAACTGGTTATTGAGCAGCCCACGTAAGGAAAGAACAAAAACCTTTGTCGTTTTGGCTGTTTTTGATGATTGTGAATACTGTTACCATCTGTAGTAGTCTTACTAGGAGTAGTAATAGTAGTAGTTGTAGTGATAGAAGCAGTAATAGTCGTCGTCGTTGTTGTAGTAGTAGTAGTAGTAGTAGTAGTAGTAGTAGTAGTAGTAGTGGTAGTAGTAGTAGTAGCAGCAGTAGTAGTCGTCGTCGTCGATTCGTGGTATGTTGTTGCAAGAGGAAATCATGCTGGACATGTTCGACCCTAAACTCTGCAAACAACATTAAGACTGCCTCGACAAAACTGAGGGGGGCTCGCCTTACCTCCACATTAAGGCTGAAGCCTGGGCAACCCTAATTCACCCTGAAACCTAGACCTATAAAATCCTAAATTGGGGAGGAAGGAGAAAGGACCCTTGTTTAAATTTAGGCTACGTGATTGGCAAAACCAAACCACAAACAACGAAATGGACGAGGCATCCTCGGCCACGCTCACTCGGATACATCCTCCGGGAAGGAGGCACAGCTTTAGCTTTAGCTGCTTTAGCTGGGGTCTGATGAGGCTTCTTGCAGAGTTGAAGGATTTTTGGGTCTGCTTAAGGTCGGGCGTGTTGAGGGGGTTTCCCCCCGAGCTTTGGCACATTTGGGGTCGAAGGCTTGTGAATCTGCAGGTGCAGTCCAGCATGCACACACATGCACGCACATACACAGACACAAACACACATGCACAAACAAACACACTAAGGCCCCAAACCCCAAAATCTGCTGTTGCGACTGTTGATGATAATTCTGCTGCCGTCCCAGTACTGGTGGTCGCCGTGGTATTGGGAGAAAAAATTAGACCAAAACTCCTACACTACACAATGATGATGATGGTGGTGGTCATGATCACGATGACCGATCATGACTAACTGACCTCAAGGAACATCATGCTGACAGCTGCAAATCCCCGAGCGAGTATTTCATAACACTTTGGCTGAAGAAGGTCCTCCAAATCTCCCTATAAATCTTTCACCGACACAAGATTCTGCAAAGGGCCTGTTCTGCTCGCCCTAGGCAAGCTTGAGATTCATGTTTACGCCCCTTGTCTGCCAAGCCTACACTGCAAAAACTCCGCCCGAGCGGACGCACAACAACTGCTGGTGCTTCCGCCCTAACTCGCATGAAAGTAAAGTGTGCACAGCCAGCATAGGAAGAACACTTAGCAACACATAGACGAGTGCTTGTGGCTGCGATTGTACCCGTCGTGGGCTCAACTTTATGAGAAGCTTACAACTTCTTGTCCTTCCACAGCGGTGCCCGTCTCGATCGGGACATTCCAGGTCACATCTAGAACCGACATGCGGCTGCTCAGCTTGATCTCCTTGTCTGCGACACTGGAATGGGGAAAAAACATCCCGTCTTCAAGGATTACGGCATAGGAATCTGAGGTCGATGTTGTTGTGATGAGAGCTGACCGCTGACCCCAAACAATTACCGCGACGTGAGAAAATCTTCCATCAAAATCTAGCTTTGATACATTGTTTCGCCGAAGCCAGGGTACTTCAACTACTGAACCTAACCCTAAACCCCGAACCCGTCAACCCCGAAAACGCCAAAGGCCTGTGCTGACCTGCCAACATTCAATATCGTGGAAAAAGACGTGTTGCGCGAAACACCTATCAGCATTGCAAGCGCGAACCCGAACAGCTAACAACTCTCGCTTCGGAAAGGAGATATTCGGCTCATGCTGTCTGAATAGGGGTGTTGTTGAGAGTCCTTGCGATGAGAGCGGCTTATTTTGTACGGCATCCAATGTTGTTTGTTTGTTTTGTACGGGGGGGTGGGGGGGGTCGAGGTAGGGTTTGGAGGCGTCAGGGAGCAGGGATTTGGGGTTCGGGGTATAAGGGTCTGGATGATTGGAACAGGGTTTCCATTCTTTTTCGCATCATCTGATTCAAGGAGCCCTAAGGAATAGTATTGGTAATTAAGTCTTCTAACGCCCATATTTGGGGTTTAGAGTCTCGATCGAGGTGGCGCGTCACGGGATTGGGGCGTTAAGGTCTACAGTCTTGGGATTTCAGAGTTCCGGTCGAGACGAGAACGCTGGCGTTTGTGGCTTTTTTTGTGATGGACAGGAGGACCTGCGCCCTAAACCTGAATGCCCGAGTCACTGAAACAAATCGCAGTCTCAATTCCTGAAGTCCCGAGCCTGAAAGCATAATTCCTGTTGCGAGGCAAACGCATGCCCCCTCATATTGAACAGCAGTTAATGACTTCAGGAACTTTCGCCAGCTCGCTCAATGCATCTGAAGTCCGCATGCCAGGTGAGTGAACTACAGTTACTCTAATTAGTTACGCAGCTTGAAGCTTGATCCCACAAGCAACGCCTCGTTGACTGCAAAAGTCTTCGACACTAAACCCCCCGCTTCAGTCTGACTTAGTCAAACAACATGATTAACTAGTCTAAGAGTCTTATGTCCCGAGTCTATTCATGGCTTGTTCTTTGCGCGAAGATGGGGCAGCGCAAACTTACCTCAAACTCAAACCCCATACTCCCAAAAAGCCTTAAGTGACAAAGTCCCGAAAGCCCTAAACCCCTAAACCAGGAACCACTACAGCCTAAACCCCAAATCCAAACAACAGTAAAGCCCTGAACATCACAAACAAAACAAAAACAACCCCTAAAAAACACGAAACAACCCTAAACCCCGAGGATTTTTGCAACTTGAGATCGGAGCTGGCACAGATTTCCCAGCTGTTTTGCAGCGTGCCCCCAGGAGGTCTGCAGTTTGGGATTTGGAGCTTAGGGTTTTGGGGCTTGGGCTTTGGAGTTTGGGGTTTAGGGTATAAGGGTTTGGGGTTAAGGGCTTAGGGTTTGGGGTTTAGGTTCAGTGGTTAGGGTTCTAGACTCATGTACAAGACCGCTTACGGAAATTAGGATGTAGGGTTGAAGGCTGCTTTACAAGGCATTTTGCGGGGGTTTAGATGGGTCGCGAGTTATTCGCGGGATTCGGAGCTTAGGTTTGGAGAATTTAGTGCGGTTGTAGGAAGTTGGCCTTCAGGGTTCAGCGATGGTTGGAGGAATTAGGGGTTTAGAGTCGCGAGACGTGTGTTGGGCGAGGTCTCAGAGATTGAAGGCTTCTGGGTGCTGGGCTTGAGGTTGCAGGGTGTTGGTTTAGGGTTGTCGAGGTGCTGAAGTTAACTGGGGCTTCAATCCAGGAAGCAGGGTTTAAGGTTTGGGGCTCATGCATTGCCACAATTCTTGCCCGAGTCCTGCTTAGAATTGCCATTACTGGGCCGCGGTCACTGTGGCTGCTGCCTCTTGAGGAATCAAATAACTAGCAGTACAAATCAGAGACTGTACCGAGATACTGTCGCCAATTATTGCAACCCCGATACGAAACAAGGGATCAGTTGCACACACAACTTCCCACAGCGTCCCTGCAAGCTTTTGCATCTCAGGTGCCCGGCGAATCGCTCTCCACCGCAGCTATGCGACTCCTCGTCAAGTTGGTTTCATTAGATGCACCCCTTTTGCTTAGGGGTCCTTCTACAGTAAGGGCTCTAGATTTGGGGTTCCATTTTATTTTCAGCCCGAGGGGCCCGAGGGTGTGGACTTAACAAGTCATGTCCTGGATTCCAGCTGGTTGTTTATGTCCCTCGCGCTGTGGGCTGTAATTACTCTCATCGGTTTGCAGCCAGACAATCCCCGCTTCCTCCGATGCGAAATCCCGCGCGTACTGTGCCCAGAAGTTCCCAAAAGGAGTTATTATCTAAGTTGCCAAAATCGTAAAACCTACAGTTTAGGGTTTTGCGGTTACAGTGCCTTTTCAGCCTAAGGTAGATCCAGTTGCACGAGGCAGACGCTCTGCAAAGCTACGGGAAGGAGTCTGGGCATGTATTATATGCCGTAAGTGTTTCGGATGAAAAAGCACTTCTCCATGGCGGTGCCAACCCGTAGATCCTGAAAGTGATCACCAACCTGATTAAGAGCCCTTCTCCAAGACTCCAACATACAACTTAGATCAACTTAGGGCTTAGGGCTTCGGGCCGGCCAATGCCAGCCCTGAGAGCCGTAAACTGAGTCCCAAACACGGCACCCCCAAAGAACTCACCAAACTCTTACAACAAGCTCGCTAGCTCATAGGTTGTAAACACCGTATCTAAACTGCAGGCGGTAAACCTCAAGTAAAATATAGACTCGCGGCTATAGCAAAAGATTTACGCTCCTTTCCAGTTACGAAAAACTCTGCGGCGCACCAGATCCTACATACACAGCCAGTCTTATAAGTACCGAAGCTAAATTCCTAGACCCTGTCTCTTAAAGCCCAAACAACCCACAAACTACTCAGATCTAACCTAACCCTGAACTCACAGGGTCCTAAATACTACAGCAGGATTTGGGGTACTCTGCTAGGTATATCGAGACAATACATAAGGCAATAGTATTGCCAACTATTCCGACATCTCGGTTACATATATACATATACACACACACACTATTGTATACATATATGTATATGTATATTATAACCATATATACATACTATATATATATATATATATACTATATATATATATATATATATATATATATATATATATATGTGTGTGTGTGCACAAGTGTGTGTAACAATCAACCAATCTACATATGCATACACCTTATATATATATATATAGATATACGTGTTCAGTCCTCGATCAAATACTGGCCGCCCTCGCAGGCCAGGGAATACGCGGCATGGCAGCCCTGGCCCAAGTGAGCAGCTGTGCATCAAAACTAGAGTCTATACCCATAGGCTCCACAGTAGTTCCATTTTGGGATTACCTTACAGGACTCTAAATATGAACCCAAAAAAGGAACTACTATGGAGCGTTCCTTTTTGGGATTACCTTACAGGACTCTAAATATGAACCCAAAAAAGGGAACTACTATGGAGCCTATGGGTAGTGCAGCGCTGGAGTGAGCTCGAACAGCTCTCGCTCTGTTGCCACAGACGGTAAAGTGAAAGTGTCTAGAGGCACATAGTTCGAGAAAAAGCTGGAACTGAGGGTTATGTCGGGGTATGTCGTTTGGGGGCTTAGATTCAGGGTTCTGGCACGGGTGGGCCTACGAAGTAAGCGACCAACATTCATCTCAGTTAGCAGCAGTTCTTGTATCGGCTTTCCACTGATAGGTGCCTGAATAAAAAGGAATCAAGTCACATATAGTCGCTTTAGATCTTTGCTGCACTACAGCTCGACACCGCATCTTGATCATTAAGGCAATGTAGAGTTCCTACAAACAGTTAGGATTCCCCAATGGAAAAATGATTACTACAACAACATACCTCGAACCGCGGTCAAAATCATTACGGCCTACATGCTAGGCGGTAGGTGACGGATGCAGACGAGATCAGACCCCCTCCTCGCTGGAAGCCATAACATTGGAATTAAACGGCTCAACCCCACTTCCCACCACGTTTAGTTCTCGTCGTTCGGATAGACCTCCCCAGGCCCATACCTTTCAGACTTCAAGACCACCCGTCTACGCCCGAACTGCTCAGACCTGAAATTCCACTGAGACCATCACAAGGAATTCTATGCAAATTCGTAGAGGGGCCTAAAAAGCTAGTCTGAGTTCCATGTTAGTCCTAACGAGGGGCCTACTAAGGAATCGAAACGAAAGGAATACGAACCATCAGATGGCGTGATGACAACAGTGCTAGCCATGACGTGCAAGTTGTTGCAAGAAACGAGCGAGCTAGCTGTGAAAGCAGAAGTCGTGTCCTGGTCGTCGTCGTAGTAAGTAGTAGGAGTAGTAATAGTAGTAGCAGCAATAGTAGTAGTAGTAGTAGCAGTAGTAGTAGTAGTAGTAGTAGTAGTAGTAGCAGCAGCAGTAGCAGCAGCAGCAGCAGCAGTAGCAGTAGCAGCAGCAGTAGCAGTAGCAGTAGCAGTAGCAGTAGCAGTAGCAGTAGCAGTAGCAGTAGCAGGAGCAGCAGCAGCAGCAGCAGCAGCAGCAGCAGCAGCAGTAGCGGTAGCAGTAGCAGTAGCAGTACCAGTAGTAGTAGTAGTCGTCGTCGTCGTCGTAGTATAGTCGCATTCTCACTGGAAGTAGTCCTCGTCGCAGACACAGTACCATCTCAGTAGTGGTTGTAATAGGTAAGCCTAGCGCAAACAAGAATTCACATGCAGGCACTCCTGCACGATCGGCCTTAACTGAGACCTGCGCAAAAGGCTGGCCCAGCGGGTTTTCGACGAAAACCAAGCCTCACCAGATTCTGTGCCAAAACCACTTAAGGCTTAGGATCAAGATTTGGGGCTCAGCACAAGCAGCAGCCAATGATCTGCACACAGTTGCTGTGTCAGTTCACTGTCACCGTAAGTCGTTGAGAGCAGATGTGGGCAGCTATGGTACATAATAGTACAGTATAGCATAGTAGATTATCGTCTGTTGAAAAAACCTCTGCTGCAGCAATGCATGCAGGGGTCTGCAGAATCCCGTGCCTACATCCCAGGCACAAGACCCACTGTGGGAACCTAATGAAACGTCGAAGATTAGCCCAAAAACCGATGCGATTAACCAAGCCCCATGGCTGATCGAGATGCCTTGGGTTTCTCCTCATACCTAAGCTCACAGCTTCAAAGCCAGCCTGCACATCCATGGTTTAGGTTTCAGTCCTGTCTTGCTTTTCACGACTTTCGTTCTCTACTGCACCCCTGGACCTACAAGACCCTTGTTTGGTTCGTGGCATGCTTTGTGCCCATACATTCAAGCCACTCCTGAATCCCGAACTCTAAACAAACACGCCAAATTAGCCAAAACCAAAGTTTGGGTTATAGCAGCTTTAAAACGCGGTGTCGAAATGAGTCCAGATTGCTTGGAGAGACAGACACATACCAAAGAGGGATACCTTCCCTAAGGAGAGTAATGAGGACAAGCCCGAAGCCCTAAACCCTCTTGAAGCGACTGCTTGCTGAGGCGTGGTTGAACATCTCTCTGTCGGACAGATGTTGCTCTCGGGTTGCCAATTCGGTTTTGATTTGGGTGGCATAGACGCCTACGTACATAGAGAAGGCAGTGAAGGTTCCCAAATTAAGTATAATAAAACCCCTAAGCCCCAAACCTGGGAGAACCTTAGTCAAGAAGGACTGCCACTCATTCGTCAGGGCCCTGTACCATCCGGCTTGGCCTGTCTATGCCTGTCTCGCTCCGACCTTCCTTAGGGGCACCTGCGTTATCTACGTCTCCGGCTTCTTTACTCTGGCTGGCGTTGGCAAGACGGAGCACTCGACAGCGATGTCGTAGCCTATGCACACTACATCCTGTAACAGTGCCACAGGACTTGCTCTCACAAAACCCGCATTATCCAGAGAGAGAACATGCCTTAGTCCCATAGTTTAGGGCTGGGATACTTGAGGTATTGGAAGGCTTTGTCCCTCGGCCGAATGCACCCCGACTTCCAGGCATCCGTGTCACTAACGACCTGAAACCACCAGCAGGGATCGACCGGAATTGCTGCGGTACAGTGCGGCGTTGCTCGTGTGTGCACAGTCACATGCAAAAATACACTTAGTTACGGCTTAGTTGTTAAATAACAGATGCAAACAGAGCGAGAGCGAGAGTGAGAGAGAGAGAGAGAGAGCGCGGCAAAACGAATATGCACACATGATCAACTCGTGAAAAACTGCTACATGGCACTGCTGATGCTTGTAAGAAAGCCTCCCTAGATCCGGCTGTCCCATCGCTTGGGCTCCCGGCCGAGCTGTGGTTGCTTGACCAGTTCCAGGAAAACGCCACCGCTGCAGCTTCCGCCATCTCATCAGGACGAAATGATTAGTACTTCAAAATGCGTTGGCTGTAGGATTGTAGCTGTATGCGCTGCGCCTTGAAGGAAAGTGCTTGCCAGGGTTTAGGTACCCTGAACCCTCCTGGAAGGTAGAGGAGTGATCCCGCAGACAGCATTGGTACATTGGTTTCTGCCCGGAAAAGAGGAAGGCCTTGCAACTACCCCGGGGACAACATCGTCACTGTGTTTGAGCGACAGCCACTCTGTGTCGCATTGAGGCCAGTTGAGGGGGAAAGCTTCAAAAAGAAGAGTGCTTTCGAAGTTGGCAGCGTTTTGCGGGGGTGGGGGGGTGGGGTTCAGGCTTGAGGGCCGCTCAACCCCAAGAACATGGAAGATCCTTACTTATAACCCCACTTATAACTACGCGTGAACCTCCAAGTATAAACACTAATCCTACTCAGATGCGCTCCCTCCAAGGCCTCCTCCAGAAGCCAAGGAGTGAGAAGCGCAGGGGCCGTTTGAGAAGTGCACGATGCGCTTCCTAAAGATGTCTCACTTGAAAGGCGCCCATAGGCCTTACCTAACGGTAAGCCCCCCCTGTGGGTGGATATTGGGGCCCAGGGGCGTGTTGAAGGGTCTCGGGCACAACTCTTGGATTCTTGGAACTGTGCTTCCCTGTGGATTCTTCGAACTGTGTTTCCCTGTCGACTAGCGCACCGTTGGGCTAGCTTGAGGTTCGTGACTTTGAGTGGGAACGCGTGCAGCATTTTGTGTGACCCAAGGTCCACATCGCCAAGCAAAGAATAATATATATATATATATATATATATATATATATATATATGCTGACTGTATTTATATATATATATATATGTGTGTGTGTGTGCATGTAACATACATGTATAGATGTTGCCTCATAGATATCGATGTATACCCCAATCTCAAGCACAGTGGCGTTTTGCGTTTCTGCATCACCACCAGAGTATATCAACAAGAGACCCATCACGGTTTCGCCGTCATCAAAATCAGGCTGTCCCCTTCGAAAACTGACCCAGGTTTCAAACAAGTGGAAACATCACCACTAGCCTAGCACCGACATCACTAGCACCACTACGACACCAACAAACCCAACCCGACCATCAGACCCTCACCAACGGCAGCAATCATCAAACAATAGCATTACTGTCGATCTGAACGTCCACGACCACTGTAATGCATCTTCCGAATCAGAATCGACGAAAGGTCCAGGTGAGAACTACCAGCCAGGTCTCTCTCCAATCTTTCTCGGCAGCAGCTTCATCATCATCTGCCTTTCATGGAGAGAGGGCTACGCAGCCGTGGGCCAAAAACTAACACTGCCAGTCGGTGCAAGCTGGCGGCACTGCGGCGCGACCACCCCAACCCTTCAAGCCCTACCGAGCTACACATCTACACGAACCCGAACCTGCCACTTGCTGTTATTGTTCGAGCTTATTAATTAAGCTCGCATAATCAAACATGATACAATAAAGCGGCTTCCAATTTCAACCTGTATTTTACACAAGGATCCGCAAGAGAACCGCACTACTGACTATGATGTGTCCCGGTGCCGCATGTGTGCCTTCCGTCTATCCCTACCTACCCGCAACAGCCAATCCTCAAACGAATCCGTGCATGGGGCTGGCATCATCCTATGAAATTGGCTTAAGGGTCTGGGTTCCCTCTACCACTGGATTCTTAACCTTAGGCTACCGCTACATTTAATCCTGAACACTCCTCGGATCTAACGACTGAGACGATTCGGGGTGTTGAACGTACTGACAGTTTAGGATTCGTATGCCCTCTAAGACTCTGGCGGCTGCCCCACATCCCTGATCGAAAGCTCAGACTCGCAAATCAAACTTGGAGTAGATACTCGTTTTCGGTCACGACATTGAGATCCGCATCCAGAATCTTCCAAGCTTCGTACTCGTTCGTCAGCACCTGAAGAGCACTAAACTAACATTAGAAGCGATTCGACAACCCAAATCCTACCTGGGACGTAGTCGGCCTTATAGCACTCCTTGGTACATGTACACACACACACACATATATATATATATATATATATATATATATACATATACATATACATATACATATACATACACATACACATACACATACACATATACATACACATACACATATACATATACATATACATATACGTATACATATACTATCATATACATATACATATACATATACCATATACATATACCTATACCTATACCTATACCTATACCTATACATATACATATACATATACGTATACATATACATACATATATATATATATATATATATGCAAATATTATAGAATGGGAGAGAGAGAGTAGATCGATAGAGGGATAGATCGATACAGCAATACACCTGCCAGTCTGTCTATTCATGTGTCTGCCCTTCATTCCTTCCTTCCTTCCCTCCCAAGGTCCTACCTAGCAATCTACCTATGCTCCACCTATCCGACGGTTCGAGAAAACAGGGCTAATAAATTGCAAAACGAAGCAGCCAATGTAGACCATCGTTCTGAGACTTGTCGCCAAAGTGTGAAACAGCACTCACAAAAACAAAGTACGTAGCACCAGCTGCAATCACCAGAACAGAGCACCATCTTGGTATTGCTCAATTGACCCATTAAAAGATATGCATGTGCACCATGCATGCCGCCTGGAAAAAATATGGTAGACAGCACAGGAAACAAAGAGACACAACAAGTTATTCTGAGAAGGACAAGAAGGTTGGGTTGGCGACGTCGACAGTACCAAGCTGCAGCAAGCCTATCTGCCTATCCAGATCTCTGCTTATGTAAAACTCTCTGAATTATTGCCTAGTTGTGCGTGTGAAGAGCGATGTATCTCGACGCTCGTATACTATAGTATGCCCCAAAGCTATAATCCACTTTGGAAGGCCAGCTCAGAGCCCTGGAAACCTACAGCCCTAAACCATAAGCCCTTGAACCGAAGAGCTCCAAACCCCGCAACAAAACCCCTTGGACCACAACAGCCTGGCCTTAAGCGCGCTAAGCCCTAAACCTTGAATCCCAAAGCCGTGGAAGTCCGCATTATCGCGGGATCGCCTTATAGTCAGACACGCCGAAGTAAGAGGGGCGAGTCCAACGACTGCCTCAATCTGGGGAGGGCTTCGTGGTGCCTGATACGTATATCTTTAGGTTTGTACATGATAGAGATAGAGAAGTACCGACACGACAAGTCCCGAAATGTATGCAAAAGTGTTCTGCGCAAGCATCCAAGCCCCATGGAAGTCCCTTCCGTACAGGTGCAGGTATAGACATAGGTATAGATATAGGCATAGATATAGGTAGGTGTAGGGACAGACCAAAAAAAGGCTATAGATAGTGAAAGGGGCCTGGGAATATACCACTGCTGCAGCGCTGAAGGTGTTATGAGGGTTTAGGTTTGTTCGGGTTCAATATAGGTTTATAAGGGTTTCTATAGATCGTTCAGGCTCTTAGGGTTAGGCTGAGAGCTAATGGTCCGAGGATGTAAGGCAAGATGTCAGCAGGCAGTTCGCCTTCTGGATTTGTTTGCTTGGTCAAGGACAGAGATGTGCAGTAGATCTCACTGCTGCCAGAATGTACAATAAACGTGTAAATCCGGTCACGAAAGGACGAAGACTGAGAATAATACAACTTCTTCATCCCACGCCCCGATGCACTGTGTAAATAGCCACCCCCGCCCCACTTCTCATGTAATCCCTAGGTGCGCCTTTAGCTTTGCTCTGAAGCCCACTCTAAATTCGTTAAGATCTTCAACCACAAATTCTCAGGACAGATATAAAAGTTTATGGAATGCCCCCAGAGTTTGTAGCTGGTTGCAGACTGAGTTCGAGAGGCTAGGTCGAGACTAGGGAGGGTGTGCGGGGTTCAGGGTCTAGGGAGGCACCTTAGTCCTCTCTGTTGAGCTTGAACTGTCTACCCTGATGCAAAACTTCCGAATATGCAACCCTGGGTCTTCGACATGTGCGATCTGCGGAAGAGACGCCTAACTAGGATGAGAAGACTAGACCATGTCCGAAACAAGCACACTTTTCTCACCAAACACCCTCTAGACTCTAGGCATAAAAGGCGACTAATGAACAAATGCCATGTGCTAGGCGTGGTCATCCGGCCGGTGTTGGACAATGCGTCAAGCACAACAAACATCTCACTGTCCGTTTCCCACTTCCCAAGCGCTCCTGGTGAGGCCAGCCCCTTCTGTTCCAAGATCGGAAAGTCGGAAATAGCACCTGGAGCTCTGGGCGTAGGTTTTTAGGGCTGAGGGTTCAGGGTTTACGGTTCAGGGTTTTGTGGCACCTGGGACCCGGAGTTTGTGCTTAGGGTTTTCGGCACGAGGGTCCGGCAAAGCACTCTCAAACGCATATGGGAGTTTCCAAAACCTAGGGGTATTTTGTTTGGGGGTCCTTATAATAAGGGTCCCACTATTTAGGGTAGTATATTAGGGTCCCCTATGTTCGGAAACTCCCATATCAGATACCTAGAACCTTCTGTGTGGCGAAGCGGCAAACTTTATACACAGTTGAAGTGGTTCAGGCTGTGCATTCCCCCTGCGGACTATATAGTCTTCGCAGCTTGAGCCACACAACTGTTCGTGGCTCTGGGCGATTCTAAACGAAAGGAATTTCTTCGGGTTTAAGGTGAACTAGCAGTTTCGAACCAACACTGACTGATACACATGACATGCAGAAGACGCAGAACGACGAGGACAACAATCATCATCATAAGTTCAATAGCGAATCGTTTGAAGCAACCAGCGAAAATGCATGAGTAAGCATGCTATGCCGCGTGCTTTTGAATTTTCGCAAATGAGTGCACGAAACGATTGTCTTTCTCGGGTGAAAGGTAAACCCGAAAACCGAAGCCTTTCAAGCCCAAGTTCGTTTAGAGTTTAAAGTTTAGGGTCTAGTCAAAACATGCGGCTTCTGAGTTCCTCCAACCGCTTATAGTTATAGCATTAGGAGATACTACGCGCACACTAGGAACATAAGAGATGCAGCTTCGCACAACCAGCAGCAATGGCAACAGCTGCAGCGAAGGTCGCGTTTAGGAGGGCGAGGCACCAAATGCCGACACCACGGTAGATGAAATCGGGCGCTCACTGGCGGGTTGTATGTCGGCCTCATCCAACCTCAGTTTAAGCGAAAGGCCAGGGATTGAAGCTGCACTCTGTTGTCATGCAGCGGCGACTACACGCCTACGACTGCTACTGCTGAATAATACAACTACGGGCTCGACAGTTCTGCTACTCCAGTAGCTCGTAACTAGAACAACGGCAACAACAACAAACACCACAAGCAAAAACACTAGCACAGCCACAACAACAACAACCAACACCAACAACCACGCCAACAACAGCAACAGCAGCAACAGCAACAACATCAACACCAACACCAACACCAACATCAACATCAACATCAACAACAGCAACAGCACCAGCACCAGCAACAGCACCAATGCAAAAAAGAAACAAACAAACATGCAAACATACCAACAACAGATAAACAACAAGCAGTCACAAGCAACAACAAACAACAGCAGCAACAACAGCAACGACAACAACAACAGCAAGAACAACAACCAACCAAACCAAACACCAAACTAACAACAACCGCACAACGACATGATAAACGACAACAGCAACACAATAAGTACTGCCCTCATACAGTAAGAGTCTATGATAGGGCTACTATTAAGGTCCTACCATATCTATTATGAATATTATTCAACTACTACTGAGTGGGGGCCGTGCCCAAGCAACACCAGTAATACTAATGGAAATAACACTAACAACAGCAACCACACCATCAATATCAATTTTCCAATTGAATTCAAGCGAGCGTGATCTGCGCTTGGCGGGTGCGGCTACAACAGCAGCAACAACAATAACAACAACGACAACAACACCAACAACAACAATGAGGTACACCCGTACACTGCGTACCCATTACCCCCCCCCCCCCCCCCCGCAACAACAACAACAACAATCGGGAGTGCTCTGTGCACGAAGGCAGCAGTGGTCCCTTGCTGGCTGCTGTAGGAGAATTGCCTTTCGCTAGCTCAGCCTTGCCTGCACTCTTTGGGTTGGCTTCCACAGCCCCGCTAAAACCCATCCTCCTATTGGATTGGCAATAATCCCAGTGGAGCTGCGTGTATTTGCACGGATTTGGTAGTTGCCAATGCCACTAGCCACGAGTTGCCAATGCCACTAGCCACTGGTTGCCACTGACATCAGCCACCAGTTGCCACTAGCCACTCGTTGCCACTGACATCAGCCACCAGTTGCCACTAGCCACTAGTTGCCACTGACATCAGCCACCAGTTGCCACTGCCACTAGTTGCCAATGCCACTAGTTGCCAATGCCACAAGCCCCGCCAAATTCCACCCTCATGTACCATTTTCTGCTGATCCAAGCAAATCCACTCCACTTTGGCCGAGTGGCAAAGACCCAGGCCTCAGAATCTAGTGCAGGGAACGCCTGCGGGCTCGAACCCCGGCGGCGTCATTTAGGGGGTGTAGATACCTGACCTGGAATCGAGATTTTAGGGGACGTACCAATCCAAATGATCTTGTTTTCATACCAGTTGCCACTGCCACCGATTGCCACCACTGCCACCAGTTGCCACTGCCACTAGTTGCCACTGCCACTAGTTGCCACTGCCACTAGTTGCCACTGCCACGAGTTGCCACTGCCACCAGTTGCCACTGCCAGTGGCCACTGCCATCAGTTGCCACTGCCACCAGTTGCCACTGCCACTAGTTGCCAATGCCACTAGTTGCCACTGCCACTAGTTGCCACTGCCACGAGTTGCCACTGCCACTACTTGCCACTGCCACCAGTTGCCACTGCCAGTTGCCACTGCCATCAGTTGCCACTGCCACCAGTTGCCACTGCCACTAGTTGCCAATGCCACTAGTTGCCACTAGCCAGCGGCGGGCCCGGGTGCAAGTATTTGGGCAAAGGGAATGGGGCCACAGCCTCGCCAAATTCCAGCCTCATATTTCATTTGATGCTGATCCGTACAGATACAGTCCACTTTGACCAAGTGGCAAAGACCCTGGACTCAAAGTACTGAAGGAACCCCTGCAAACTCCCCCCCCGGCCTTGTCATTGTGGGGGGTAGAATTCAAGCACCGCGTGTCTGCGATATCCACCGTGACCCTGCTTCTGTGGCTTGCGAGAGTGTTGAGGTCGCTGAAACGGTCGCTGATGTACCACTCTGCTGCATACTGAAGCGTCTCGAGTGCCTGGGATGCAAACCTGACTGGAGCCACTGGAGCCTCAGTGTCCTCATCAGGTCCAGTTGCTAGCGCTCGCTTCTGTTCTTTGGCGATGTCGTTGCAAAGCCTGGAGAAAGCAGTCCGCGGAATCATCAGTGCAGTCCTATCTCTCTGCAAGCGAGCAATCTCCCTCAAAACGCCGGCCCTTGCAGGCCTGCCACGTGGGTCCACTGCGGCAGGCATCTCTGGCACTGGCAAAGCTTCTGCCTCGTCCTCAGCCTCGCCTTCAGCCTCGCTTGGCTCATCAGGCAGAGCAGCCTCTTCCTCTGCAATGGCTTTACTAAGCTCCCGAGCCGACAACATGCTGACCTTGAGCACATCCTCGTCCACGAGGGTGTTTTGCTGCACGCATTGTGGCCACGCCGCCTTCCATGTCTGGGAACCAGCGTCGATGTAGCCCACATCGTCTCCAAGACGAACTTGGCGCCTTCCAGAGTCCCCGGCCGGGCCCAAGCACTGCACGCTTGTGAATGCTGGCAGCTCTTTGGATGCCACGACGGAGTCCTGTTGATTTTTGCCTGGCTTAAGAAAGTACAACTCTCAACTAACCCCACTTAAACCTCCAAATACACCTTAACCAGGTTTTCCTACACGCTACGAACCCCAAGAACAATTCTCCTCGTCTGGGAACAAGAGGGCTATCGTGGAGCACTGCAGATGAACCAGCACCAAGGACAAAAACTGCAACTCGGTGATGCTGTTCCTGCCAGTCTCGACCAGGCTGAGCCACTCGGAAGCTGCTTCAGTGCCTTCCAGGATCTTCCGGAATCCTGCTTCTGTGAGCCGCCCATCTGTCTCGGCATGCTTTGCAAAGGCCGCAGTAGCTTCTCGCAGGCTTGGGATCTTCAGGGCAGCTTGCTGCTGCGCCTTGTGGAACTCGCGGTCCCTGGGCGTGAAGGCTTCTACAAGCCAACCATTCAGGTCGGCTACTTTGGCATTTCCAGACACCTGTCCTTCGCGGTCATAAAAGGACAGGCCACGAGTCGAATCGAAGCCGAGCCATCTGGAGTAGTCCGTAAAAATACCATGCATGTCTTGGTCAAAGCCCACCTCAAATCGCCTGGGTACCGCAAAGGCATTGACGATATGTAACAGCACTTCGGCAAGCGTGAGGCTGTCAAGGCTTACTGTGGCTTGGGGCTAAGGGAGTTTACTTTTTTCGGATGTGCGCATGCTGCTGTTTGGAACTAGAGAAAGGCTTTGTGTAAGGTCAGAAGCCTTCGACCTTGCCGAAACGAGCATGCCAAGAAGCACAAGGTTCAGGGAGACACAGTGCCCAACCCAAGGACATCTGTAAGCGAGAATACTTAGAGGATCATGGGACTTAGAGTAAAATAACTATTATACTTGTAGTTGCTTACTGCTTACTAAGTTCCATGCATGAACCTCCAAGTAACTCAGCAGTCAGACAACACAGCTCTAATTCTGCGAACTTCGGGCTTAAACCCTGAACAACTCAGCTCTGATTCTGCGGGCCTCGCAAACCCCAAACAACCGAAAAACGAACTAGTGTCGGACACTAAATCGAAAATCCCCGCCCGCCACGCCCAACCTGACCCCAAGCTCGAATCCCCCCCCCGACCCTGCCAAGCCCCGCCCCCCCGCCCCCCTGCCCCCGCCCCGCCCCGCCCTGCCCTGGTGGCAGTGGCAATGGCGGTGGAGCCCGCGGCAGTGGCAATGGCGGTGGAGCCCACCGCTGCGGGCGGCGGGCTCTCTTTTCTATTAATATATAGTGGGCACGCAGTGTACGGGTCAACCAACAATAACAACAGCAACAACACCAACAACATCGCCAACAGCAGCAGCAGCAGCACCACCACCACCACCACCAACAACAACAACGACACCAGCACCACCACCAACGACAACAGCAGCAACAACAACAACAGCAACAACACAAACAAAAACAGCAGCAACAACAACAACTGCAACAACAACAACAACAACAACAACATCAACATTAACAGCAACAACCACACAATAATAATAACAACACTAATAATAAGAATAAGAACAACACCAACACCGGCAGCAAAAACTAATAACAGCAAGACCGCCAACACCACCACAAACAACACTGCCATCAACAACGACAGCAACAACAGCAACAATAACACAGAGTAGTGCGAACAACAGCAACAGCAACAACAATACCAGCAACGGCAACAACAACAACAGCAACATCAGCAACATCAGCAGCAACAGCAGCAGCAACAGAGCAACAGCAGTAATACCAACAACATCATCAGCCACAACAACGAAAGCAGCAGCAGCAGCAGCAGCAGCAGCAGCAGCAGCAGCAGCAGCAGCAGCAACAGCAACAACAACAGCTACAGCTACAGCTACAGCTACAGCTACAGCTACAGCAACAACAGCCAAAGCAGCAACAGCAACAACAACAACAACAACAACAACAACAACAACAACAACAACAACAACAACAACAACAACAGCGGCAGCAGCAACGCAAACACACACAAAGATGAATCACACACAACCAACACACCACCACTACCACCACCACCACCACCAACAACAACAACAACCACAACGACAACGACGCCGACAGCCACACAGACACCACCGACAAACCACCAGCAACCACAACAGCTGCTGCTACTGCTACTGCTACTGCTGCGGTTGCAGCTACTGCAGTAATACAGTGATGCAGATGCCGACACATTCTGCTAAAGCACCGTGGCCACCACACCCCTGCCATCACAGCATCATTGTCGCAAGCCTAACAACGCACAGTTAGTGAAAATCACGGGGCCTAGCAGCCCATGCTTGTCAGATGCCCATGCGATCCTCCCAGAACTCCGATATTATTGCCGCACAGCGCAAACCCACAACCTCAAATCTTCCAAACACTGTAAACGGAGGATACAGTATACTGCTGTCATCCCGAAACATACAGTCAGACCTTCTTCCTTTTGGTCAGGTTTCAGATTCAGGGACCGAAACTGCCCAACCTGAATTCCGAAGCGCTGCCCGACCTGACCCCTCATTTCCATCCAGCTCACTTCTCATCCTTGTACCTTGGCTGTGTCCGATCTTTCAACGAATGTCTGCGGCGTCGAACCCAATTTGTCAAATAACAACTTATGCTTACACTACTCTCTCTCGCTGTACGTGCATCTATGTGCATATGAAACCCCTAATCATTCCCTGAAAGGAAAATGGGCCACGCTCAACTTCGTCATTTAGGCCATCACAACCATTGCCCAAGTTGCTTGACCAGGTAGTAGAAGCCCGCCTGAAGGTTAATGACTTAGGGCTTCGAGCCCGCAAACCCTCAAAAAGAGGGTGAAAGATCAGAAAACATGGCGATGGAGTCTTGCGGGGAGAACATTTATCTCTGAGGATAGCAGCTGGGGTTACATTTTACACCTTGTCGACAAGTATGGTGAGACTCTTGAGACGAAGCTGTTGCACCAGGCTCCCGATTTTGGAATGTTCTTGCGGCTCCTACAAGGAAGGTTGCCAAATCTACGGCACATCTCGAAAGCTACAAGTCAGTGTTCAAGCCCCACACGTGCATATTGAGGTGCAGATGTGGGACAGTTGCCACAACAATTTGGCTCCTATAGTTTGAGGCGCCTGTTGCGGACCTTGTAACAGGTCCATGCCTGGTTCCAGTACGGACTGGCGGGCTGTGGCGCTGGTTTGAGTGCTTTACACACACAATCACTCCCTCTGCTTTTGTCTCTCCTTTACACTCATTCTCAATTATTCTCTCTCTCTCTCGCTCTCTGTCGCGCTCTGTCTCCTTCTCGCTCTCTGTCTCTGTCCCTGTCACTGTCCTCTGTCCTCTCTCTTTCTCTCTCTCTCTCTCTCTCCCCCTCTCTGTCAGTCTCTCTGTCTCTCTCCCTGTCTCTCTCCCTGGCTCTCTCCCTGCCTCTCGCTCTGGCACTGTCTCTCTCGCTATCTCTCTCGCTCTCGCTCTCGCTCTCTCGCTCTCTCGCTCTCTCGCTCTCTCGCTCTCTCGCTCTCTCGCTCTCGCTCTCTCGCTCTCGCTCTCTCGCTCTCTCGCTCTCGCTCTCTCGCTCTCGCTCTCTCGCTCTCGCTCTCTCGCTCTCGCTCTCTCGCTCTCGCTCTCGCTCTGGCTCTCGCTCTGGCTCTCTCTCTCTCTCTCTCTCTCTCTCTCTCTCTCTCTCTCTCTTTTTTTCTCTCTCTCTCTCTCTCTCTCTCCCTCTCTCTCTCTCTCTCTCTCTCTCTCTCTCTCTCTCTCTCTCTCTCTCTCTCTCTCTCTCTCTCTCTCTCTCTCTCTCTCTCTCTCTCTCTCTCTCTCTCTCTCTCTCTCTCTCTCTCTGATGGAAGCAAACAGCATACATCAGAGAACAAATATCATAGACCATGCCATACATCATACGCGTTTTTGATGACATATCATATGCCGTGACTGATCTTATTATCAAAGTATATCATGTCATGTCATATTACATCATGTCATGTCATGCCATACCGTGGCAAAACCTAATGTAACATAGACACAGCATTGCAAAACACAGCATAGCATAACATAACATAGCGTGGCAATAACACAACCAAAAATCGAGTAACAATAACATACAGAACAACATCATATCATAGCGTGTCACATCATCCCATGTATGATACCACATCGCATCATATCATAGACCGTCATATCATATCATATGCCGCAGTTATCATGTCACGCTACAAGTGATATCAGATCAGATAAAAGTCTGAGCACATGTCATGTATCAGTTTACGCCATGCATATATCACAAGTACAGATATAGATAATAATATGTAGGTAGATAGACAGATACATACATAGATAGGTAGGTAGATAGATACAAAGATAGAGCTACGTATATAGAGATGTACAGAGAAATAAAATCGACGCATATACAGGTCTTGATTTTGGTACAATAGCTGCAATAGCTAGAAACCGATATTAGCATGGACTTTGATACGTCTAAAGGTTCATGCGATACAGCCATAGACCAAGACAAAGACCTTGACACAGTTATAGAACTAGATTTAGATGTAGACACGACAAAGACAGATTCAGACATGGATGGGGATATAGACACAGACACACCTATGTAGACATAGAGACAGAGATTGCGATTGAGAGATGTAGATACAAATATATTCATGAGTCCCGAAGCCCGCCTGGTACAGGGCCGCTGCAACAGAACGGCCCATGAAGTCATTCTTAAAGTAGAAGTCGCTCCAAACCTCGCCGGACTCGAAACTCTAAAGCCAAAGCCCACCCCGGACCCTACATACCTCAACCCTAAACTCTAAACTCTAAACCCTAAACCCTGAACTCGAAATCCTCAACCCTAAACCCTAAATCTTGAACCACAGGGTTAATGGTTGCTGCTGTTCAAAGGGTTGATGTGCACAGCGGGCCTGACAGGCTAAAGCTGCAGCCTTGCGAGGGCCTAGGGTTTCGGGCTTAGGGAAACTCCGGCTCGGGGCTTAGGAGTCGCCGGACTCGCAGTTTTCGGCTGTGGGAGTTAGTGGTGTTAGGTTCGGGCTGAGAGTTTAGGGCTTGAGGTTTTGGGATGGTTTTGAAATTTTGGGGTTTAGATCTTGTTGTATAGTCCAGCTTTGAGGATTAGATCTGAAAGTCACGATGACGGGACCCTAGAACGGTTGGAGATCATCTTCCGGGGGCTCAGGGCCGTCTCGTCGGCTTAGTGTCAAAATCAGCATATCAAGCAGGCTGCATGCTTGAATGACAACCAAAAACCAAAAGATGGTGCTCTCCTCCTGAGCACGACCATGTCCCCCGACATGAATCGCTCTCCGTCAAAACCAACCTACAAATCTTCCAACTCGAAACCTTGAATCCTGAACCGAGAACCCTGAATCCCGAACCCGGAAGTCTGAACACGATGGAACCAAGCCGGAAAACTTGAACCCTTCAGGCTATCCTGGAGGAGCATGCAGTCCCTAAGCCCTAACCCCTTACATAGACCGTCTGAACCAAGCGGCGGTCAACTTGAGGGTCCTGCGCAAAAAGCGGGGTTCACGCTCATGATATTGAACGG